AGATCCATAAACTTTTGCGAGGACTTCCTGCCATTCGATCTTTTGTTGCTGTGGGCTCTGGTGCTGCAAAGTTGGTTTCTCTTCCAGTGAAGAATTATAGGAGGGACCATAGATTATTGAAAGGTTTACAAAGAGGTAGCTTTTTAACTTGTCTTATCCACTTGCTATCAGTTTGATTATATGTTATGGATTATATAAATCTGAGATCCGTTGGCTACTTTCCTATTGGTTTTTATGTTGTTATTCTTCATAATTCTCTAACTCTACTGCCAAGAATTTCCTTACTTTTTTTTAATGAAAATCAAAATTTGTTTACTGAAATTTGGATAAGATTGTTGGTTCTGTGGAAGAACATTAAAGTGTGCCTACTAAACTAGATGTCAGTTGTATTCTTTTTGATATAATTCCAGCTATGGTGTTGTAGAGCAATGTGCATTTCTTCCTTGATTTGTTATGGTTCCCCAAGCTGATATTCAGCTCTAGTAGATTCCTTGAATGTTTATTGTTAATTATTAATCCTGTTTTCCTATATTATTCTGCTCGCTGAGGGATTTAATTCATTCCCATTGTCTTGGAACTGATGAGATTGGAAGAAGAGCCTGTATTTTTTTTTTTGTATATTTTACTGGAAATTTTCTGTATGAAAAATACAGAATCTCTAGGATGAGATCTATGTGATGAGTTTTAAAAGATTACAAAAGTGGTATGGAAAAAGTAAAATTGTAAGGCCTTGTTTAACTGGAGTAACAGGTCAATTTGTGTTTAGAATAAATCAAATTCATACAGAGTGATTTTTAACAAATGTTAATAATTTGATACCGGTGAGCCACCCCTATAAACTTATTAGGTAAGGGTTCCTTCTTACCAGTTGGAGGGTTGGGTTTCCTTTGAAACATCTACCCCGTCTATTATTCAAAAGCATACTTGCTCTTTTACCACTATCATTACCTTTACTGCTGCCTGCCATCCAAAATCCATAACCCCCCTCTACCTTTTCCTTGCCTCCTTCCCCTCCCTTTCTCTCCTTTATCCCGGTTGCCTCTCAATAGTCTTAACCTCCTGTGACCACTTTCCATGTTCACAACCACTTCTATATGTCTTTTTCATCCTGTCCTCCCTTGTATTCCATTACGGTAACAACCATCACCTTTGAATTACTAGTTATGTTCTGTAGTTTAGGCCACCAGGGGTTGGTTTCAATTATATACTCCTTCAAAAAATTAAGAAGTTTGTAAAAAAAAAAATTCTAATGAAAGACTAAGATTGTAAACCCCATTTGATTATTATATATACCAGTGGTTTGTTTATTTTACTTTGCTTTATATTGTTGCTTGCATTGTGTCCAGCCACTTGAAAGACTTAGGATTGTAAACCCCATTTGATAATTTAATTGCAACCTTGGTGATGGTCAATTGGTCATGATAACCAAGAGGGGAAGGTGATGTTTATGGTTCAAGAGAGAAAGAGGACTGTGGCCATGGTGGTTTTGGTTAAAGAGAGAAAGGGGTTGAAGACTCAACTCAAAGCTTATTGCCTTAGTTTTATTTTTAGAACTAGCTCTATTAAGGAAATGAGGTTACATCACACACACACACACACACACACACACACACGCACACACACGCACACACACACACACATACACGCGCACACACTTGATTCCTTTGCTGAATTGAATGGCCCCTAACGCTGCTTACCCTTTGCTAAATTTTACTGATGAACTATCTTGCTTGGAATTTTTCAGGGACTGTGGCATTTCTTAGGAGTATCTCAGTTGAAGCTCTTGGGCTTGGTGTGCATTTGGCAGCAGGGGCTCATGAGATTCTGCTACATGCAGAATGCATTGTTACACGCATTCAGCCGTCATTGCCCCATCCTGTCAGAAGAAAAGTCAAGAAAAAGCGTGGCTCTGATCAGCCAGAAGATGCTCAACATGGGCTTCGACGGGTTAGCATTTGCATACCCTGCTTCAATACAGTTTAATTTAATTTTTATATAAAATTGAGTCAACAATTACAGTATTCTGCTTATCCAGGAAATCTTAGATTTTTTTTTTTTAAAAAAAGAAAAAAAAATCTTCCGTACCTTTTGCTTTCCATTTCGAACAAAGCCATTAGATTCTCATTTTGAATGGGCATTGCGTTTCTAGCCAAAGGTTTATTAGATGCAGCCTCAGCATCATTGCAGGGGCAAGGCTGTGTACATCCCTTAACGAGTTAACCCCTCCCTTGCCACGGGAGGACTAGCTTTAGTGTTGTGTTGATGTTGATATTACTTTTTGTCCTAGTGCATTCATAATTTCTTCTAATTATCAGTGGAGGGCATCATTGCAGGGGTATCTTGCTGTTTGTTAGTTACACTTCCTCCATTTCTTTATAGTCGCAACACACTTTATCACATGATATAATACACTTAAAATGGGGTTAAGAGGTTGTTAGGAGTATAATCAAGTGGGCCATGAGCTTTAAATAAAGGTAATAGTATAATTTTCACCATAAAAACCTTCCTTTTATAGTGTGTTGCAACTATTGTGACATTTCCATTTTAGGGAAGTGTTGCAACTATAAAGAAACGGAGGAAGTATTTTACTTCCTCTGGTTTTTATTTGACTTGCAACACTTTGACTTTAGCTCTAATCATGTATTCTACTTCGACTAGCTTTGACGATTTATAGTTGAGGTAACAAGATTTATTACCTTGTGTGTTATTAAAGGTTATAGGCAAAAATTGGCCTGCTCTGACTGAGATTTTAGAATCTGTGTCAGTTATTCGTGTGCTTCGTAGTTCAAAATAATGAGCTATGTTCAACTTTGAGTCTTTGAATACAGCTATAGAGTTCCAATGATGCTCTTTTTGGCTTTAATACTTGTCCTTAAATTTCAATAAGATTATACCTGCTAAATCCCTGATGAAAAAGGCAATTGCAATTGATATAATGAAAATTACAGGTTTATAGTGAAAATGTGAAATTACTTGTACAAGTAGCATTGTTACTCTTCTTTCAGTTTTTAGCTCTATAAATAAGGAAACAATGATGGATTGGCTAATATGTTGACTGTTTAGAGAATCCAATGCTTTTAGGAATTAGTTGATGCTTGTGATTGCAACAGGCTTATGAGAGTCTTAGTGATGGTCTGGGGAAGACTGCCTCTGCACTGATTCATACTCCCATGAAAGCATATCAGCGCGGTGGTGGTGCTAGTTCTGCTATTGTGAGTGCAGTCAGGGGAGTTCCAGTTGCAGCCATAGCTCCTGCATCTGCTGCTGCACAAGCTCTGCACTGTGCTCTTCTTGGTGTCAGAAATAGGTCTACTTGAAATCTATTATTCTTCATTTTTCCTTGGCCATTGTTGACAAATCTTAAATACTCATTCATGCTTGATGTATTTGTAGCCTTGATCTTGAACATAAGGAGGAATCTCTGAACAAGTACTTAGGCCCGTCTCGCTCCTGGGAACAAAGTTGAACTAGCTAACACAATTTACAAAGTTAGTGATGAACTCTTCGGTTTACTGCCAGTCATTCTCGATGAGCTTTGATGTGTCTTCTCAAAAATTTGCAGCGTCAGTTGTGCAGAGTCAACAATGGCTTTGTTGGATCCTGATGCACTTTCTATATAAAGTGAGTTTTTTTAAATATTTAAACTCAGTTCGTTATTTCTTAATTTTGTGCCATTTGTACCCATGCTGACTTGGGATTATGTTTAAAATTTTAGCTGCTTTCTTAAATTTGGTGTTTAGCATGATTCTAATATTTGATTTAAGATTTCCGCTTTACATATGTCTTGTGTAATTCATGTTGGCTAGTTTACTGAAACCTCTAACTTTCCGCATCATGAAATCTGTGTTTCAACACCCATGAGCCAAAATTCTCAAATTGCAATGCTTTTACTTCAGGTGTAGACTTGGCTTGTGACAGACGGTCTTCACCATTGGATCGGAATTGCTAAAGACTAAAGAATAGTCCCTGTACAAATTGTAAATAGTCATTTGTTGGTGATTAAATTCTTCGAAGCACATAGCCTTGTATAGTTCTTAGAGATGTGCTCTTCCATTCCTTATTCTTTAGAAGCTGCATTCTTCATGTTTGAATGTGGTTTCAATTTGATGTACATAGTTTGCTTTATATATATATATATATATATATATATATATATATATATATATATATATATATATATATATATATATATATATATATATATATATATATATATATATATATTTTAAACAGGGATTTTATACGCATTTCCAAGTTTGGTTGGAATTGTGTTCAAAATATCAATGATAACCAATGTTGTTAATTGTTATGGTGAGGAATATGCAATAGCTGTGAGTTTTTTTTTTTTTTTTTTTTTTTTTTTTTTTTTTTTGTAGATCGTGCTTTGGGATTCTGATAGGCCGATTGGGCTACCTTTGGTTTGTGTTGTGTAATTAATATTTCGTTAAACTTTAAGCTAGAGTGATTGACTGAATTGATTTTGTGCAGCGTCAAAGGTTTGAAGAGCTATTGTGATCCCAACATACACAAAACCTTTGGTTGTTTTGTATGGGTCTAAAATTCCACTAAATGAGCAAAACATGCTTGTAACAGTTTTTTGGATAATGAATACAAAATACTTCCTCTGTTCTAGTAATATTGCAACAAATGGACTTTTACACTATTCATCATGTTTGTTTGACCATATATTATGATTTCTAAGTAAAGCAAAATATAGTCATGTGCTCGTAAAATACTTTTACAATATTAACTTTTTATAATTTTTACTAATATAATTATAGATATTTGGCATATAAAATGTACTTTGGGATGCGTAAAATAATACTTGTTACAATATTTATGGAACAAAGGAAGTATATGACATTATTGATAAGGATGGATTTTCGTTTTCCTTTAAACGACTTTGACCCTTATCCTATATGCATGGCAGCATGGGTTTGAAAAATCTACTTGTTGATTTTGCACTACTTATGGTCTCAATTCATTTTCATGCTGTAATTAGTGAATTACTGAATTACACATACTTCCCCATCTTGAATAAACATATAAAAAGAATGAAAATAGTGTATACTTTGTCACGGGTAGGTAAACATACCTCAATTGTAGTTGTGCCAGTCTGTGTTTTCGCTATCAAGAGTACATGTTAAACTTTATGAAGTATATACTATATAATGAACTATGTATAATGTTAAGATTGTTAACAACCCTTGTATTACATAGGGATACAAATTAGTTTACTACTGATGAAGCACTGAAGTATAAGGGTTAAAAGGGAAGACTTGAGAGTCAAGAAAAGAGGGAAAACGAAATTGGATGTTGCTACTACCAATGCACAACAGATCCAAGATATCATCACCCTTTTGAACTCCACGTTGACTATACTCAGGATACAGTACATATACTGTACACTCAAGAAAAATACGCCAGATAGCAACTGTGGTACACACCGAACACCGCAGACTCAGGGCTGGGCTGTACATTTCCTTGCTAAACCTGGGTGCCAGGCTGCCAGCTCAGCTGTGGTTCCTAGTAAAATTTGTCTTATGCCAACTCAGCTAAGTGCATCATGTCATTACACCTTAAATCCTAGCTTTGAGCCTTGGAGCAAATGCATATTAGACTTGAGGACAGTATCTCCAAAAGGAGTGCAGGACTTCATGACCAAGTACAGCTTTTGTAGAACTCACCCTCGCATTAAAACAGTCCTGAAACTGCCCAAATTAGATCATGAAATTCCCACTGGTTACAAGTAGACCAGTAAGAAAAACCTTTATGCCCTTAATTGTTTGATACCACCAGAAAGGTAACCGTCACCAAAACCCACTCTCAAAGAGCCATGCAGCCCGGGCAAGATTACAGCAGGTCCACAACATCAACGACTTCTCTAACATGACATGGTCTTTTCAGAGGTAGCTGCCTGCTGAGAGGCGACTTAGACCTCCATGACAGATTTGTCACATCTTTTAAGGAACTTTTAATTGATTTCAGAGGTGCGACTTGTATAGGCTTGGTTGACACCAGTGGCAACTTCTTCACAGGATTTCTACCATGTGACAAAGATAATTGTTGTTCTGATAACTTCGAAAATTTGTGCTTCAGAGTACCCTCTGAATTGGGCCATTTCAAATTGACTGATGTCCTTCTCTCCTCTATGCCTTGCTTTTTAAGGGGGCGCATGGATTCTTCGGGGACAAGCTTCCCGTCTATTTGGTTTGTAAATGCAAAAGTGACCTGCATTACCACAAATAGCTACCATACTATAAAACTTACAGCCATCTTGTTGTTACACTACTCTAACTGATATTCCTTGAAAAGCAGGTCATGCATGTCTGGCAACACTTTTGGACTTTTAACATTATTAAAGAACTTATTAAGGATAGCCTTAAAGTTTTTGGCCTTCAATATAACTATTCTTTGCAAAATCAGTTAAGCAAAGACAGGAAAAGCATAATTAAAAATAGATTAAACTTCACAAGAGAAATTTTAAATTAGCAGTTAAATCCATTTTAATATCCAGTTTTCCAACTTGTAAATGACTTTACAGGGTGACGAAACTTCATAAGCTACTTGGAAATCCTTTAAAAAATTGACTAACCTCATCACCAGCTGCAGCTTGAAATAGAACATCGGGAACTGAAGTGGGAGATGAATGATGAGCCCAGTTAAGCAGATCCTCTTCAGAAGGAGACCCCACCTAAAAACAAGCCTCAAAAAAATATTTAAGCAATCAAGACTAAAGAAAGGCAAATTCTTTAGAAATATTAGAAAAGCTACCTGTTTCTGAGAACTTTTTAGCATATGCAATCCAGAAATTTCTGCAAACCCACCAATATCAGCAGTATTTTGGCCAGATTGGTAACCTTCACTGTTTGATTCAATACAATCGACCTCCACTCTGTTCTCAAGCATGCCATTTTGTATGGTATCAGTCGTATCACTAATTCTACATCGAACACAATCCATCTTTTCATGAATCTCAGACCTGTAAAAAGCACATAACACTTAAACTGATGCCAAAATATTGTGCAGCAAGTCATTATGGACTTGAGGCATCAGGGTTAAATAATACTAAACAGGCTTAAAATTCAAAATTGAATATTTATGATTTAGCACAATCTATTAAACTACTTCCAAAATGGATTTTAGAAGAAACTTCAGGTATTGTTTTAGTGAAATTCAGATGAGAAACATCTAATTTTTTAATCACATTATTGCTTCACATGCTCACAGCATTTGTAAATTGTCTTCAAAAAAAAAAAAAAAAAATACTACCTCTTATTATTTGCAACTTTGGAAGGTTGCAAGGAATCCTAGGTAAAATCTGTTTGTAAGTGTCAAATGGAGAGAGAAAGAGATGCATGAAATGAGGAGAGAGATAAAGAAAGACTACTTAAAAAGGAAAGAAAACATTTGTTGCAATAATATGATTCTATGAAACATCCATTTTTGGCAAATGTTGTAAATAATATGAAACGTACAACATTATATACCTTGCATTCACATTGTAGGTAAACAGATCGCGTAGATCTTCCATTGAAAAGGTGTTCCCCTGAATTAAAGGGGAAAAAAAACAGTGAGCTCACCATTGGAACAAATGCAAAATGCAATCAAATGAGGTTATTCTACTAAATTACCTTATCACAACCACCTTGTTCCTTCTGAATAACTTTCTGAAGCCCTTCTTTTGACATCTGACGCTGGTACACCTTTGCACATGATTTAAGATTCAAAAAGTCATCTCAATAATTCAAGTTATAGTTATGATTATATACAGTTGTGAGGAATGAACAGTCCTTTTATGACAAAACAGGGAGGAATAAACAAAAATGCCCTTGGGAATAAAGCCATAAATCAGCAGTCATCCAAAGGCACATTCATGCATATTAAGTACTTGAAAGTTGAAACTAATCAAGTCCCTGAATTTCTTAAAAGGCATAGAGTAAAATGAGAGATATGTCCATCAAAACCTTCTCTTCAATGGTTCCAGAGCTCAGAAATCTGTAAACATACACTCTCTTCTTTTGTCCATCCCTCCAAACTCTTGCAGCAGCCTAAGAACAAACATAAACATAACGCTGACACAATGCTCCAGTCTGGACCCAATAAATCTGAAAGAGAAAACAGAAATACATCTGCCAATATGACATAAATTACTTGTTTATCATTGGCAGGATTCCAGTCAGGATCAAACAAGACCAATCGATTTCCTCCGATCAAGTTCAGCCCACAACCACCAGCCTTACTGCTTAAGAGAAAAGCAAATTCATCCTGCAATGCACTTGAACAAATGAGAGTTCTTCACAAAAAGCTTTTTATGTAGTTTTTTATGGACAAAATAGTGACCTTTGAAAAATCATTAAAACAGTTGACCAGCTTTTGTCGTTTGCTGATCGACGTTGATCCATCAAGTCTCAAATAAGGGTATCTTCTCTCACGACATAATTGAGCAAAGAGATCAAGGGTCTGAAATCACATTAGATAATCAGCTAAATATAAATACAGATACGAAGCAAAAGACAGCAGTAGAGTACATTTGCAAGGGGAAAGGGGCTTCCAGGAAAGAGGATAGAAGGATATAATTAGAAGTAAGTCCACCTTTATAGGAGGTTTCTAAAGGATAATCCTACTAAGTTGGAATTCCACACTAAACGAGCATGGTCTCAAGGAAGACTAGTCTAATCATTAGCCTGCCTAGCAATTTAGTGTATACGGTACTCCAATTGATGGATAACAGAGAAAAAAGTGATAACCTGGGTGTAGTTTGAGACCAGGACTATCCTGTCATCTGTCTTTTGGCGCAACTGAGCTAGCAAACGTGCTAATACATGCATTTTTCCGGATAGCTCAATCCAAAGGCCATCACCCCCACTCCATACTCCAGATCTGGTTGCATAATATGGAGATCTTCAATAATGAGGTTTAAAAACATCAAAGAGGTGCCTTGGGGTGTGTCAAGGAGTTACCTTCCAGAGAAAACTTCAGGAGGGAAAAAGCTCAAGCAGTCCTCAAAGCCTGCTATTCCTGAATTTCCAGCTTTTATTGTGTCGTATATGAGCTGCAGACAGATTGAGATTTAGGATGAGAAAGAAATTAAAACAAAAGGAAAAGAGAAAGACAAAACAATAATTCCTCTTCTTGAGTTAAGAGGTGAACTTCTGGCAAAATCTACTGAATGTACATATATTGTAACTATATGGCTCCAACAGCCTCCAAATTATCAAAAGAATATTACAAGAAGATGTCAATAATAGCAAATTAGAGATGCCACAATTCTTCAATAAGAATTACTCGGCCTTAGATTTGTAGTCACTTTCCAATCACTCCAATCCAATAAGAAAATGTGACAAGGAGATTAGTTTACGTTATAGAAATGACATGATCAATCTCTTAAGTTACATTTACAAAAGAAAATAAGTATAGCTTGTACTCCCTCCATCCCATATTAGTTTTGACCTTATCATGACACCTAGTTTTAGCCTTTAGGTGATAAATTGTTGTTTGGTAATCAATTGTTATTCTATTAGAAAAGTAGACGTGAAAGGAGATGGCTATAGCCAAAGTAGATGTGATAGAAAATAATGGGTATTTTTTCCTGAATGAGTTAGAGTGGGGCCCTAACTTTTTTGTTGAAAGAAATAGAGATGTGTTAAATTATTATTGGCAATACAGACATGTATAAACTAATCTAGAGTATTTATTGTATTCCTTAGTCAATCAACATTTCACATTTTATCCGATGATCCTTTGAGACTGCAGTAGTCCGCATTAAACCATGATCATTTTTTTTATGCAATCTGGACAAGTAACCATGCATTTAACCTTCCATCCCATTTTGCCACACTACAGCAAAGCTGCAGAAGCAAGTGAAATTACAGTAAGCTCTGTAAGTTCCAAATGCAGAACACTAATGCTTCTTGGAATTATTACAGTGCTTAAGACATTTTCCAACCCTAAACTATAGTAAGAGAATCTATTAATGGGGTAACCTTTCAGGCTTTCAGCAAGTTCTAGAAAATCAATGAATGGAAACAGGGGTATATTTTTCAGGTCCAAGATAAGACATAGCCTAATAAATGCAGATACAGGGATAGAATAGGAGAGCAAAATGTGGATCTATCCAAATTTATGCAAGTTACTTACATGAGGGCTGCAAAAGTACCATACCTTACAGCTTGTATAGCTGCTACTAAATTTCTATCAGTGGCATAAAGAGACTATCCTTTAACAACTCAGCATATTACCTTCGGGTGATTGCAGAGCTTCTTGAGAGCTGTAATATATGCTAAAATTTTAGATTGCTTTGTTCCTTCAGTAATAGCCCTTTTCACCTGATGATGTAAAATCAGTAATTTTTGCTCAATGGACGAGAGAAGATGAGAAATCATATTTGACTAGGAAAAGAGAAGGCCTACATTCTTTGATTGTATAAAATGATTGTACAGCTCTGACTGCAAAGGGGTGAGTTTGCAACAAACAACTTCAACTATCTGCAATATCCACAATCAAAATAATCATACTTCAATAGCAAACTTACAAAGAAGCACATATCTTCTTCTTCTGCTTGAACGCCTTAATGGCTTAATCATAAGTGGGGTCGGCTTCATGAACCAACATGAGGACTTCTTAGGAGGTCACCCAACCTAGTACTACTCTCAATCATTGTGGCTCATGTCAGGCAATGTGACAGTTTTACACTAGCTGTCACAAAGAAGCACATATTAAATTACTTAATTACATAAGAAATGCATTTTACATTCTACATTCAAAAAGCATATATCTAGAGTAACATAAGCCTGAGAGTAAAAAAAACAAAAAAAATTCTGGTGGAAACTGACTCCATGATCTGTCTAAACTCTTAGATTTATAGCACCATTGATTTAGGTGTTCCTCAGAATATAATGAAGGAGTTCTCAAAGTAAATCTATCTCAAGTAGACAAAAGAACTTGACAGTCCAATAGTGGCTGCAAAATCAGCTACACCTATCTACTAGTCTCAATAGCCTCTTTGGCTCGGTAAGTCTATATTTTGCTTCTCAGCTGTTTTTTTTTTTTTTTTTTTTTTTTTGGTTACTTTCATTATTAAAAAAAGGTTCACTAAAGAACTCAAAACTACATAGAACTTAGCCTCCTCTTGATGATTGATCACACAAGGCACCATTTGGTTAGGAAGTCTTATATCTTAACAGAAAAACATATTATGGCACGTATTTTGAGAAAGGGGGTGTAGCTTTTATGGCAACTACGTGCCGCTTTCGTGTAATCATAACCCAAAAGTTTTAGTAGGTAATTATTGGGCACTCATATCATTGCTTCTTTCTCCAAAATATTGTGCGTTTGGTTCACTTAAATTATCTAAGCAAATTAGATCTGCTGTGAACTATTTTGAGATCTAGGGAGCAATTATTCTTGAGATGCATCCTGTTAACTATGAACCTTGTCACGGGCATGGGGTTAATTATTAGCATCCACGAACCACAGAAACACTACATACAAATACAATTGCCTCAAAACACATATAAAAGAATGCCTTGAGAAGTATAATTCTCTACATGTTCATATAGCAGCCCAACTAAGTGAATCAACTTATAACATCATATAAAACAAATTGAAACACATACTGGAGCTATAACTGTTATACCTTTGGTGGTAAGTGATTTGATAACAAGGCATTAGTTCTTCTCAATATAAACTGGGAGAAAGGCAAGAAAAGAATCAGTCAGCACTTTAGAAACGAGTGAGTAATTGGTACAAATTCTTTAATTGGTATAAGAGAACTTTATAGATAAGCGACTGTATTATGGTAGCAGGCTACTAGCCGAGCCACATTCTTCAAAAGCAACTGGTGCCACGTCACTCTAAGATTGGCCACCCTTTTACTATTTTTCTCTGCTTTTAAGTGAAGTAACATTGTAATAATGTGTAGTTTTTAAATTTGAGGGAAAGGAAATTTTACCTGATTTACAATGGCACTCAACTCCTCTGATCTTGAAAGACCAACCTTTTTCTCCTCATCACTGGCTGTGGGTTCTCTTCCATTCAGAATAGGCGCCTTGAATTGTACATCACAAATCATTACACTCAGTAAAGGAGATCAAAGTCAAACAGACTATCACCCCAGGTAACATGCAAAATCACATTGAAGTTATGGTTGAAACCAAAAGATTGTTCTCATATGCAAATTTCTATGCCACAAAAACAAAAATTAAGAAATTGAAAAACTTAAGTAAGTTATTAGAGATGATAACAAGTAGCTAAAGTAAGTAACCATAATTCAATCAGCACTCATCTATGTGCACAAATTGGAGTCATCAAAGGAATTTCTTTTGTTTTTTTGTTTTATACTTCGTATATCACTGAGTGCATATTACTGTTGTGCCTTCCTAAATAAAAAATTAATGGTAAGAAGAAAAAAAAAATAATAAATTAAAAGTAAAATAAATGTATACAGAAAAAAAGCATACCTGATAATACCTCCGAAAATGTGCAGCATCACCTAAGATTCCCGGATTAGTGAAATTGACCATGGCATAAAACTCTTCAAGGTCATTCTGCAAGTAAAAATGCAATGCTGTAATAAATTGAGGGGGAAAAAAATTTAAGGCATGTGACATTCCGAAATCAGAAGAATTGCGAACCTGCATTGGAGTACCCGAAAGCAAGATGCGGCGTTTGCATACAAGTGAAGCCAATGCCTGCCACACAAAGTAAGACACGCATGAATTGAAATGAAGTTCCAAAAGACACAATATGACATAGATAAGTTTTAAAATATTGTCTGCAGTAGTCAAATTTACACATACCTTGTTTGTGATCGTCTGACCATTTTTAAGCCTGTGAGCCTCATCACATATAAGGAGGTCACATGATCCACTATGGCTAAATTTTAGAGCATGCATTCTAAATGTCTCGTATGAAACAATCAGCACCTGTGATAACATCAAGTAAAATTGGTGCCTAGGTAGAATAAATTCAACCATATAATTGTGGTAAACTTCACCTGTGTTTTACTGCGAGGATTTGTGAAATTCTCAATTGCAGATAAAATGTCCTCTCGGCTGCTTTCACATAGAGCAATAAGATGAACTCTATCCTGTACCCACTTTTTGATTTCTGCCTCCCAATTGTTTACAAGACTTGTCGGAGTAACTATAATAGCCTTTTTAACCATAGGTTTCCCATCAAATCCTTGACAGAGAAGAGTATAAAGCAATGTGATCGATTGCAAAGTTTTTCCCAAACTGCACAAGATATCCTTACCATTATCATACCATCCTTAATAATTTCTCACAAACGAGGACAAATCTATACATAATTAGAAAAGAGTATTACCCCATATCATCAGCCAAAATGCATCCGAAGATATTGGCAGAAGCTTGTAACCCAGAGACACATCTGAACATGAACTGTACACCTTCTCTGCTTATAACAACTTTCCAATCAGAGACTACAGACAAATTTTATCAAGCATCAAAGAGAAAGTAGGTCTAAATGCTTAAAAAACCGCAACATTCAAGACTGAGAGATTTTCTTATTAGAAAGTAAGATTAAACAATTCGAGGACAGAATTGTAATGGGCTAATTTGAGCTAGTCCTAAATTCAACAAGCGGTCTTAACCACGTTTGAATAATATACCATTACATCAATGCCAAGGTGCTAAGACCACCAACCAAGTAACTTCATTTCATCAGATGAAGAGTTATACCTTTGATGAGGTCGAAGGAATTGAACGAGCAAGGAATCAACACTTATAGGAGTCAAAACACTCCCTCCATCCATAGATTCTTCAGGTTGCCACAAAACCAACGGCTCGATCCCCGGAGGCAAAGTCACACCTTCCTCCTGCTCATCATCCTCTTCAACTACTATAGGTTGAAATTTAACTAATGGAACCACATCAGAGCTATTTGTGCGCCATGGGACAAATCGTTTACGAGCCGAAAGCCGCCGGAGTAAGTCCTCATTGGATTTACTCCACCCATTAGCAAACGGTGGCTTAAAAGGCTTCATTGCTGAAAGAACTCGTGGAAGCGATGATTGTCGTTCCGCCACAAGATTCCCTCTATAATTCACACAAATTAATCACAATTATGAACTCAAAATAATAACGAATAACTTATCACATTTAACCTAAACACTCAACTAACTAAAATCATCCCAAAAACAAAGTTAGTTGTTAGGTTAGTCCAAAATTCAATTAAAAATCGCAATAAAACATAGAAAAATAGGAAATAATACAAAATCAGATAAAATTGAGGTTGAAATTAGGGATTTGGGGGTGAAAAGAGAGAAATACCTAATAAGGGCAGCGACATTTTGAGATTTCAAATCGTCGTCTTTAATGGTGACATCTTCTTCTTCATCGGCAACTTCGAATACTTCATCATCGTCATCGTCGTCTTCAATCTGGAATTCTTGGCTCGAATCGGAGAGATCGGAAGCTAGAGAAACCAGGTCTTCTTCGTCTTCCATTGAAGTGGTGTGTTGAGGAAGGAACTAGTGAGCGCGGAGAAAGTTTGAGTCGGTACACTCCTAGTCTCCCTCTTAAAACTGGCGGCAAAAGTTGAAAATTCTGAATTCCTTCTTAAGAACGACCGTAAATTTGTACGAGTAGTTTAAGACTTGTTTCTCAACCTAATTTTTTTTTTTTTTTTTTTTTTTTTTTTTTTTTTTGATGCAAAAGAGGGAAAAAACCTAAAACAAACTACAAAGACACAAAGCAATAAAACGAGGTGAAGTCACCCCGATAATGTCCTCCCGGATTGGGTTGTTTATTTCAATTGGAGGGTCATTGAAATAAACCACCCTTTCCTCAAGGACGACCCCTAAGTTAGCCAATATTACAAAAAGACTTAACTAAGTTACGACAATTATTCAAAATGTGGACGCATTCGCCTCCTTGATAAGTAGCATTTTTGATGGCTTCTATGCAAGTTTGATTGTCCATTTGTACTACTAGCTTTGTAATGCCTTTGTCAATTTCCATCCGAAGACCTACTTCCAGAGCTAGCAATTCTGCCTTGTAAGTGTAGCATCTTCCAAAATATTTTGATAAACAGCCCTGCACAGTCTCTTCTATATAATGCCACCACCACGTGCCTGGTGAGCCCTTGGTTGCACCATCTGTGTTGAGATCAGCCCAGTAAGAGGGGGGAGCAATCCATCTTACAAAAATTTCATGCTTTGCGTGCCTTCCTTCCATGAATACTCGGGTTGAGTAATTGAAGTTCAGAGTTGTGAGCCCTCCAAGTTTCCTCAGTACAATCTCTTATGAAAGCTCCTGTGTCCAAAGGAATATCCTCTCCTCTGCCAAACACTAAGCTATTTCTCCACCTCCAAATCCACCACAAGGTCGTTGCAAAGCAAGTAGGCCATTTTTTAGAGTAAATGAGTCCATTTGCCTTGAGGTTTTTGATTAGCCATTGGGTAAAATTCCCACTAAATAAAGAAGCATAGCGAGCTGTGCCACCTACACTTTTCCAAATATGTTTGACATTGGAAAGTCCCTCAACAGGTGAATCAAGGTTTCATCAGCATCATGATTACACCGAGTACACCTAGGATCTTCAACAAGATTTCTTTTGAATCGATTTGCATTACTAAGCAGTCTATCATGAAAACAAAGCCATAGAAAGGTGCGTACCCTCTGCTGAATAGGAGCACTCCACGCAAGATTCCACTTTGAACTCCTAGGTATATCATCATTTACCTTCATGATTTTAAGGGCATATTTTATAGAAAATTTGTCGTCCTTAGAACCTTTCCAGAACCTCAGATCCTCCACTTCCTGATTTTCCACCAACTTGTGAGCAACAATCATTTCCAAACATGGTGCAGGGATTGGAGCAAGTGAATAAAAATATCTCATTTCCAGCCTTGATTAACATCCCACATTTCCTCCACTACTGCACCATCAATGTCATCAGGGATAACAGCAATTGCGTGGTCTCTTAATGGCTCATCAGACGCCCAACAATGGTACCAAAACAATGTAGCATGCCCATTTCCTACAGCCACCTTCAATCCCTTCTTCAACCATACAACATTCTCAGTGATTCCTCTCCATACATTGGACATATTGCTTTTCGGAGTGAACATATCGATATTACATCTACCATAACAATACTTGTGCCTAAGGACCCTAGCCCATAGAGCATTCGGTTCCATAAGCACTCTCCACGTACCCAAGTTTTGTCAAGAATGCTGAGTTTGCTTGTCTAGCCGAACGAATGCCTATCCCTCCCTTTTTTCCTTGTAATTGAAGGGTATCCCAAGAGAGAAGGTATATGCGCCTTTTATCCTCTGTGCCACCCTAAACAAATCTTCTTGCCCTTTTATCAATATCATTACACACTGAACGGGGGATTTTAGCGGTTTGCATAGAGTAGTTAGTCATAGTGGTGATGGTGGATTTTTGTAAAGTAATGCGCCCCGCGAGAGATAAATACTTGGTTTTCCATCCAGAGAGGCGTCTATCGATTTTCTCACACAAATGTGCAAAGGTTTCACGCGTTAGCCGGCTGGTAAGGGTTGGCATTCCTAGATAGAAACCCAGGTCTGCTGTAGATTCCATGCCCAACCCCCTACTGATTTCTTCTTGCTGTGCTCGGTTTACATTATGAGAGTAATAAACTCTCAATTTGGCCAAGTTCACACGTTGTCCAGAGGCTGCACAAAACCTATCAAGACAGTCCTTAATGATTGTAGCTTCTTGCTCCAAGTTTGCTTCCGAGAAGAGTATCAAATCATCCGCGAAGAATAAATTTGATAATAAAGGACCACCCCGACTAGCATATATAGGCTTCCATTTTCCCATAATCACTGCCTCTTCAATAACTTGATTCAAATGCTCCATACAAAGTACAAAAAGATATGGAGATAACGGGTCACCTGTAACACCCCAATAATTCTCTCTTAAAAACTTGTAAATACCTTTAACAATTTGCAAGAGAATTACTGACGTGCTACCGCCACGTGTTCAAACGTTAAGGCTAGTTCAGATTTTAGCAGCGGAAAAACTAACATAGTTATCAATAAGTTTCGAAACCAAAAATCAAAACCAAATTTAGTCTTACAAATTGGAACCATTAAGGCCTTTATTCAAAACCCAATAAAAGTAGTAAATAAATCAAACCAGTTTAATTAAATCCAAACTTATAAAATGAAATAAACTGTGGAAATATCCAACACTCCACTCAAAATCCCACCACCATGATGCAAGTTCTGATTATGTAAAATCCTGTGATTAATCTGCTCCCCAATATTACAAGTGTAAAAATTGGATCATTACAGGGTCATTGAAGGGCAAAGGCCATGACCAAGAAAAGACACACAAAAGCACGCAATCAGCAACGCTGAGTACATACAAGCTACGAAATATATCAAAGAGTCCCTAGCATGTTACTAAAAATCAATCAGCACACACAATTTAATTATTGACTCAAACACACACGCCTCAACTGTTAACATTACTAAGACTTCACTAATTACTAATAATAATTCATTTCATTCATTGGTTGGATTAAGCAATATACAAGGTTGTCTCCCCATGCTCCATTTCGGAACATCAATAAAGAAAAACCCCATGCCTCCTTTCGGAAACATCAATAAACATCCAATGGCAGACGGGCGCGACTCCGTGGCCATAGCTAGTATGAGATCTCATCTAACTCCTTATAGTTTAGAAAAACATTTGTAAACAAGAGACTCGTAGATCAGACGGCCTCTAGAAAGTACACGGCAAATACCCCGTGTACCCCAACCCCTAAATGTCAATACTCTAGATGTGCACAAATCCAGAGTTTTATTGCTCATCCATCTTGCACTTTACGTGATTTACCAGTTTAAACTTGGTGATGACTCAAATGCAAAACGATACCATCAATCAAACAACAATCATTTAAGCAATTCAAGTTTCCGATTCAATTCTTGTTTTATTAGTGACAAACAATATTTAGTGTTGTATCCTTTAACTACCTCGGTGTATAAACACCTTAAGTGCACAAGACACCTCAATCCTCAACCTCGTCTTATAAGACTTTAATTCTCCCTTTACTCATTCCACTTCAATAATCATGAACGAGTAATAAAATAATCCATTCCACATATTCACGTACCTTTGTCTCTAAGCTCATCTTGCAAGTTAATGCATAAATAATGCTTACAAGATAAATTAATACGCAATTCTCATACATGAAACAAAACCAATCATCACATTATTCACCAATCAAACTTACTACCATACAATTCCAACCAATCCACAAGTTTCCTAACATGATTCTTAGTCTTCCAAGTCCTTAAACATGCTTCTAGAGTCAAGGTTTTCGTATCCTTGTACGTAACCTTGAGTAAACGAATTGGTTGACCACTTTAGTAACTAAAAATCGCCTTCTACAAAGTCCTCTCCTAAACTAAACAATAATAATTCAATCAATACCCAAGCACTATAATTTACAGCAATACTAACTTACTTTAAAACCCCTAATCATTGAAATACTGCTTTTAAATTACTCACAATAGTCAAAGTTAATAATTCAATAGTTCAACTATAAGTCTATATGTTAAAATCATGAAAATATAGCTTATAACATAAAATTCCAGCAACTTTAAAGTAAGGATTGTAATCTGGAAATTTAGTTTAAGAATATAAAACAACCTCATAAACATCTCTACTTGAAATAATCATTATATAGTAGGTTAGAATGTTAAAAACCTAAAAATCCATCATAAAACCATGATTTAAAACCTTTAAAACCAAGATTAAAAATCCGAAATTTAGTTTAAGAAGAAAACTTTTGTTTACCTCGCCACAATCTGAGTCGAGTAACTCTCCAAAAATGCGTGAGACTAGACTTGTTGCTATCGTTGATAAGGAAAGCAATAAGACTGTGTTGCGACCGTTGCCCTTAGCGCGTGAGTTGGAGAAAAATAAACAGAGTGAGGAGGGGGCTGTGGCGTAGAAGAGGATGTGATTATGGGTGAGGATGAAATAGTGGGAGAGGAAAAAGGGGTAGAAGAAGGTCAGGGGTACTGCAATGCTGCTGGGGTAACAATTGTAGGGGGGATAGGGAGCTCAAACACGGGTGGGTTGGAGGGTGTAGTAGAGATGACAATGGGAGTGAAAAAAAGAAGACGTGATATGGAGCAGGGAAGTGAGGGAGAGGCTATGGTTGATGGTGTGAAAAAATTGAAGGTGGGAGTACAAGGTGTTGGTGTGACCGTCACAAAGAAAGTAGAGGGACTTGTTTGAACCAAGCCCTCGAAAAACAATGAAATTAATAAGCTGGAACTACCACGGGCTTGGCAACCCGTGGAAAGTTTGTGCCCTCCAAGACTTGTGTTGGAGGGAAATGCCGAATATCGTCTTTCTTATGGAGACGATGCTTGATGAAAAAGTGTTGCAAAAAATAAAAAATACATGTGGCTTTAGAGAGGGGGTGTGTATTAGTAGTATTGGGAAGTCCGGTGGTATGGGTTTTTGGTGGAGGGAGTTGAAGGTGAATGTCGTCTCATACTCTATTCACTATTTTGCGGCTAATGTTATTGATGAGAATAATGTGGCAAAATGGTGTGCAATGGGTATTTATGGTTGGCCGGAACAATCAAATAAGCATAAAACTTGGTCCCTTATGTTGTCTTTATGCAATGATTGTGACTGAGAAGGAAGGAGGATCTCAACGGAGGGAGAGCCTTATGGATGCTTTTCGGAGTGCCATTGACAATTGTGCTTTGCGTGATTTGGGATTTAAAGGAAGTAAATTAATATGGGAGAGGGGTAACTCTATGAACACTTACATGAGAGAAAGGCTTGATAGATTTCTTGCAACGGCGAGTTGGTGTGATCTCTTCCCTGAGTTTGAGGTTTGAAATTTCCCTATCTTACATTTGGACCACGCCCCTATCATGGTGTCACTTAAAAAGAAAGGCAATGGCAATAAGGGCAGCAATGCCTTTAGATTTGAGCAGCTCTAGCTTTTGAAGGAGGAGTGCAAAGTGGTGGTTCTTGAAGGGTGGACGAGTGGTGTTGGGTTGAATATGGCTGGGAAGATTGCCTAATGTGGAGAGAAGTTGACCTCATGGGCAGCCTTGACCTTTGGTTCGATAAAAAAAAAAGATAAAAATTGCTGAACAGAAGTTGGTTGAGTTACGTGATGGTACAATGGATGGGGATCGTTTAGAGCAGTGTTTGAGTCTCACTAAGGAGCTTAATTCTCTTTATATGTTAGAAGAGAGTTATTGGCATACGAGGGCTAGAGTTAATGAGCTTCACGACGGGGACAAAAACACGAAGACTTTCACCATAAGGCTAGTCAAAGGAAAGCTCAAATCGAATTGTGGGTCTTATGCATGATGATGGGGTCTGGTGTGACAAAAAAGTGGATATTGAAAGACTAATTGAAGTCCATTTTTCGAACCTGTTTGTTACAAGCTCCCCCACGGGTTTTCAAGATGCTCTAGCTGGCTTGGAGAAGGTGGCACCGAGTGATATGAATACTCTTCTAGATCATGAACCCTCGGGAGATGAGATTAAGGAGGCTTTGTTCCAAATACACCCGAATAAAGCACCGGGCATGATTTATTTTTTAAAAATTTTGACACATTGTTGGTCCTGATATTATAAATTTTGTGAAAAAAATGGTGGAGGGGTGAGGTTGATGATCTGTCGGAAGTGAATAATACTTGTGTAGTTTTGATCTCGAAATGTGATGAGCCGAAATGTATTACAGAGTTTAGACCAATTAGTTGTTGCAATGTCATATATAAGATTGTGTCGAAAACTTTGGCAAATAAGTTGAAAGTGTTTCTGGGTGATGTTATTTCACAAAATCAAAGAGTGCTTTTGTTCCACATAGGTTGATTAGTGATAATGCTCTTGTGGCCTTCGAGATTTTTCATGCTATGAAGCGAGGTGGGAAAGGCAAAGAGGGTACGATTGCTTTGAAACTGGATATGAGTAAGGCCTATGATCGTGTGGAGTGGGTGTCTCTGGTCAGGGTAATGGAAAAGATGGGGTTTTCGAAAAATTGGATTTGTCGTGTTATGAGTTGTGTGGAAAGTGTTAAATTTGCTTTTAAAATAAATGGGCAAATTAGTAGGGAGGTTAGTTCATCAAGAGGACTACGACAGGGTGATCCGATTTCTCCGTATTTGTTCTTATTGTGTGCTGATGCTTTTTCTACTTTGTTGGTTAAAGCCGCCAAGGATAATCTTATTCATGGGGCTAGAATCTGCGGAGGGGCGCCTAGAGTATCTGTATCTCACTTGTTTTTTTGCCGATGTCAGTATCCTTTTTTCTAGAGCTAATGTCAGAGAATGCTCAGTGATAGCTGATATCATCAGTAAATATGAAAGAGCATCTAATCAGAGTGTCAATTTTAGTAAGACAGAGGTGGCTTTTAGTAAAAGGGTGAGTACTAGCAGAAGACAGGAGATAATTGATACGTTGGGTGCTCGTGAGGCAGATCGTCATGAGAAATACCATGGACTTCCTACTATAATAATTGGCAGATTGAAAAAAGCTATTTTTGCGGCTCTTAAGGAGCGGATTTGGAAGAAGCTTCAAGGAAGGAAAGAAAAATTATTATCTAAGCCGGGTAAAGAGATTCTCATCAAAGCGGTGGCACAGGCCATTCCAACATATATGATGAGTATCTTTAAGATTCCGGATGGCATCATTGATGAAATCCATTCTATTCTTGCTCGATTTTGGTGGGGGTCTTCTGATGAGGGTAAAAAATTGTATTGGCAGCGATGGGAAATCCTTTATCTCCCGAAGGGTCTGGGTGGTATGGGGTTCAGAGACTGGCGGTGTTTTAATCAAGCTCTACTGGCAAAACAATGTTGGCGACTATATCATAACCCGGGCACTCTCCTACATTCGATCTTAAAAGCAAAATATTTCAAGAATGGGGATGTTTTAAAGGCAGGGTGTGGGTATGATCCGAGTTATACATGGAGAAGTACGTGGGGTGCAAGGGCTTTACTTCTTGAGGGAATGAAGTGGAGAGTGGGGAATGGCAGTGACATAATGCTGTGGAGTGATGCATGGCTCCCTGGTAATACGTCTGTTTTGGTGCCAACCCCTAATGCATCGAGTGACATGAACTTGCGTGTTATTGATCTCATTGATCCACATTATAATAGATGGGACATGGAGTTTATTCATGAAAATTTTGCTGCTTCTGACCGTGCTTTAATTATGTCATTACCTTTACTTCCAAGCCGACCAAAAGATACTATGTATTGGTGGCCTGAGAATAATGGGGTATATAAAGTCAAGTCAGGTTACTGGCTTAGCAAAAATAGCTCGACGCTGCTACATTCCCATGGAGATTGTGATCTGTGGAAGCGACTTTGGAAGCTCAATGGTCCTCCCAAGCTGCTCCATTTTCAATAGAGAGCTTGTAAGGGTTTCCTGGGGGTGAAATAGAGACTGATGTTTAGGCATCTCTTACCTGACAGCACTTGTACAATATGAGGCAGTGGCAGCGGCAGCGGCAGCGAAATGATTATTCATGCCACTTTCGAATGTACTCTTGCTAAGGAGATGTGGGCTGCTAGCAAATATGTTGCTCTTTTAGCTCTGGCTTCTTTTGCAGAGAAGTGGGGATGGCTCGCATCAAATGTGACAAAGGCTGAGTTGCTTGAGGTTTCAACGCTGGCGTGGGCTGCTTGGAGTGGTAGAAATCAGAAAATTTTCGAGAATGCTACTGTTAGCCCAATTCACTTGGCTGCTGCATATGTGAAACTGGTGGCTGATTATGGTGAGTATGCAGTGCAGCTAGCGAAACCCACGCAGGTACAGCAGGTCTCTTCAGCTAGTGCTTGGTGCTGCCCAATGGAGGGAAGTGTGAAGATTAATTGTGATGCACATATAGGGGTTGTGACAGGGATGGGGGTGGTCTTCAGAGATCATGCTGGTACTATTGTGTTGGCTGCAGTGAGCAGAGAAGAAGCGGGATGGCGGGCTGATTTTGCAGAGGCAGCAGCGTGCTTATATGGGTTGCTGTTGGCTCTCAGGTTTGGTTACACAAATGTCCATGTGGAATGTGATGCTAGTAATGTTGTCAGTGGGGTGATGAAGAATGCTATGGGCTTCTCTCCTTTTTACCAGTTCCTTGGAGAAATTGTTATTTCTTTTCATATTTCTCATGTAAAGAGGACGGGAAACACTCTAGCTCACTTGGTAGCTAGATAGGATAGTAACGGTTGTTTGTTTTGGTCCGTTCCCGCAAAGTTTAACAACTTTATTTGGCGGAGCTTGATTTAATTTAATAAAATCCCGTCTGATTTGCCTAAAAAAAAATGAAAATTCTGATTGTATTCAAAACAAAAACAAAAATGAAAATGAAAATTTCAAAATTCTGATTTTTATAACCTTTTGTGTGACAAAATATGAGGTTTGGGTAGATATTTACAAAGCAGTAATTAAGCTAGTAACTTGAGGGAATGTTTGGGTCTCACAAAAAGTAATGGGCATGAAGCACAAACCGCATCCATCTTTAATCCTTCCTCTAGTAGTCCTCTGTATAAAGTGGATCAAAATATGCAGTATTACTACTTTTTTTAAAGTGTAGTAATCAAGCTTAGTTTGAAATACGGGGGACCAAAAAGAAGTTACGTATTCGTGTAACACACACTTCGAACAAAACAAACAATATGTGAAACATTTGGGCTCATCACTATAAAATTCAAAGAAGGGTATAAATATGTAGTATAGCAATTTAGAGCTAGCTAAGTAAAGAATATAATTTCAGTGACCACAAAATTAATACTACTAGTGCTTGTAGAAGCTAAGAATGGAAGAGAAAGAGATAGAAATAATGGGCGTACCACTAATGGCTGAAGGAATGAAGATAGTTTGTCTGAAATCAAATTACAACAACAAATTCTTGCGTTATAGGTATGAAGATGTTCAAACACATGGCCTTCTTCAGTTTGCTGTTCACCAAGTCATGGATCCATATGCTCAATTTGAGGTCGAGAAATCCAACACTTATGATGGTCTTGTCCATCTCAAATCCCGCTACAATAACAAATATTTGGTCAGGTACGTACATATGCATTCTTTTTTTTATTAACCTTAACCTTACGACATGAAGGTCAGGTTAGGGATCGGGATAAAATTCATTCCCTTACAAAAATAATCAGATATTGATAATTTTACTCGAACATTAGTACTAATGATCATTTATCAACTAATAATTCCGTTAATTAATACTGGTGTATTCTTTATTTAATTTATTATCTTATGAAGGTGGTCGCCTAATCACTACTGGATTATTGCATCAGCTAACAAAGAAGATGAAAATCAAAGCAGCTGGAGTTGTACATTGTTCAAGCCAATGTATTTGGGTGATAATAATGATGATACACAAGAAATGCGACTTCTACATGTCCAACTTGATCATTATGCATGTTTGTGGAGGCTACATGCCCCTTTTGATTCATGCTTATTTGCAGGGTCAAAAGAAATTGATAAAGACTCGTGTGATGTTTTCACTTTCGTAAATTGGGAATCATTGTTTAATTTACCCAAACATGTTGCATTTAAGGGGGAAAATGGTAAATATTTAGGCGCATTCGAACACAATGGGATTCCATGTCTACAATTTTCTTATGACAATCTTGAAGATCCTAAGGTCGGCCACGAGTTGTTCGAAGCTCCTGATGGTACACTTTGCATAAAATCGAGTCACGTTGGGAAGTTTTGGAGGATTGGTGACGGTGATTGGATTGTAGTCGATGCAAATGATCCTCGCGGTAGTAGCAACACTGGTGCAATGTTTAGGGCTGTTGTGCGTGACGTTAACGTCATTGCACTTCTAAACATGTCAAAAACATGGTTTTGTAAGAGATTTACTCTTAATGAAAAGGAAAGCTTCCTGAATGCTGCTACTCAAAATGTTGATGAATTTGCAATACTAAAGATGATTGATTTGGGAACGGGGTTATCCTGTGTATAAAACCAAGACTTGTCTGTGGAATTGTTTAGTCGTGTTGCCTCGTTGTGATTCATCAAATGTCTTTCCGTTTCCTACTTTCCTATTTGGGTTGGCAACCAGGTTTGGTGTGTGGTCTGTTGTGCGCTTTTTTTTTTTTTTTTTTCTTTCTTTCTTTCTTTTAATCTTCTTAAGTTGTAAAATTTGCTCTTCTTTTAATGTACTTTTTGTAAAAATTAAAAGTAATAAAAGGTTATAATAAGTTGTACTATGTACTCATATTTTTTTGATAGTTTTGCAATGGTTACAATAAAATTGTGGCCATTACAACAATGAAATTTATATCCTTGAATCTTTGATTGTCATTATATAAATTAGTATCATTCATTAAGTTGACCAAAAAAACAACCAAGGAAAAAAAAAAAGAAAAAATGAATTGATCAATTTATAGGAGTATTGGGCTGAGGACAATTGTATGCGCATTAATCAAATAAAAGAGCTAGGTTGTGGGAAATTACCAGTTATAAATTAATGATAATTAAAAAAAAACTTTGAACTTTTTTTTCCCAAAAGTAAACTACTCTCGTACCGAAACTTCAATTGATAATTCTCTGCAAATTATGAACAGCCAATCATCCCATTTACATGAAATTCATATTCTGATCATTAATTAAATGAAAAAATACATAGACGATGTTATTTTAATGTGACCAACAAGAGTATTCATGTACTTTATAAATAAAAAGTTGGGAAAAAAAAATTATATTTTTTTAACAGACATAGAATGGAATGAAGTTATTCATGGAAGGTATAAGTTTTGATCTTGAAGCATAAAAAGAAAATGGTTTTTATACAATTAAACGTTTAATTTTTGGGAGAAGAAGTCTCTTACCAGTTTAGATTTATTTATTTTTTTTTTAAAATGAATGGATAAGATCGTTTTTTATAAATAAATGGCTGAGATTTAATGTCATTATAATAGCCCCAATTTTATTGTAGCCATTAAATAGTCTTTTAGTATATTTTTTTTTGGATCGATGGAGTGATCTATTTAGACACAATTGCAAGAGGATTGTCCTCTGTATGACCAATATGACACTATGATTTGTATGATTCGTATGAGAGTTTCAATTCACCATTTTGGTTATCTCGTAGCTTATATAGTTATACTCCGTACTATACTACTTAGGTCCAACTGAGTCATTCATGTTTTTTTAACTTTTTTTTGTTTTTCTTTAATTATTTTTTGAAAGATACTTTAATTTAATTTAATTTATTTTATTTTATTTAGCGGATTTTTATTTTTTTGAATTTGCTATATTAAAATAAAGTATTTATCATGCTCATTTCAAAAAAAAAAACCCAGCTTCCATTCTTGATTTTTAAAGGGACTTGGTTTTTACCGATAGAAAGCCCCGACCTTTGTTTCTTTACACTTTTTTATTTTTTTTTTTGGTTTATAATAATGATTTCTCCCTCGAAAAAAGGGTTTTCGATCTTCTTCGAAAGACAAGGTTTTTTCGATCTCTTTCGAAAGACAAGGTTTTTCTATATCTTTCGAAAGACAGGGTTTTCTCCCCTTTTTGAGAGGGGATTTCTTTAGCTTAAAATCCGGGATAATAGATTTGATAGATTGCCGTGACATTGTTTCATTGGTGAAAAATTATGCAGGGTCTCAAAGGTTTTCAAATTTTCGGATACAATCAGATGAGTCAGATGGAAATCATCCTCACGACTACAAGGGATTGTTAGATTGTCTCTCAAGTAAGGCTGCATTTCCAACAAAATAAGCAGGAGATGTTCCACATTGCAAGATCTGCTTGACTATAGTAGTTTTTATGAAGGAAATTTTTATTTGATTCAAATTATGTATTTGTTAAATTCGATTACCGTTATAGATGTTGTATAACTTTTCATTAATGGATTAACTAGATGAAAGCCCGTGCGATGCACGATTATTCATACATATATCTCAAGAAATTATATTTCCTATATACTCTAAGTTTTTTTTTTAATTATTTGATTTATTTAACAATTTAATAATTCAGACACAAAAAAAAAAAAAAAAACCAAAAACAAATAATAATTTAATTAAAATGATATTGCCAATTACAAAAGTATAATATTTTTAATGTAATTTATAATGCGACTTAATTTATTGTTGTTTTGTATTTTATTTGTTGTTGTTAGTTATATGACAATAATATGATATCTTTCACAAGAAAAAAAAGAAAAAAAAAATTGTAAATATGATATTTCATTGATTACATATTACGATAAAATCTTTAATGTGAAAAGATAATAATTTTTTATTTTTAAAATAATTTAAATTCTAAATCATTATTCGTTGCTTTTTACACTTGAAATTAAACTCTCAAATCTATATATCATTTTGTACATATCTTGTGATCTCTTGATCTCTAACAAATTATCTGTTTTTTTCAAATTTTTAAACATAAAATGTTTAAAGAAGGTAAAGTTTTTTATTACGTTATAAGTTTTAAACTTTTTTTATGAAAAAAATCTTATTAATCGGGTATTTAGATAAAACCATTAATTTCATAAGATAATTTTTTTTTTAATAATTTAAATCCTAATATCCCGCGGTTTTTTATACATAAAATCATATAAACATAATTTTTGTAATTAGATCATACTCAAAATATTTTTGAACATTAAAAATAATAGTTATTAGATGTTATATTTTGATGTATAAAAATTTGTATTAAAAAAAATCGATAGGATCACCAACTTTGTTCACACCGATATCTCTTCCATCTAACAAAATTGGATAAATAGAACATGTTATCAAAAATAAAATTTATATAAAATTTATATTAAAATATTTACCAGAAAGTGAATAATTGTTGAGAAATTAATCTAAAAATTGTAATTATACAAAATTAAATCTATGCATTGGAATTTTTTCATCATTCCAATTACCCAAACAATAGTATTTTGGAAAATTGGATCATTATTTTATTGTCGCTGACAATGCGTGCGATATTGCTTCTTATTTGTAACGACTGAAAAGTATCTAATAGAGTAAATTTTTTTCCTTCAATCAATTTTGAACAAAATTGTAGAACAAAGTTGACTTTAATTGAGGCATGAACGTAATCACCCTATAATTAAAAATAAAAAATTAAGTTAATTTTATGACTTAATTAAGCTACCTATATCACAAAAAAATTGTTTTAATCATAAAATTAATTGATAAAAACTAAAAGGTTCATTAAAAAATTAAATAAATGTAAACGATTTATAAAGATATAATACCTCCTCATCCAATAGGATCATCAGGCGAGAAACTCGTACTTTGATATTCCAAAGATTTTTGCTCGAATATAATTCTCTAATTAAATTAGATCTGCATGTAAAAACAAAATTCAATAAACAAAACATAAACATATAATCATTAAGTATCCCAAATAAATACAATTTAAGCAATAATCACAAATATACATTTAAACATGGGTTTTAAAAATTAGGCTAAGAATTACCTGCCATTGATGACCTAATAAAACTGACACAAAATTAATGACACAAAATTTGCTTGGTTTGGTTTTGTATTGATACGAAATTTAGTTGGTGTCGTATGATGTGTCAATTTATAATGGTAGGTAACACAAATTTTAATTTAATTATAATGAAGAAATAATTTTTATTTCTTATCATAAACACTATCAAAATTTATCTTATAATAGTAGGTATATAAATCCTATATCTAAAGATGATTATATTAAAAGATAATTTTTAGTTTTTTAAATAATTTAAATCCTAATAAATCAATATTCGTTATTTTTACTTACGTGGCAAAATTCCTAAATCTCATTCGTCACTTTTGTTTAGGTGGCAAACGAATTTTTTAATTCCAAAATAAAATAGAAATCTAATTTTTAATTAGTCGAAAATATACCTTTGCTTATGGGGCATGCCGAATGCTCTCCAAAAATGCCTACTTTATTTATATATATTAGATTTTACTATTAAAAAAAAGAAGTATTTATCAAAAGACACTATTTATAAATTTAAATTCCTCTTTCAATTTGTATATATCCACTAATAACATAAAACCAAAGTACCCTACACAATTCATTATTCCCATCGCTTCTTAAATCGGCTCGTTTTTACTTTGAAATTATGTGTAAGCTAATCTATAAGGAAATTTATTTTTTTTACTTTTGAAATTATGTGCAATCTAATCTATAAGGAAAAAAAAAAACTCACCTATTTTTTCTTCCATATTATCCTTTTATTATCACTTCTATTAAATATAAATATTTCTTAAATCAACATTTTCATTATTGAATCTTATCGTGAAATATGCATAAAGTAATATAATTCATTAACTATCAATGACAATGAAATTACCCCTTTACATTATAAAAATAAGGAGTTGGAAAAAAAATAATTCAACATATGAACAAGTTATAAAACTTTAGATTTTAAAAAAAATAAAGAAAATGTATAAACTAATACTCCGTATCATTTGAAAATAAATTATTTATACATAAAAAAATGCTTAGAAAATTAATCATACGAAGTATATTTTTATTTTATAAATTTAAAAATGTGAATAGTTGTGTGTCAATTGATCTTACTAAAGTTTAATTATAATAGTCTTTGAGTTATGTATAAAAAAAATCTTAGCATTGCCAGTTTTCATTAATGTAATACTACCTTCGTTTCTGAAAGTTTGACTCACTTACTATTCATATGGTCAAAATAAAATAAGTTTGACCACAGTTTGTGATTTATACAATAAAAATAAATTAGTATGTGGGATCTTATTAGATTCACCTTATTATAAGTTTTCCAAATATCAACTTTTTATAATTTTTACTCATACATAGCTAAAGGTATTCATTGTTAAAGATGTTCATTGAAACCCGCGCAAATGCAAAGTGAGTCGAACTTTCGGGAAGGGAGGGAGTACATTTTATCTTTAAATAAACTACGAATATTGGATATTCAAATTACCCGATCCAATAATATATGTATATCGGATATCTAAAATTTTCTGATATGAATTCATATATCAAATATAAATTTTTTTTGATAGCATTTAAAATTGGATATCTATCTCACCCATGCTCAGGCCTATTTCGGCATGCCTAAGCATTTCTTTTGAAAATTTGGACACATCACATCATGTAGCAAGTGTGTTATTTGGACACACCACAACATACAGCAATCCATTAAGGCTCTGTTCGGTAGGGCGTAAAATATTTTCACTGAAAAGTGTTTTCCTATTTTACATTGTTTGGTTTGGTGTAAAACATTAAAATGTAAAACTTGGGGTGGAAAATCATTTTCCACCCTATTGAAAACATTTTCCCCCCAATTTAAAAGGAAAACATTTTCCATCACAAGTGGAGGGAAAACATTTTCCCTCACAATTGAATTTTCAGTTCAACCAAACAATGAAAAATGCTTAAAATTGAAAATCATTTTCCATTCAACCAAACAACGGAAAACTTTTTTGAAAATGAGTTTTAATTTCCATTGTAAAATGATTTTCATGGAAAACCATTTTACATTGAAAATGTTTTACACCCTACCAAACGGACCATAATAAAAAAAACAAATCCTCCTAAAAAAGAGATAAGAAGAATCTGGTCATTCATAAGATTAAAATCGTCCTAATAAAGATAATGAAAAACCTTGTCATTATTCGATAAAGAAACGACGTCCCTTCAAGAAAACAAAGAGTTATTATAAACCTAAAATCAAACAAAAATAAAGAGAGCACACACAAAAAATAAAAATAAAAAAATAAATAAAAAAATCAGAGCTTGCATATAACATGTGGATCATAATTGACACGTCAATTGTATATATACATTATTGTCATGATTCTAGACTACATTTTAAAGTATACTCTCTCCGTCTCTATTTTTTTTTGCTCCATTGCTAATTTTTGGGTCAAACTTTAAAAATTTTAAGAGCACCCCCAAAGGTTGATAAGAGGTCCTTGCTTGCAATTTCTAAATATTTAGAACGGAGCTTTTAGCTAGCCATTGAAGAGCTACAAGGGTTGTAGCTTTGATGAAACTACATAGTTCTACAAAGTTATGTAGTTTCACTTTCCAAAGACACTTTAATATCACATGACTATATTATCTTTTATTGATTAACGGTAATTTATAATCAAAGTTTGACCAAAAAAATATCAATGGAGCAAAAATAAAAGGAAAAGGGAGTCGTAATCTATCATGAACAAAAAAAGTATCATGGTCGTAACTCGCAATTCAAACAATATGTGAAACACGTGAGCTTATCCACTCGGAGAAAATTGCACTTTTGGTACGGGCTAATAGTCCAGATACTCTACGTAACTGCATAAAAAGTGGGCATACAAATTAAAGAAGTACATAAACTAGTAATCTGGGGTACCGTTTGGGGCACACACTAATTGTTTCATCAAATGTTGTAAGCTTCTTAATACCCGCAACATTTGTCTTTTTTACCGTTCTAAAGAGTACTTGCAAGTTGCAACACTTGTTTTTTTTAAGGAAACACTTTTTTTATTTCATATATTACGAGTTTTCGACCATTCTTGGGTCCTTACAAACCTTTTATATACACCCGGATGCACATAGAGGTAGGTGCACCCAAAGATGTGGAGTATTAGTTGAAGGATTTCGCTGATTTCAAAGACGGGTAAGACCCCAATTAACTATGGTTGACTCCTTTCTACATTCTACCTAACAATGTTATATAGGAGTTACATGTCAATATTCTCTATAACGAACAAATTACAAAAGTTGCCCTTCTTTTTAGTAGGAAATGACCAAAGCACCCCTAGATAAATGATAAACATGCCCAGTTTATCTAGAAGATGAACCGAGACCTGCTAAAAAAACTCGTGTAACTCGCAATTCAAACAATATGTGAAACATGTGAGCTTATCCACTCGGAGACAATTGCAATTTTGGTACGGAGTAATAGTCCAAATGCTCTACGTCATTACATAGTACATACAAAGCGGGTATAAATAGTATGGCAATTTGGAACAAGCTATGCAAAGAAAGTTAATACTAGCACTTGTAGAAGTTGAGAAAGTAATATAAGGAAGAGAGAGATAATATTCAAAGATAATACTACAAAAATGGCGTCTGTACCACCAATGGCTGTACCAACAACGGTTGCAAGTAAGGTAATCTGTCTGAAATCAGACTATAACAACAAATTCCTGCGCTATAGGAATGACATAGATAGTCAAACATATGGCCTTCTTGAGTTTGCTGGTGATGAGGTAATGGATCAATGTGCCCACTTTGAAATTGAGCAATCCAAGACTTATGATGGTCTTGTTCATCTCAAATCCCGCTACAATAACAAATATTTTGTCAGGTATGCATTTTTTTTTTCCTTTCAGACGTCTGTTTCAAATTATTTGCAAGGGTTTTGCATGTTAGTACATAGATAATATAAAATTGTTACGAATAATTCGGAACGGATGTAGTATGTATGTACTTACGCTTTGTCTTATATTACTTCCTCTGTTTTCTTTAGATGCATTATTTTCGAGTCATGTACAACTTGATATAGTTTTGTTTGGAGAACGATATAATTTGATATTCTCTAAAAAAGGAGCATGTATGTAAGTAATGTAACTATATAATATAAGATAAAGGATATATTTGATGTTTAAGTTGAATATGGTCAGCTAGTCAATATCAACTATCAAGTCGAGTTGATCAAATTTGAGTTTGGTTAGTAATAGGTTAAGTTGAATCTGGTCAGGTCGATATTAATGAGTTGAATGAATCCGGATTTCAATAAGTTAAATTTGGTTTGGGTCATTCTCAGGTCCAGGTCGGATTTGGTTTAGGTCAATAATTTGTGAGTTATATTCTGGTCATATCTATCATCTCTAGGTCATGTCATGTCCAGTTTTGGGTCTTGAATTCTCAGGTTAACTTGAGTTTCTGGTGGTATGATTTTGCTCGGTTTAGAATTATTTTAATCAAACATTAGAACAAATTGTAAACCATAAAAATTCAAACCTACAATATACAAATAAAGAGGTAGAAAACTATACAGAAATAATATTTAGATTGATAATATGTGGATTGCAACTCTCGTAGATCTCTTGATTCCTCTCTTCAAAGGGCTAGGGTTTTAGTATGTGTTTATAGATAGTACGAAGCCTTGTCGGCTTCATCTATACTATATACCTACAATGTTTGGTAGTAGGGAGGAGCTGGAGTCTTTGTGAATTATTCTATCTGAGGATCATTAAACCCTAGAAACGATTCTCTTTATATAGAGTGTTGTAGAGTAGTAAACAAGACAACTATCAAATATGCTACGGGATCTTGAAGATAAATATCTTATGTATATATATATATTTTTTTGATATTATCTCCTTATTAACATATATTTGGTACCTCAAAATTAACAAAATTTCGGTGCCAACAAATGCCCCCTCGAGACCTGTTGTGGAGATTTGACATCGGATGCAACTTGGTCTCGAAATTTTCTAGTAGAATTTGGAAGCAAATTTGGCATGCCCCCATTAAATCTACGACTTTTGAAACTTGAAGAGCGGAGATGAAGAGCGAAAATCGTTCCACCGAGCGTGCCAATTTGTAAACCATAAAAATTCCAAACCTACAATATACAAATAAAGAGGCAGAAAACTATACGGAAATAATATAGATTGGTAATATGTGGATTATTACAACTCTCGTATTTGTCAGCTTAATATATATTATATACCTACGATGTTTGGAAGAAGGGAGGAGATGGGATTTTTGTGACGTATTCCATCTGAGTCTCACTAAACCTTATAAACAACTCTCTTTATATAGAGTACTAGATTAGGTCATGCACGGTAATTTTCACTATTTATTATTAGTTTAACACTATATTTAATCATAAAAATAATCTAATTGCATGCAAAATAAGATAAAAACTCGTAATTACAAAAATATGATAAAAATTACCAAATAATTAAATAAGATTAAAATTATTGTAATTAGCGGGAGTATTACATGCACGACTAATACAAATAATTAAAAATTACGTCACAAAGTTATATGTAGAAAAATAATATTTTTGTTGAATGTGTATAAATGGTATATGTAACACCCTAGAAATTCCTTTCCTTTAGAGTATCTATTTTACCCTTTTTGAAATACGAAGTAGGAAAATCTAAGACATTACCGCCACCGTGAAAACGGTTAAGGCAATTATCAAAAACACACAGCGGAAGGCTATATTTTAAAACTATTCAAAATAAATCAACTTAAAAAGTCAAACCAAAAGAAAGTAAAGTCAAACAAAGTCAACCTACAACTTGGAACCATTACAGACCCTCAAAACCAAACAATACTGAAAACCTTTGCGTTAGTCTCATGAGCATAATAAAATAAATAATATTCAAAGCAAATAAAACACATCATATTCCTATGGAAACTAAGCATGATTCGCTCTTCACTCATGCCCATCACGAAAATGCTTCATCACCTGAAAAACTTCTCTCTACTTGTCCCCACTACTGCCGTTAGAAATGGGTCATCATAGGGCCAAGGTAAAGACAAGGCCAAACAAACATACAACACACAATCAGTAATGCTGAGTACATACTCGTAACTAAAACACATTAACATGCTTTCACCCTATCATCATACAACTTACCTTGTTGCACCTGTAAACAAGCATACAAGACATTCAACACTTAACTAGACAAATACCAATGTCCATTTAAATTTGATTACGCATCGAACGGATTTCCCCCTAACCTGCCCCAATAAAGGGGTACGGACACGGGAGCTAACCGTGCCTGTCTAAAAGAAACCACTCGTAAGTGGCGGAATTCCTGCGCACAATAAAAAGGAATATACAACGTCTTGTACTCCCAGTAAAAGTTATGGTCAAATATAAAGTCGCACAATTCCCCCCATATGTTCATACTCAAGGTATATACGTTCCAAAAGTTTTGGTGCGTAATCTCTTTCACTTTACGTTGCTTTACATATTATTATACTTGGTGATGACTTTCAAACTATAACACAATCAAACATTATAATTCATTCAAGCAATCAAACATACCAATTTAATTCTTGAATAATTAGTGACCACATAAAATTTAATGTTGAATCCTTTTTAAACTACCTCGGTGTTAAATAACACCTTAAGCGCATAAAGCACCTCAAATCCTATCTCTCGGTGTTTAGAACACCTTAAGTGCACTTAGGCACCAAAATATAATTTAATCCTCGTGTACTTAGACACTTTAATAGCTCCTTTTTCATGTTTATAGCATCAATAAAAATTATTTATGAACCATAATAAAATTTCCTTTTCATATTCCAAACCAAATTAAACATTTAAACATGCCTTCCATCATGATAATAATAAAAGTGTGGTTCATATCCAACATGCCAACATAACTAATTCCAATCACCAATTCATCATATAAATAATTCATACATCACAAATCATTTACCAACATCAATCCAATCAATAAATTCCAACCAACACCTATCATTATACTACTTGGAATTAATTTATCAAAGCCTAGCATGTTTCTACATATTCAAATAATTACCAAGTACGCGAACGTACCTTGAATATGATCTCAAAATCGCCACGACTAAATAAAATTACTCACTTGGAAAACTCCTACAAACCAAAATTACAAAGAGGCATTAATACCTATTCCACACAAATTTCCAGCAATATATACACTCTTTAACTCACTCATAAACCCTCTAAAACAAGCTAAAATTTAATTTAAAACCCTTACTTTTACTCCCAATTAATGAGTAATTAAAAATTCTTTCAAGAAACATAATTATAGCTTATATACAAAAATTCCAGCTTTATTAAATCATTCAAAATTGTTGTAATTGTGTTTCAAAACACTTATCTCAATAATTTAATTCACCCATAAATAAATTCCATCAATATACATAAACTTAGAAACCTAGGGTTTATAATTTGGGGTTTTTTTAATTCAAAACCAAATCTGAAATTTTATATACAAATACTTATTATCAAACATCATATATAAAAACCATCACAAAACCCAAAAACAATAATTAGATTAAGGGTGGATTGAAGTAAAAATCAAAAAGAAGATTTTTTTTTTCTTTTATACAAAACACACGCACACACAAGGGGGAAAAAGGAGGGTGGCTGGCGCCACCTCCCACGGCTGCTGCTGCTGCCGGCTGTGGTGGTAGTGGCAGCCGGCCACCGTGATGTGTGTGGGGGGGTTGGTGTGAACTAAAAATAAAATAAAGGGGAAGGGGAAAAATTAAGGGGAAAAGAAAATAAGAGGAGAGAGAGTTTACCTTTGGGTATTCTCCGCCTTGGGCAAAGTTTGATTTTGCTCATGTGATGGGTATTTATACCCTCTCTCATTAACCCTTCTACTTAAAATTCCTTTACTACCCTTAATGATCCCTTTCCTATTCAAACTAGTATTTTGACTTTCCTTAAATACCATTGATTCTAAAATTTACCTTTTATATGATAATATACCCCAAAGTTTTCAAATCATGAAATAAAATATTTTCAAGATTGTTAAATAATTAAAAATAAACTTTTAATTAAAATAATTCTTTTTAAATTAATGAAACACCATAAATAATTCATTTTGAATTATTTAAATATAATAAGAAATACTTATTTAAGTTAAAATACGTATAAAAATACGGGGTATTACAATCTACCCCCCTTAAAAGAAGTTTCGTCCCAAAACTTGGGTAACGAAATTCAAACTTTTTCCTCACTTTGTACAATATTGCTGTACTCTTTTGTCATACTTTGTATAAAATTGTTAAATACGGTTATATAATCTCTTTTAATAATGAAGAATATTTATACATACGATATCATATTGCTTAGCTATACAATAGTGTACTTTTTGTAGTTTAGTTTGTAAATAGGTATCTATGTTATTATTAACTTGAAATTCTTTCTATTAAACTTAAATTATTTTTACTGAATTGAAAGTATTTTTACCAAACTAAAATTATTTTTACTGATTAAAACTTAAATAAATTAAATATATTATAAATGAATTATATTTTAGACAACTTTTTAAAACGAATTTTATGATAATGGAAATAAAAACAAGTTATATGATATCAAAGTTATGATTATATATATATATATATATATATATATATATATATATATATATATATATATATATATATATATATATATATATATATATATATGAAATATTAGATGTATATCGATAATAAAACTCTATATAACATTTTTATGTTAAAAAATTTATCCAAAATTCGCTTACTTAGCATCATATGTGTCACAATAACATCTATTCGTAAAAATAAAATAAAAATATAAAATATTGAAACGCGTGAAAAACTCGTAAAGTTTTAAGACCTTGCTAACATTGATCTGAATTTACTTCAAGATTCCCTTGTATTGTACAATTTCTATTGTGTCCTAATTAATTTTAGTAGTTTTTGATGACTTCTTTAATTTCATGAACAAAATCACAAACATACACAAAAATATTACAACCGAATATGAAGAATACTTGATTCAAAAGCTTTATAGGTAAATCAATGGTAGACTAAAAAAAAATGATACATGGCCATATTTAAAATTATGATTACGTGGATATTCATATTAATTATAATATGTGGTGTGTTGCTATAAGTAAAATTATATTGTCAACAAAAAGATAATTTTTTTTCAAAAAAAGAATTATAAATTATTTTATGTATACTTTTTTTATCCTAAACAAAACTATCCAATCTAATCTAACGTGAAATCTAATCTAATCACAATAATATCTATTTGTTGCCTACATGGCTCGACACTTGGCGAAAAATTGGAATGCCAAGTGTCGTTTTCTCGTAGCCTAATTGCGAGACTGGCTTTATTTATTAGTGACTAGTTTTGTGTACGGGCAATGCCCAGATGGTTGATAAAATTTTAAGATAACGTTTTTACTTTAATGATAAATACGGTCAAATAATTCGTTCTGATAATGTAGGATATTTAGACATATGATATCATATGGCTTATATTTATATATTAATACTTTTTGTAGTTTTGTTTGTAAATAAATATCTTTGTTATTATTGACTTGCAATTATTTTTAATGCACTTAAATTATTTTTACAGAACTTAAAGTATTTTTACCAAACTAAAATTAATTTTACCGATCCTCTAATTTTTTTTTAAAATAAATTGAATAACAATGCATTTTGTATGTGGCTAGCCACACCATCTAGCCGGACAAAGTACCCCTTATAAAAATGACCGAGTAACTCCTGTAATACTAACTGAGTAACCTCTAACACTGACTAAGTAACCCCTATCTATAACACTGATTGAGTAATAACCACTATAACACTGACCAAGTAACCCCAATAGCACTAATGAAATAACTCTTGTAATAGTTGGTTACACGGTTTGATCAGCTACGTATAAAAGTTTGGGATTAAATATATTATATATAGATCTTATTTTAAAGAACTTTTTAAAACGAATTAATGATGGAATAAAATTGAGTTATAGGATATTTATTAAAAGTTATGATTAATTTTGTATATATGAAATATTAGAATTATATCGATAATAAAACTCTATATAATAATTTTATCTTAAAAACCTATCTAAAAATCGCTTACTTAGCATCATATGTGTAACAATAATACCTATTTATCTCCTACGTGGCGTGACACTTGGTGAAAAACTAAAATGCTAAGTGTCGCTGTCTCGTGGGCTGGATGCGAGACCGACTTTATTTATTAGTGATATATAATATGATATGATATTTGGCACCTCAAAATTAACAAAATTTCGGTGTCAACAAAAATGATCAATTATTTATTGATAAACTCCGTTAACACTGGACTGTTTATTTATAGGTGGTCTCCCATTCACAATTGGATTAGTGCATCATCCCACAACATAGATGAAAATCAATGCAATTGGAGTTGTACATTGTTCAAGCCAATATATCTCAGTGATGATGATGGTACACAAAAAATGCGACTTATGCATGTCCAACTCGGTCATTATGCAAGCTTGTGGAAGGACGAAGCCTCTTTTGATTCATGCTTAAATGCAGGGTCAAATGAGACTAATGAAGACTCGTATGATGTTTTCACTGTCGTAAACTTGTTTAATATACCCAAGCATGTTGCATTCAAGGGAAATAATGGCAGATATTTGGGTGCGATCCAGCTAAGAGGTTCTCCTCATCTTCAATTTTCATTCGATAATCATGATGATCCTAGGGTCGCCCATGAGGTGTTTGAAGCTCCTGATGGTACGCTTAGCATAAAATCGAGTTACTTCGGAAAGTTTTGGAGGCTTGGTGTCGATGATTGGATCGTAGCTGATGCCGATGACCCTTGTGGTAGTAGCAAAGCTGATGCAAAGTTTAGGCTTGTTGTGCGTGACGTTAATGTCGTAGCACTAATAAACATGTCCAAAACTTGGTTTTGCAAGAGATATACGAGTCGTGACATTGAAAGCTCCCTGAGAGCTGCTACTGAAAATTTTGACATATTTACACCACTAGAGATGTTTGATTTGGGAGCTTAACGGGGTCGCGCCGCTCTGTATGTGAAATGATACTACTATATCATCTCTTCGATGGTCGTGATATTTATGTTCTCTATTTAAGAAATAAACGAGTTGTTGAACCCGAACAGTGCAATGGGGTATTTATATATATTCTCTATTTATTATGTTCTCAATCTAAGAAATCAACGAGTTGTTGGGCTCGAACGGTGCAACGGCCTATTACATGTATTTATATATCAAGACCAAAAAACATGTATTTAATTATTTATATATGCTCTCTATTTGTTCTCAGGGTTCAATTTTTATAGAGTAAGTCATATATTTATTTTTGTAGTCTGTGTGATGGTGTGGAATGATAACCAATAACGGAGGCTAGAAGGGTACCATATTTTAATCAATTATGATGGCATGGAATGCAACGGTAACCAACAAAGGAGGTCAGGAGAAGCAACATGACGTGTGGATTATTTTTATTTATTTTTATATATTTTTCTTTTTAAGTATGCATGAACTTTGAGGAAAAGATTAAGTAATGTAAACGGCCAAATTAATCAAAATAATTTATACACGTAGTAATTAATTTAACCCTTCTCTAATCTTGGTTTTTAAATTATTTTGATAAAATAGGTTTTTACCTACTCTAATCAACTTCTAAAATAGCGAGCCAAAAAGGTGTATTGCATTTAAAAGAAAATAGAGAAAGTATGTATTAATAATAATATTAAAAAATAATTTCACTTTAGCAATTTTTTTTTTTTTTTTCAGTTTAGAAACAATAATTTCAGTTCTTGATCGAGTTATTCTGACTATACTAAGTTACTAACTATTGCTAGAATGGCAGCTAATGGTGAAACCCTCTCAACGCATTCTCGTCTAAAAAAAAAAGATAAAGATGCAATCAATTAAGTTCCAATTAAACAAAATAATATTATAAAATGCACGATATAAGATACATATACACCAATAACACAATAATATACTAGCTCTTCTTAATTTGGTCAAGTTCAGCTTTACACCTCCTTCATGATCAACACCAAATTCACACTAATCAGAACCTGCATCAAGAGAGGAATCGACCTTTATACGGAGTAATTAACAATGTATAATAACATGCATTTTTATTTACATTTGATTCTTTTTTTTAGGCGTTATAACAAGAATTGACAATATTATATAACAGCACATTAACTGTCATGTGTGACATTGTTAAATACTACATCTATTACTAAAATTATTTACATTTGATTCTTTTTTTTAGGCGTAATAACAAGAATTGACAATATAATATAACCCTTATCAAAAAAAAAAAAAAAAAAAAAAAAGACAAAGACAATATAATATAACAGAACATTAACTGTCATGTGTGACATTGTTAAATACTACATCTATTACTACAATTATTTACATTTGATTCCTTCATGGTTTCAAATACAAATCTTTAACAATTTATAAGTAAAACTACATAAAATAGTGATGTATTAAGAATGGGGGATTTTTAAGTGAGATCTTGTTATTTTTTTGAAGTGTATTTTTAATACACCATTTTTTTTATATGATTTTGCATTAGCGAACAATTAACCCTTGTTGGGAATGTTCACCCCAAGTCTCATATGGAAGAAATAAGGAAGGGATGTTTTCCTTATAAGTGGAAACACGTTGCTTTAGTATGAGTCTTTTTGAGAAGTGGAATGTGCATGCAGTCCGACAAGGTAGGTAACTTGAGCCTAACTTTTAACGAGAAAAAAAAAAATCTAAAATCCCAATCCACCAATTATAAAACTCTATCATAAAAAAATGTCCCGAGTATTTGCACAATTGCACTGCTACACTTTAGTAGAGATGAAAAATTACAACTCGTGCAACCATCCTCAATTATTTTTTTTGGATCAATTTTTCTAACTTTTGCTTTTGTCCAACCAAAACATTAGGGTCAAGCTTCACGCAAATTCTTAGCTTTTTCTAACTTATGTAGCTAAACTAGCTGCATCACTGTATCCATATAGTAATTCAAAACATACTTTTTTTTTTCCCTTCTTTATATCTTAACTCTCTTCCTTCTTCTTTCTTACCTCTATTAATTTTCTTTCGCCTCTATTTGCTTCTTAATCTGAAATTTTCTCTCTCCTCTTTTTCCCCCCTTTTTTATATGTTAATTTTCTTTCTTACCTCACTTTTCTCCAATCTTTATACTTCTTTGTCATTCTAATTCGGATATTCTCCAATTCGTCACCATTTTAGCATTCTGCATCATCATCATCTTCGTTACGATCACGAAACTTGAGGTAATTTTGAGTTTTTTTTTTAAAAAAAAATTATAAATATGTGAATTTTGTAAAATTGTTGATTTCTAATCTATTATGTTATAGATCGATAATTGTTGTCTCTATGATGAACCAAGATTAGATTTAAGGTCGATATTCAAATTTTTAGAGTTAAAATAATTACAACCGAATTTGTGTTCTGTAGATAAAAAAAAATATGAACATAAAGTAATTTAAAATTGAACATTTTGTACAAAATTAACATTTAGTACACTAAAAATGAACATTAGTATATAAAAAATGAACATAATTTAACGATATATTTTATCTTTATTTTTGTTAATTATTATATACAATGAATTTGAACCTATATGAATATTTTGAAAATCATGTTCATTTTTAATATACTAAATATTCATAATTTTTTTAAACATGTGTTTATGTGTTTATTTTTTTGTACTAAATGTTCATTTTATATAATGTATTCATATATTATTATGAAAGGTTCATTTTATTAGGTATGGTTCAGCTATTCTATGACTGTATGATAAAACTACACTAAATGTTCTTTTTTATTTTTTTATTTTTTTGACATGTCCATTTTTTATTACTAAATATTCATTCTTCTACGTGTTTATTTTTTTATTACTAAATGATCATTTTTTTATACGTGTTCAATTTTTTTTTTTTTCTACTAAATATTCATTTTTAAGGTCGAGGTCTATCAATTTTATGATTGTATGATAATTATGTATACTTTTAATATACTAAATAATCATTTTTTTTAACATGTTCATTTTTTTTAAGTGTTCATTTTTTTATTACTGAATGTTCATTTTTTTAACGTGTTCATATTTTTTACTAAATGTTCATATTATAGGGCGTGGTGCAGCTATCCTAGTTGCACCAGGGTGCAGGTAAGACTTATTGCAAGCTTCAAGCAACCCAACTCAAACATTATAGGCTCAAAAAAACCCAACACAAACACAAGACCACCTAAATCAAAATGCACCCAACTTCAACTGACCACTTTTGTTTACCTTCTTCAATGGCTTCCAATTTCTAAGGTTAACCCTTCATTCTTCCCCAAAATATCAGGGTTTATTCTTGCTACTACTACACAAGCATTCATCAATGGCGTCTTTAGCTCTTCACCTTAAATCCCACCACCATAAACCCTCTCAATACCTCCTCAAATCCACTTCATCTAACCTCACTTTCTCTCTCCTCTTTTCTTCATTGTCTTCCTCCGACAACAACAAAAATGGCGGCGGTAATCCCCTCGACAAGCCGCACCCCTTTTCATCTTACTTTGATGGTATCAAATCCAAGCTAAAGCACCATGAACAACAACGAGAACAAGAACAACAATCTTCGGGTTTTAAGTATTCGAATATTGGGGTAAATCCTCAAGGTTCTTTGAATCCCAAAAATGCTGCTTCATTTGATGAAATTAAGAAGAATTTGTCGGAGTTTTGCCGTCGATCGACGGTTCCGCCGTTGGTTTTCGAGCACCAGTAGAAGTAGACGATGTTTCAGACCAGAAATGCTGGAAACCCTAATGATAATACTGGGAAAAATAGTGGGAGTTTATAGACAAAACACTCAACTCGGGTGGTACTCGGCTTAGTTGGGCGCGAGTGAAAGTCTGGAAACAGACCTTATCTCGCCCGATCGGGCGAGTCATGCCTGGTCGGGCGCGAGGAGCTTCGAAATCCGTCACTTTCTTCTTTGGATGCTCACCCAGTCGGGCCTTGTCCCCCCGATCGGGCACGTGGTGATTAAATCATATTCTTTATTCTTATTTAATCACCCTTTTGATGTCTAGATTCATTCTTTGCATCTTATATTCTTGGTTATAAATAGCTTGTTCATTTTCTGAATTACATACACTTGAACATAACCTTCAAACACAAGTTTAAACACATACTCTATATTGAGCATAAGTTACTTGGCTCCAACCTTCCACCCAAAAGTGCCTTTGTGTGGAAGTAGTGTGTTAACCTTAGGGAACGTGCCGACGAATACAATTGTGCACCCCGGTTGCGTCGGAATTTCGTTTTCAAGTCAGTGAATTTGCTTCACGACGCACCGTACTCTTTCCATTGTCATAAGATCAACTTTTTGATCTTCTTGTTTACTTCTTATTGTAGCCTTGAAATACTTCTTATATTACAACACTTATATGATAGTTAAGTTGGTGTGAATCCCAGGATTTCTATCATCAGGGGTATAATAATCACAAACTAAGAAGGGGTTCATTTGTAATGTTCTTATGGAAAAAAATAATAAATTAAAGACTTAAGTTCATGCTTTTAGCAAACTCTATGTTCATGGGAGAGATTGTTATATACACCTTCTATCATCAGGGGTATAGTAATCACAAGCTAAGAAGGGGTTCATCTGTAATGTTCTTGAAATAATGTTATTATATACTTCCTCTATTCTAGTAATATTGCAACAACTGGACTTTTACACTATTCATCACTCTTGTTTGACCACATATTATGATTTACATGTAAAGTAAAATATAGTCATGTGGGTCTTGTTAGATTCTTCTCGTAAAATACTTTCACAATATCAACTTTTTATAATTTTTACTCTTATATAATTATAGATATTCAGCATATAATGTGCTTTGGGATGCGTAATTTCATCCTTGTTGCAATATTTGTGGAAAAGAGAAAGTATAGAAATTTGTACTTACCGAATCGTAAGACCTTGTCGATTCTTTAGACTGCTAGGGATACGACCCTTAAATTTGTTGTTTTGAAGATATCTGCCATTAAATTTAATAAGCAAATTATATTAGAGGTGGCTTAAATACAAAATTATATTACCGAAATTGCAAAATTTATTTAGAAAATTCAGAGGTGATTTTTGTAATAAGATTAATCATGACATACATCTCACGGATTCGTGGAAGTTTGGCTAATGATTCAGGAATTGATCCTTCAAATTGATTATTTTCCAAATGCCTGTATCAATTTTATGCATGTTTAATCTTACACATTAATGCAAAACTATTGATAGAATATATCCAAAAATAACAAAAATGGTTAATTGATTTGTAATTTCAATATGCACGCATTTGATTAAGCGAGCTTACAAGGTTTCTAGCATCTTCATGGAGCTCATATTCGGCAACGTACCAGAGAGTTTGTTATGCCCAAGCCAACTATAATTAAAAAATTATATAGTAATTGTCATAACCAACGACTTTTCATATTATGAGAATTGAAAGAGGTAATATAGGTTAGGCATATCTAAGGGAGGTAACAAAAAAAGTGAATTCCTCGTCAAATAAAAGTGTACTCCCTAAGAGCGCATGGTACATATATACGTACTACGTAGTACAAAAGTGAGTCATACCAGCTACCATAATGACACGGTGACGGTGGTGTTATGTAACAGCTAACATGACTATTCTTTACCCACTAGGAAGGGAGAGTGCATTTTTTCTAAAAACATGCGTTTTGGCCCATGAAACGTGAGCGAATTAAAAAGAGATCTTATGTGTGTTATTTAAAAAGGCTATGCCTCAGATTTTTTGAAAAATAGAATCACAAAATAGTAGGGTTGTCTCTCTAAGATGCACATATATTTTTTGCTCTAAAAAAAAAATGCACACACAATATCTAGTGTCTACCATGCCTCGATTCGGAGTACGTGCACGTAGATGAATGGACTAGGCAAGTTTGTTTAACGACTTACAGATGGGCAATTGCAGTTAGATCTTTTATGCTTGTCGATAAAGATCCAGAGAGCCCCAAACCTGTCAAATTCCTATAACACCAACAAAAAGGAAAGGAAAATTCTTTCTTGTAATAAACTCTTCACATAAGTTGTATACATATTACACAACTTATGAAGAGAATATGTTACAAGATAGAACTTCCATGATCAAAATTAAAATACGAATATGATATAATGTAGTTTTTTCAACATCAGTGAGTACAAACTATATATTGTATTGAGTACATCTAATTTTTATCCCGATACATTCACATTTAATGTATTTTAAGTTTCAATAATCATAAGTTCAATTTCAATGTAAATATTATTATGACAAAAGTAGCATGGCTCTCCAAAAATATGTGATTGATTGATGTAAATCAAATTAACTTAGCTTGTCTTTAAACAAAAGTTTATAACTATATATACTCGTATATTGAACTAGATGAACTTCAGCTATAAATGCACTAAATGTGAAGGTACCGGGATGAAAATTACTGTAATTCTTCTTATAAGAATTGAACTGACATAGCTTCAACTCGAGCAATGCCGTTTGATTGGGAACATGTAACTCCACTCCATGAATTTTTTCGAGGTAAGCAAGGATCTCCGTTCCAATCACCGGGCGGATTATTCAAGCTTCGATCCAAATCAGTCATTGCAGTCACTGCCAAATTTTACGACTATGTGAAAGCCTTTAGATTTAGGTTTTGTTCTCTTCATCTTATCTTATCACGACTTTTTACACAATCTTGTTAAAGTGAGACTAGTAAAAGAAAAGCAACTTAGCAAGCATAGTATTACCATCCTTGTCACTAGTCCTCCCACCAAGGGGAAGGAGCTGAAACATCTCGGCAGCGTTCAAGACAGGTCCAACAGGGGCGCCGTCCTCCGGGATCAACGTGATTTGAGTTTGACCGGATAGAGGCCATTCAGGTGTATACACATTCACCCCACTAGTTGTTACATTGATCTTGTTATAAAACGCGTCGCCGTTAATCAATATGTTAAACACTCTCCAACTGTATGGGCTAGGAGTTCGGTTATCTTGGAAGTAAAGAGATATGTGGTAGTTGCTATCGGACAATGGCGTTGGCGGCCACTTGATTTCGAGGGTTTTGCCTCGGCTTGTTGTTATTGCTGAGCTTAATGCCTGACTTGGTGGCATGTTCCAAAAATCCGATGGTGTTATGTTAGATTGACATTTCACTGTTGGATTTGTATCTTTGAATTGTTGCCACATTCGGTTATACTCGTCATCTGGATAACTAGTCTCCAAATAATCAATCAACTACATATTATAAAAATAAATCACTTGTTTTTATAGATGTACTATCTAAATCTATTCGGTACCACTGTTAGTTTTCTGTTTTTTTAGTTCGGGATTGCAGAATGTACAAAGTGTATACCAAAAATTAAAACTATCAGTGATACCAAACAAACCTTTAGCTAGAAACTTAATTAAACTCGCAAATATAAAGAACTTGTATGAGAACGTTTTTTTTTTAAAAGATTGATTATGTACCTGATAAAATTTGCTTCACCATTATCTTTGTGATCCTTACCAAAGGTATGACGAGCAACAGTGCTAAGTGCATAGTTGTGGAAATCAACAGACTTATAAAGAATATCATCGAGGAACATGACTTCTATGGCAGATATGAAGGGGCTAGAAGCACCTTTAGTGTACCCGTTACGAGCAAGGCAAACCGAAAGGACCTTGGCATGGGCAGCAACTACAAGCTCGTAATAAGAAGCAAGACCCTTGCCATAATCATCAGTGGTATTGACGATGCTCCACCTAGTTCCGTCGATGATTTGATCGAACACGGGTGGATCTTGTTTTCCATCGAAATTACCATAGTAGTAAGTGGTCCTAACAAGGTACTTGGCTCCTTGAATCACTTGGAAGGTGTAACAAAATTTGCGAGCAGATTTATCTGGGAAGAACCTTAGATTTGACAATATAGGAAATAGTTGGTCTGTTTTGTTTTTCACAGTTGTTGCATTTCCAACGGAGGTAAAACTTAGGTCCGGTATGTATTTTAAACCACTAATGTTTATACTCTCCGAAGATCCACAACTTACCAAGAAACCTGAAATAAATTTTTTTAACTTAATTCAAAATTATGTCATATGAAAGTCACGAATTATGTTATGCATCAAAATGTACCTATGTTAAGATCAATCAATTGGAGGGGTGCGTTATCTCACACACCCTTCCACTTGCATGCAGGATACACGCGTATTAACAAAAACATTGTCTATCTTACTAATATGAAATAAACAAACTCATAATTTGATGTCAATATTTACCTCTAGGAGCAGGAAGATCATCTGCATGGATTAATGTTAATGGGATGCTTGCTACCCATAGGATGAAGATGGAGATTGACATAACTACTTTTCTGTAACAAACAATTTCTTCAAAGGAGGAGGAGGAGAAAGTGGGAGAAATATAGGCCTAAAATATGGGAGTCAATGGTGGAAATGCTATGTTTTTGGTGAAAGGAGTGACACGTATGATTGTATGAAATCATTGATTATAGGTTTTCAATTATTTTTAGGAAGATTGTATTATCTTATTAAACATTTGAATATATATAAAAGGTTATCAACAAATAAAAATAGTGAATCAATTCTAATACTAAAAATCTATACTTTATAATATACTAGTTTTGTGTCTCGGGTGATGGCGATAAACTTTTTGGATTGAATGTTAAATACGGTCATATAATCACTTTTGATAATGTGGGATATTTGGACATGCGATATCATACTTAAATTATTTTTACTAAACTGAAAGTATTTTTACCGGATTCTCTATTATTTTAAATATATTATAAATGGAAATAGAACCGAGTTATTAGTTTTTTATTCAAAATTATGATTAATTTTGTATATATGAAATATTAGTAGTGTATCGGTAATAAAAACTCTTACAACATTTTTATCTTTAAAATTCTATCCAAAATTCAATTATTTAGCACCATATGTGTCACAATAATACCTATTTGTCGCCTACATGGGCACGACACTTTGCGCGTTCCTAAAAAGGTTAAGGGCCACATCATCATTTAATAATTCAGGGCAATTTTAACTTAAAAACGCATAGAAAGAGGTTTGAACCCCTAAGCTCATGGAATGAATATCACACTTCTTGCCATCTTAACTAGCAATAATTTATGCATGCTCTATTTATCCACATAAATGTATTTAAATGTAGAATAAAAATAACATCCAAACAAAAAAAAAAAGACTCTTATTACTCTTTATATTCTCTTCGATATTCGACATTATATTCCAAATTATTATTATTAAAAAATTTAAATACTTTTTTTTAAAAAAATACTCAAAGTAATATCCCGGGACAACGCCTGGGTCATACACTAGTTCGTTATTACAAATGTAAAAAATAAGTTTTAAAGGCAAAAGTCAATTGTAATGCAGAGTAAATAAAAACTAGATTTAAATAGTACATATTGTGAACTAAGAACCGATAAAGAACTTTCATTAGATTTGTATCATTGATCATTACCGTTGGTCTCTATTCCGGATCCAAAAATTTATTAGACTAATAATTGGCTTTAATTTCTAGTTGATCTAATTTTGAAAACATGAATCTATTAATTTGATTCCTAGCGGACTTGCATTTGAAATTAGGTAGCCCTCGAAAATAACATACACAATTATACAAAGTATAACTAACATTTTGATCGGTTACTCAATAATTGAACAAGTTTGTTCTAGTTCTACACCGATTTCCTAGTTTTAGGAACTGGTTCAATCGATTGCAATTCAAATGTTTTTCGATTAATACAACCAAATACCAAATACAAAAACTTAGAAAATCCTTCATATTTCGAAATTGACACTTTGTGGAAAGTTCAAAATTCAATGATGTTGCATGTAGTCCCCCACTCTTGTTGAAATCATAACACCAACTACCATTCATCCAATTTCTATTCCTATGATCTAAAAAGACCAATCCCATTAGGAAACTTCAAACTTGTAGAATTGTATTTTAGGCATTGGCTCACCAAATCAAACAAATCAACTCAACAACTTTGCTTTTCCTCACCTTCTTCATCTTCCATGCTTCTTCTCTACTAAATCCTTCTTCTAGGTCCGCAAATTTCCGATGAATCCTGGATTTTCCGGCGGAAGGCCGCCGAAAACAACCTTCGACGGCGAAACTCCGGCGAACTCCAGAAAAAAATGGACGAATTTAATGCCGTTTTTCATTGCTTTAGTTGTAATTGCAGAAATTACTTTTTTAGGTCGCCTTGATATGGCTAAAAATGCTGCTATGGTTAACTCGTGGGCGGACTCGTTGTTGCACCAATCGTCGCCGGCTGTTTCGTTCCTCGCCGCCGATGACGGCGATGGCGGTGGTGCGGCGTCGGAAGCGGAGGAAGATGGTGGTTTTTGTGAGAGCTGGTTGCTTAAAGAGGATACAGTGATTTATTCTAGGGATTTTGATAAAGATCCTGTTTTGGTTGCTGGTGGTGATCAGGTTTGTTCGATTTACTTGATCAATTTAGCAATATTTTGTTGTTTAATTTTTATAATTTCGATTGAATTAGTAATTTGTCTGTTTTGTTTGAAGTTATTGATCAAATTTGAGTTGCAAGTTTAGTAAATTAGGGTTTTTGAAGTTTTAATTTGCTTGTTATTTTGGAATTTAGCTGTTATGTTTAATTGGTGGATTTATGTTGAAGGAGAAATGTACAATTGGAAGCAATTGTTCGACTTGTAGTCAGATGTGGCCAAAGAAACAGGAAAATTCATATCTCCAATGATGAATAGGGTTTTGGGAGGTTGATGGTTAGGTGTGTTAGTTTGCCCATATGCTGTGTTTGAGTCCAGATATATATATGAATATATCTGGTTTAGGCTTCTCCTTTTCCTCTGCGAGTTTTGTTTGTCATTAATGTCCATCAACTTATGGGGCTAGCTCAATGAGTTTCCAGTTCTCTAGGTTTCCATTCAATATAGAAACTTTTGCTTGGATTTCTGTAATGAACCTCCAAAATTGCATATAACTTAAGACCATGGAAACTTGTTTGTGGCCTCAATTTGATCCTTTTGCTACCCTTATTTTCAAAGCTTATAGCTCAAGTAAAATGGAAATCTGGTACAAGTTGTGAATGTATCAGAATACTGGTAAAGACTGCTCTTAATGACCTAAGGTGAGTGCCTTAGTACACATAGAAATGCAAGAGGAGATTGGCGTTTTTCTAAACTTAAGAATGTTCATACGATGGGATGTATTGATACAAAATATCTTTGAGTGACTTGGGTCCATCAATATCTACCCTCCCTCCTTATCATACATTCCTACCCTTCTTTCTAGTCTACTACTTATGAGAAATTGGTTAAGTGAGTGGATCTGATGGGCATACTATTGTCTCAATATGTTGGGAAATTTTATACTTCAGAAGAAAAAAATCTGCCAAATTAAGGTTGCTGACTGTAAGAATGACTCACCTACTCGCCTATCAAGGATCTGTTTGGTGCACAAGGGAAAGGCATGCCTGTTTGTTGTATTTGTCACTTAAGAAGATCCAAAGGGAAATTGTTAGCTGCCTTTTTTATTTCCAAAAAAAAAAAAAAAATGATACCTTGACTTCAATAGTCCAAAGTTATATGACTAAAATATCAAATTTGATTTTTGCTGAAAGGCAAAACTGAAAAGATTTGCAGTTCGAGACAATGGAATTTCAGATATTGATTTGAGCTCCTTTGATCTGATATGGTTTTATTTGGAGTTGGAGATTTATTGATCAATGACTTGATGATAATAAGTACGAGTACATGATATGTGAATTTTTATAAGCTGGGTGAAACTCTGCTCCACAAAATAGAAACAGAATCACTACCACAGAACCAGATTCCAATTTACAAAATTAAGTGGTGTTTTAAATTCTCTTATTTCAACTGAACTGCTTGGATGAGTTGGATCCGGTTTGTCCTGTGACTGTCAGAAACATGGAGATGGTTAAGTGCCCCCCTCCCCCCACCCCCACCCCCACCCCGCTGTTATGGTTGTGAAAACTAAATGTCTTATGCTTCCTATTCTAAAAGTGAATACCAGGCTGATTTTCCTTGTAACCTTTTTAATGTTATGCTGTTTTATGAGCTGATAGTTTGTCTAGGGACTGTGCTGTTTCCTCATTACTTACTAAGATTTGGTTTTGTTTGCTATGCCTTGGTAAATGATAATGTCATATCATCAATCAGTCAACCAGAGATTAATTTTAACTTCAAGATGTGATTTGCCTACATATTTTGAAACTATGATGAGATGCTTTTGGCCCACATTGTCTTTTTGTTCCTCATTTAGGAGTGGAATACTTGCTCGGTGGGATGCAAGTTTGGACAGGATTCTGGTAGGAAACCAGATGCTGCATTTGGTTGGCCTCAAGGGCATGGAACGGCTAGTGTGCTCCGTTCAATGGAATCAGCTCAGTATTATGCAGAAAACAATATTGCCAATGCACGAGGGTAGGTAAGAACATGTGTTTTCATATATGATGAAGTACATGTAGATTTAGCATCTCTTTCCTTTGCCACCTCTGTGGAGTATGATCCTTCATGCATGCCTATAATACTAGCATTGTAGGCAATCTAGTCATATACGATAATGCATATCATATCCTTATTCAGCAACATATTTCTACCAATGCTGTATTGAGTTGGATGCTTCTTGATCCCTTTATTATGTTTGGGTTGCTCTGTGTCAGGAAGGGTTATGACGTCATTATGACCACTAGTCTGTCATCTGATGTTCCAGTAGGATATTTCTCTTGGGCAGAGTATGACATCATGGCACCTGTGCAACCAAAAACCGAGAGTGCTTTGGCTGCAGCTTTCATCTCTAATTGTGGTGCTCACAACTTTCGTTTGCAAGCACTTGAAGGTCTTGAGAAGAGTGGGATGAAGATAGATTCTTATGGTGGTTGTCACCGTAACCGAGATGGAAGAGGTTTGTCAAATCAAGCAAATTTATCTTGTTTTATGTCTTCTATCTTTTTATTTTTATTTTTATTTTTTATTTTATTTTTTATTTATTTACTTATGATGCTGCAACCCTTCACTTTTATCAATTAAAAATCTAGGCACCTTAAGGCGCTTCTCATGCAATAGGCATTTCTATTGACACTCTTTTAAATTACCATCTTCTTAAATCTTTATTGGAAAAAGAAAAACTTGATTTGTGGTTTTCAATTTTTTTGATGATCAGTAATATTATTCATTTCTATAAAAAATTTGGTGATTTAGGCATAGAGCTTCTATCTTATTCTTTTATTTTATTTCTCAAGTAATAACGTATGATAGAGGGCTCCAATTGGCAGCATCTTCTTATTCAAAAATTTCAGTTGAAAGCCAGATTTTGATTTTGGTTACCTGGCATGTAAAATATTCTTTATACTTTGATATAAGAAATGCATACATTGCTTTGCACCTGGTGCTAGATTCCAGGTGTATTGTCACCTCTGTCTAATTCATACCTTTTTAAATGTTGCTTTTGAAAAAAATTAAATGTTGCTCCTTGTGACAGTTGGATGCCAATTTTGGTGTATTCGTGGATGGTGGTTATTGTGCATATTTTGATGTCATTGGCTTCCCAAATTGATTGTCAGATACAGAGTACTAGAAAATGTTTCATGCTAGATAACTACGAATCTCTTATGTACTTGCCTTTTAGTCATTTAATAGAGATCCCATAAATTTCAAATTCTTCATCATCTTGCTTAATTTGTATTACCATCTGATTAGTGACTTAACAAAATCTTTTTATTAATATTTCAGTTGACAAAGTTGAAACATTGAAGCGGTATAAATTTAGCTTGGCTTTTGAAAATTCGAATGAGGAGGACTATGTCACAGAGAAATTCTTCCAGTCCCTTGTTGCTGGTATGAACACTGATCTTCAACATCTGGTGCTTTGTATGCATATAGATACTTGTTTCATGGCCACTGCTTCTGTGTATCTGAGATGTCCAATTGAAGGAAGTCAATTCAAGTTTTGAACTGTTAAGTGCGCTCAGTGTGAAGGATAATGTAGATAGTATCTATTTTCTACCTGAGAAGATTCCAATATTAATTGCAACTATCTGTCACCATCCTTTCATTCCGAGCCAGGGAAATGAAGTTTGTTTCCTCCTAAACTTCACTTATAGGCTCTCAACAAAAACCTCATTCATCCTTTTATGTCTTTGTTTCTTCTAGAAAACAAGTATCCTTTGGAAGACTTTTGATGATATTCTTTATGGTGTATTGAAAGTGGAGCTATCTTTCCCTTGATTTTGTATACTTGCAAAAGATTCATAGTCTAACTGTGTGGTTGGGTGAAGGAAATCTAATGCAGGCAGCATGGAAGGCTGATGTACTAGAGAGGCTGATGTACTAGAGAGAGAGAGAGAGAGATGAGGCGGGGGGGGGGGGGGGGAGGGAGCGAGAGTGAGAGATATTTGATTACTCTGATCATCAATACAGCTTTAGTGCTTTCCCTTAAATTTAATTTTCTCTATTAAGTTGATCTGAATATTCAAATTTTCTAGAAGCTTACCTGCCTCTTAAGTCTTAACAACTTTATAAATAAATAAAAAATAAAAAAATAAAAAAAAAAGAAGAAAATTGATAAGAGTGGTGAAACTCTGAGTACTCCACTGTGATTCTATGCTAAAAGTTCTCGACAATGACTCTTGACTGAACTGGGAATGATTAACATGATGCCTTGCGTCAGTGTTAGTATATTGTTGATTTGTAAATTCTGAAAGCTTATTTAAAGTGGCAAATCCGCACATGGTTCAAGTGCGGATTTAGTGAAAGATAGATTATGTGACACTTGGAGATGGGTCATAGTCACTTGTTGGTAGCTATTTTAGCTAATAGTGAAATTATAGTGTTTTTACATAGTTGTCTCCCCAAATCTGTTGGCTTTCATGTATTAGCTGGTCAATAGCCTCTCTAAGACAAGTTGATGCTTTGTCATGTGGGTTCTAGATGATATTGGACTACCAGTGAAGTAGTGAGAAACTGATCGATGGGTCAGGGTTTTGGTGGCTGCTATTGAGGAATATGTTTTGACCTTTTTTTTCTTTTAAAATATAAAGCCTCAAAAATGATGAAGTGAAAATTAAAGCTTTTTTTTTTTTTTTTTGAAGCAGAAGTGGAAATTAAACTATGTAGTGAAATTACTATCTGTTAACCACACGTTTCTGTTATAATATAATTAGAGATTGCTCTTGTTGATGTAGGGACAATTCCTGTTGTTGTTGGCGCTCCAAATATTCAAGACTTTGCTCCTTGCCCTGGATCAGTGCTGCATATAAAGGAGCTGGAAGATATTGATTCAGTTGCCAAGACTATGAAGTATCTTGCTGAAAACTCTGTTGCATACAACCAGTCATTGAGGTACACTTATTTGTTTCTCATATAGTGGTCTCACAGTCACCGGCTCATAGCTGTAATGTTGCAGAAATCTGTTTAGTATTTTGAGAATTTTGTAAGACATTGGCTTTCTGTTGGTAGGTGGAAATATGACGGCCCAAATGACTCTTTCAAGGCCCTAGTTGATATGGCTGCAGTTCACTCATCATGCCGCCTTTGCATTCACCTGGCAACTAGAATCCGTGAGGATGAAGAGAGAAGAACAGGATTGAAGAAACGTCCTTGCAAGTGTTCTAGAGGCTCAGAAACTATTTATCATATATACGTAAGGGAAAGAGGCAGATTTGAGATGGAGTCTATTTTCCTTAGGTAAGGATTCATTTTGCTTTTGTTTTTTAATTAAAATTTTAGCCTCATTATTGCATAGTAAGAATCTCTCTGTTGTAATTTTACCTTCTTATTCCTGCCTTGCGTAAGTTAATATGGGTTTTGTCTTACATTCAACATAGATCTCTAAAATCTGATCATTATCATGTATAGTGTGAGTAAAGCAAAACCATATTACAAAAAACTAGTATTCCTAGGGTATTGGACTGCAATGCTATTAACTGGAAGAATCAATGGCTTGAGGTGTTTGTGGTTAAACATTTGGGATCAGGCAATTTTTATTTTTGGCGGTTGATTTAGAGTGATTATGTTCTCATTTTTATTGTTTATTCCTGAGGATTAGGGGCTTGCATCTTGTCAATCTTGAGCAAGGAATCAATTTAATAATTATTTACTGGTCATACCTTCATAGAAATAGGTCGATTTAGTGGTCTTCCCTATGCACCAATTTGTTAAGTTAATGATTTGTGGAGAGAAACAATATCAAAAACTCTTATGATCATTCAACAATTTTGCAATAAAACCTGTAGTTATCGTATCAAATGGAAATATATATAGGATATTGATGCATGCTCTTAGTCTATAATATTGTATGGATTATTGCATATTATATAACTGTATTCTGTAATATAAAATTACTGGAGTGATAATAGTTATTGGGAAAATCTACAGAAGAATATAGGACAGCAAGGGTTGTCTACATGAACTAGTATTTTATCGCCCGTGCTTGTCAACTTGGTCCTCACCCTCCATTTCCCTCTATCTACTGTTGAACGTTCCTGCAAACCTAAGTTTACCAAAAAAAAAAAAAGAAAGAAAAAAAAAAAGTAGAACTATATTAATTTGTAGGTTGAAAAGTAACTCTTAATCCTCAATGTTTTTGTGGAAGGCCTGTAAAACACTGTTTAACAAAACGTTATTTACAATGATAAAAAACACTTATCTTCCTTGGACATCCATATGTAGATCTGTTCAATAACCTATTATATCCAGTATCAAAAACCCCCATGGTAATGAAATGTTAAAGAAATGTCATGTAAATGTCCTATAATTATACGCATGAACAGAATTGACTACAAAACAAAACAGGTCTTATCAAATATTCATACCACTTGAACTCTTTGAAGACTTAGTTATCACCCCCCCCCCCCTTCTTTTTCCTTTAAAAGAATCAAGATTTGAACTTCTTTTTTAAAACATGGATGGCTAGATCCTACTACTAATGTGGAATTCCATCAAACTCAAAAAGGGATGTCGCTCTCACCTGTATACAACAGATGACAAGTAGTGAACTAGTTGAAGATAAAATAAGCTTTAGATTAGGCTGTTGAATCATGCATGACTTTAAAATATCAAGATTGATAAAATGATAAGTGTTGCTTAAAATGTAAGGAATTTCCATTAGGTTCCACGTCTTGCAGCATTGCTTCTTTGAGTGGCACGATCCTGCAAATATCCAACCATCAGAGATGGATTCTCAGGCAAACTTTCATTCTTGACCAGTTTTCACTTTAAATTTTATCACCTTATTTCAGGTCATCTTAATTTGAATAATGACTAATCAAGTAATCATTGCAGTTTGATGGTTATTACTTAGTAGAACCTAAGCAGGTGCTTACAGATGATGATGGGCTCTATATGAGCTCCCTTGACCCTCTTCCCCCTTCCCCACTGCTTCTTTTGCTCCATCCTCGTTATATTCCTGTCATAGAGTGGCTCCGTTGATGTTAATGTGACAGTAGTGTTGATTCTTTAGTTGATGGCTGCGTTTTGCTGTTGAAAAATTATGTGGGCAGGACTGGAGTAGTTTTTATTAATTGATGATTGAAATCCTGCCTTTACTGACAATAGAATATGGTAACGATATTGTTACTGTTAAATTCTAAGCCTTACGAGATTATTATTTTTATCTAGAATAAGCATGATCCTTCTAGGTCCAGTTTGTTTGCTTGCTTGAATCTTAGGATCTGCATTTTTGTTGTGTGTAAAGACTGGAGATACACATGCAAACTTCAGTCCTGCATTACATGAAATAGTGTATGTAAAACATAGTTTTCCATTCACCATTATTGAGAATTTGAGACCTATCTTTGAGAAAATCAAAGAAAACTGTTTTATTAGAGCACAAGAAAACCTCTGTTTTATATAATTTATGTTCTTATGTATAGCATATAGCTGGACATGAGTTGTGTAATTCCTCTGTGTTTTTATAATGTTATTTCATTTGCTATACTTAGTATAGTTGCATACTTGTATTTGATTTGCATGGATTAATTTGAAAAGTTGCCGTGCAGGTCTAACAATTTGACGATGGAGGCCTTGGAGTCTGCAGTACTGAAGAAGTTTAGTTACTTGAGACATGTGCCTATTTGGAAACTTGAAAGACCTGAAAGTATTAGAGGAGACGAGCTCAAAGTTTATAGAATATATCCTCTTGGCATGACACAGAGACAGGCTTTGTATACCTTTAAATTTAAGGAGAGTGATTTTAGAAGTCATATGGAAAACAATCCATGCTCTAAGTTTGAGGTCATATTTGTTTGAGTAGATATGTATTTCCAGTTTTCAACCTTGAGGGTGAGCATCAGGCGATGCTGCTTTTATACTATAGTTATAGTTGATACTCGTAGAGTCGTAGTCATTGACTCTGTTTATTCATGACAGTGGGGGGATCCACGTCTAGTCGTGTAGCTAATTGACTAATAAGTAGAAATGAAAAAACCTCACTGCCTGTTGTATTGGTTGCCAGTGGCCTGGTGGATACTGTTCGCATTTGGAACTTGAAGGTTATTACAAGATACAAGTTTTGAAGGAGCCCTTGATAGTTCATTTACCATGCACTAAACAATCAAGCCGACAGTTCAGCAGAGTTTTGTGCGCGCTGAAAAGTGCTTTTTTTGTGCTTTGGATTGCAGGCTCACAGCTGAGTTTTTCACTGACTCGTCTGTGTTGATGTCGGTTTTGGCTAGTTCTGCTTTTGAAGCAATTTCAATCAAGTTTCCAGATGTTGAAAAATTACCATCTGGGTACTGATTTTTAATTTTATGTACGGCTAATAGATCTAAGGTGCATGAAGTTCATATTAGAGCAGTAGCTTGTAGCCGTTGTAGGAATTGATCTAAATTTTCTTCAGTTTCTTAGTTCAGCCGCTCTTGGAAGGTTTTTCTTACCTAGTTCAAGGAGAATAAACAAAACCCATTTTTACGTTTTCATTGGTTTATTTTGAGTTTGACTTTTGCACTTTTTTGTTTCTGAATACTTGCAATAGTTAATTTTTGCGCTATAAATACATGAAATTTGACCAGATTTTCTTACTGATATGTAAAAATCAAATGTTACTGTATGTTATAACTCTTTGTCCCCCACTATAGTACCATGGGAGAGGCACAAATTTTATTTTATTTTTACATATTACTCTGTAGAAAGCATAGTCAAAATTTTAATTTATTGCGAAATGGTTTGTAAAATATGATAGTACTCCCAGTGGCGGATCCAGGATTTCCGAGATAGTGTGTCACCATCAATTATTGATCATTTGTGAAAGTACAATTTTTTTTTTCCATGTCTTGTTCATAATTAATTTCAATCCAAAACTTATATGTATAAAATATATACATATGTATATATACATACATATACCAAATTGATTTCAATCCAAAAATAGGACACAAAAATTCATATCACAACCAAATACAGTACTTAAGAATTCAATTTTACAAGTCGAAAATACTACAAATAACATGTTATAAACCAATGGTACAATAAAATTATTATATTGAATTAACTTTATGATTTTTTAGTTAATTGATAAGCTTTATGGGGAAATATTAAAATTGGTTGTACAAATATAAGATATAAAAAGGGAAAAAAAATTATTAAAAAAGTATACAAAAAAAAGTGAGATAACTTAAAAGACCAGTTATTAAATATAACTGGTCTCTTTAATGAAACAGAAAGTAACGCAAAAAAAATTGTGAAATGCAATAGCAGCATCAAAGAGACCTCTTATATAAATAACAGGTCTTTAATATATAAAAAAAACACACCAAGTCTTTTGTAGCAATAGCAGCATCAAAGAGATCTCCTATCTTAATAAGCGATCTCTTTGATATTGTTTGTTGTTACTAGGAGTATCAAAGAGACCCCCTATCTATAATAAGGGGTCTCTTTGATATTTTATTTTTTAAAAAAAATACTGTGTCACCGGACCCACTATGACTAAAGGTGGGTCCGCCCCTGAGTACTCCCATCATATTTTTTTAAGCGAAACGCTTCTCTTGTACATGTATGTCAATACAAACTTTGACCAATAATATCTTTAATTATCAATAATTAAAAATTATAACAGTTGTATATAATAAACTATTCATTTAGACAATTCCAACAATTAACTTATGTATAAGAAAATACTTCCCCCCCGTTTCAAAAAAATTACTAGTACGTACAACACTTTGACTAAAAAAGTAAAAATATTTTGGGCAAAATGTTACATTTTTATGCAACGGATGATGTAATTATCATGTGGCAGGTTCGAAATTGGAAATAGTAGTGGACACACCGATAAAGATGTACATTGAATTGAAGATCGCACAAAATGCAAATGGAAAAATAAAAACAAAAAAAATAAGAAGGGAGTATCAATAATCGAATAATAATAGAAGTGATCAAGTCGTGTAGGAAGGTGTTCTGGCTTAGACAGGCCAAGGTGAAGGAATAATAATATAAATGTAATAGCATAAATGAGCATTATTTTCTTTAAACTGATCTTATTATTTTTATTTTTTGAAGGGGCCGCATAGCCTAAAGGTTATAAATTATAATTTACTATGTTATATACAGTATATATAGAAAGAGTTGTATGAGGAAATGATACAGCCATTCAAGCATTAAATTAGTAACTAACTATAGAATTTGAAATTTCTATTTAGTGTTGAGTTGAACAAAATGAAGAGGGTTTCAGCCAAACTCCTTGGTTTTGCAGTTTTAGCTATTTTGTTCATGCTCATGAGTTTCACAACAGGTTAGTTTTTTATTCGGTTTTGTATGTATGTATATATACATATAATACCTCCGTTAAATATTAGTTGCAACTTTAAGGTATTGTTTGTGAGATATAAAATATTCCAAAGTTATTGCAGTTAATATTTACGGAGGTAGTATATATATTTGCTTGATTTATTTGCACTATTTTTGAAGCTTATCGGCGTTTCTATTGATTGTATTTATGCGCGCAGCTGATCCGGTGCTTGGAACAACTACTTCTGAAGAAACGGCGGTTAGATATGACATCGAAGTATATATATTTGCTTGATTTATTTGCACTATTTTTGAAGCTTATCGGCGTTTCTATTGATTGTATTTATGCGCGCAGCTGATCCGGTGCTTGGAACAACTACTTCTGAAGAAACGGCGGTTAGATATGACATCGAAGTAGAAGAAGTGGTGATAGTCCGACCAAATATAGAGACCGAAAACAAGAATAGAAAGATGATTTTACAACAAACAGATAGTCATGTTCAAAATAAACAAGACGACGTCTCAGTAACTACTATGGTCTATGGAGAACGTTTTAGGGTGTGCAAAAATATGGGAATATTGTAACCCGATCCCATTTATTGGACCTTCTTGTTGCTCAGGATTTTCTTGTATGATTGTTGCAGGCGTTGCTGGTGGTTTTTGCAATTAAGATCTACAGCACAGTACACATATAGATATATACTTGCTCTATTTCATAAAAATTGCAACACTTTGTCTAAAAAAACTCGCACATTTTTAGTCAAAGTGTTTGTAATTTTTTTAACAGAGTAAGTATATGCACGTAACTTACTATACCATTGGGCTCATTTCTAGATTTTAATTTCTTTGATTTGATTGTATTTTTCTATTTTATGATGCGTCGTTCGCTTGCTTGATTTTCTGTTTTATGTTTGTTTAGTAGACAAGCTAATTAAGCTGGCAAAATGTAAAATGTGTGAGGATGTAATAGTGTGTACGTTTTAATATAAATTTCTGATACATGTCTTATATGATTCCTAAACCTTTTGTCAGAGAGCTTGTTATATACTACCTTCAATTCTTATTATTTACAACAAAAGGGTATTATTAGTGAGACATAAAAAATTCATTTATTGCAAATAATAAAAAACGGAAGTGGTAGCAAATATCTAATATATGCTCTGTAAATAATTTATTATGGTCCATCATAATACTGTACAATGCATAGTATAGGAGTACATGATTCATGATCATGATTAGCCAAACACACAATTATATATTTCCTCCATTCTTTTTTACTTGGCCTAGTTTAACTTATACAGTATTCAACACTCTTCCTTTGACAATCTTTTGTGAGTTACATGTAAGGAAAAATCATATTTATGTGGGATTCTGTTAGATTCATCTCAATAAATATTATTATATTATATAAATTTCATACACCCTGTGTTCCTAAATAATTGACACAGTTAAATTAAACTTGACACACATGTTAACGCACTAGTTTGACATTGAATAATGAATATATATGATTAAATATTTGTAAAATATATATATATAAAAAAAAAGTTAATATTATGAAACTTTATAATAATACGAGTACTTATTTTTAACAATAATATTTCATGATAAAAAAAGTTTGTTTTTAATACATTACTAAATAACGATGGACAAAATTAATATATGAATAATGAAAAAAAAGTCAAACGTGTTAATTATTTAAGAATGGAGGGAATAATTTTTACTTATTGAGAATTAAAGTTATTATTGGGAGTCAAAGTCATGCACGCATTAGCAAACGTAATAATTAAAAACAGGTGAAGTAAAAAAGAACGAAAGAAGTATTACATATAGATTAAAAGCTTTAATGTGAAAGTAATTAATTAAGCAGATGACAAAGTACACAATTTAAAGCAAGAAAGACGAGAGATAAGCTCAGCTAAACATTCCGTTGTTCGAGCTACGGCATCTTGGTGGTTCTTAATGTTATACTCCGTACTTCATATATTTTACGCTGTACAAACAGCTCTATCCCAAAATGTTGCTGAAACGCAACTGGTACCCGGACAACACCTCCATAAAAAACTACATTCCTCGCCTAGTACTGCGCATGTTTTTATAGCCACCCCGGTATTACTTGCTGTAACTTCTTTAATAATTTGTGCATCTAATCCACCAGTATTTGGTTGCATAAACATCATCTTTGTTTTTCGGTTTCCTTAAATATGATCGATTTTTGGTTGTTCGACTATCACCACTTCTTCAAATACAATCATAGGTCTTTGGTCAGAAGTTGTTGCCATCTTTTCAACCACCGTGGCTGCATAATGTAATTCATATATGTATAATTTAGGGTATGTATTACAATATACGAGTATGAAAACTAAAATCAATTGGTGATTATTGAGATAGGAATGTATATTGTGATATGATATTATGAGAATAATATCATAAGAGATATTATTGTGAAAAGATATATGTGATATATTGGGATAGATTTAGGAACACTACAGGAAATTTGGTTTTTGGCAACGACTTTCGCTTGTTATCCATGATGCCGTTACCAAAGGTATTTGCAACGAATTACTTTCGTGGCCAAAAATAGTTTTTTCGCTACAACATTTTTGTTGCCAAATCTTAATATTACCTGATTTGTGGTTTGTAGTTTTTCGCAATTATAATAGTTGTTGTTAAAAATATTTTTACTTCAGCAACAACAAATTTTGTAGCGGAAATTATTTCTTTAGGACTGTACTTAGAATTTTTTCGCAACAATAATAGTTGTTAAAAACATTTTTACTTTAGCAACAACAAATTTTGTTGCTGAATTTTTTTATTTTTTTTTTGGACCTATACTTATGCTACATACAATTCAACAAAAGTTGTAAAATTAAAATTTGATGATAAATTATTGCCCATTAAAAGATAAAATCTTAATTTTTTATTGATTTCGCTTCAGCAACCGTTATAACAATACAGTATATAACAATAAAATCAATTTCATATATAACCAAATGTTACATTATATATATATATATATATATATATATATATATATATATATATATATATATATATATATATATATATATATATATATATATATATATATAACAGACTAGTGTTTAATTTGATAGGAAAAAAATACAACCATTTAAAAATAAATGGTTACTCTCCACTTGAAGCCTTTCTTGATTACCATTGAATCTATAAATATTCCCATCCTGAAATATACAAGAAAAGCAATTAAAATACTCCCTCTACATTGCATATTTTTAACACAGATTTGAACACAATTAAAAGTATAATGATGATGTTAATAAGTTCAATACATTGATGCATAAACTACTTCAATCTAGCTATTTCAAACCCTATCTATCGTTTTCTAATAATACTACATACTTTAATCTATTTCTAAAAAGTATAAGATTTTTAAATCAAACTCATCAAATTAAGTTTTTTTTTTTCGACAGCATAAAACTCATCAAATTAAGTTGTTTAATGTTATCAACCACACACATATTAATGGCCTTTATAAATCAAATTACCCATGAACAAAAAAGTGATAAAACCCCAAAAATCTATGTAATAAAAATTCCAAAAAAAGATATTAGACATGATGAATATGGTGAAATTCATTCTTGTAAAATGCATGATTTGGTTCAAGAAGTCGCAGGAAAGGAGTCGTACTTGATGGAGGACACCAGCAAAAGACCTGATGGAAAAACTCGTCATCTCGCTGTAAAGAAAGAGATGATGAAGCAAATGCAACGACCCCTGATGCCTCCTCATTTTCCGACTCGTCTTCAAGCAGCAACGACAATAATTCAGCTGGCGGTGATGTTTTCGATTCAAGGATATTAGAAATAGACAGTATTCAATTAATGAAGTCCCTTTTCGGGGAGTCTATACGAAGCATTGATGAGCTCATATTGCATGATATGGAGGTGGAGAGTTTGCCAAATCATGTGTTGATTATGTTATGGAACCTTTCCACTATTTGCTTACCTACATTATAAAATAAAATTCAAAGTCTTTGGGGAAATTATGTACTACTGTACAACATTAAGTTTTAGGGTACTCCATATGTTTTTATTTTTTACTGATTTGGTACATGATATTATTGTTATTGCACATTAAGATCTGTTTTGTAGGGTTAAGTTTTAAAAAGGACTATTTGATACCTTTAAATGATTTTTACATGCTTAATTTCTTGTGATGAAACCAAATTTATCGATAATGATTCAGTATCTTTTATTTATATTGAGGTAAATTATAATTATTTTATAGTAATTAATTTACAAACTTACTTAAAACTTGATTAATTTATTTCTGAAATTTAATAAATTATAAATATTTGTGAAACAGTCAAAATAGGAAATATATCAAAAGATGGCACATTAATATTAACAAAAGGAAGTATATGATTGTATTTCACATAAACTCCAGGCGTCAAAAACTACAAGATAGCTAACTTTTTGAGTATCTTATAACAGTTTTTTATTAGCTCAGTTTGAACAATATTTGATTGTATTGGCAATGTTGTAATGATGTACTCCAGGTAGCCACAAATTCAACGTGATGTAGCTGTTGAGTACAGTTCATTGGAAAGGATCGTGCTCTTTTGACTGGAAAACATTGCTGCTTGTTTGGTCGTTGCTGCTCAGATGAATAGTGAATCTAGCGTTGCTCTTTATTGTGCTAAGGAAGTCGTCGATATAATGTAACTAGGCCTTTGCATATGATGTGTGGGGTGCATGGAGATACCCTTCCTAGAAGGTGAGCTTCATGGCCTCTGATGCTCTTCGAGGCTTAGGCTGGTGATCAATGTAAATGCCTAAAACAGTTGGATATCAAGACCAAATCATGTGATGGCAAATTGTAATGCAAAAAATAAATTGTGGCATCAATGATGTTTGTATGATAAAGTCTACTTATTTTCATAGTTTCCGTGCTCGGCTATGCCTGATTGAAGTATCAATTGTAGGTTTTATCGACCAAAATCTCCATTCTAGCCTGCAGGTAATATTGCCTACACCTCTGATAATACGGTCCGTGTTGTTATCATCAACCTTCCAAAATTGAGAGAAGCTATTCTCCAACACTGAAGAGACATAATGTAAGATGAAGTAACCATCCTAGTGAAAAATAACTGCATTACATCCCCTTTCCTTGATGATAATGCAAGATAAAGTAGTCAAATCAAGTGCTATTTCCTTGACGTTTACAAAAGGGAATTTCTCCCCCAAAAAATCTAACTTTCGTCGGCCTGATAATGCTACACTCAGCTTTATTATATGCAAGCTTTGAATCACCTTGTGCACTGTATACAAATTAAGACAGAATGGAAGGATGCATTAATATTTCTAATCTCAGCTACCATTAGCACCTTTGAATCTTTGATAAATCAAAAAAGGACTTCTTGAACTGAATACAAAAGCAGGAAAATTAGAGGCAAACTATTCATTACCGCAATGAAAACTAAGTTGTGTATACATTCTTAATTCTTGTAATCAGGATTGTCACGAAGGCCAAGTTTTGAAAGAACAAAACAATAGGACTCCCAGTCAGTTCTCCTCAGATATTTCAACAACTTCTTCCTTTGCTGCACCTTTGCTTGCAATCCTCGACGAGAATGCTTATCCTAGAACAAAATAACAACATAATTGTTGGCTGTCAAAAATATTCCAGATAAAGTGAAAGATTACGTCACTTGTTTACCTTTTCATATCAAGCTGTCAAAAACTACATTGGTGATTAAGAAAGCCAAATAAATCAGAAATAAGGCTAAGGTATAGACCACACACACACCAAACCCCTACCATAGACATAAAATTTTCATACAAGAATTGCAGTGTGCGTACACTGAACAGACAGCATAAGAACTTGGGAAATTACTATACGAAATCGGTGGCAAAATTTTTGTATTCCATCCAACAAGAATTTATTGCTTGGTGTTGCCAATAAATAACCAAAAGTATATCACACAAAATAGAAAGATCCCAAAAACAAGATTGCCTCTTAAGACAATATATTCCAAAGCATAATCAAGGATAGAGTGAGGCAATCATATTACTACGTATTAATTCCATGCCTAAATGTTCTGGACAGCAATATGTTCCAATACATAATCAAGGATAGAGAGAAGCAAATTATACATTCTGCACCTAAAGTTATTATTTGCACAGGAATCAAGAAAAGAAGAAAGAGCGAAAAGGAAATAGTGGCAAATGTAAGCATGTGGGCAAAAGGTGTTAAGATCAATTACCTAAAATGGAACGAAATAGAACTTTAAACAGTGTAAAGAACATAAAAGGAACAGACATAGTAACTAACAAGGCGAAAGAATGACAAATATGAGAGTACCCAGAAGCTCCAGACTGCCACCCCTAAAGCTGGCTATATTTAATAGATAAAGTATAATCATTATCATTTCTATTGAATATAAAATATGCACGTCATATCAGGACTTCAGAAGCATATGACACCTGTATCAATTATATATTGAAAGAACAATACAAGTTCAAGAGAAACTTATTCTTCAATATATACATACACTGTAGTACACAATAACATGCAGAAATGTTGAGGGTCCATAACAGAGTATTTACCTTCTTGTGCAAAACAGCAGACAAGTGAAGTATTTCTGTTGTAAGTTGTGCAACTGCAAAGTACAAAGAGAAAAATGATGATCAATTGCTACGGATAAACGAAAATGGAAATCATGAAAACAACAGAAGTTTCAAAATCTTGATTTTATACTGGGGTATATACTTGAGCTGAACAGAGCATTATAGTATGTTTCCCAAACTCAAAAGTTTGAAAATACTCAATACCAGGTAAAAACTAAGGTTTCCACAGCCACGGTCAACGCTAACAAATTTCATTGACAAGAAATTTCCCATCCCAGATGTCAGAACAAAATAAAACTAGCATTTTTTCATTGACTCAAAGAGTGAAGCTGCACCTAAACACAAGATATAGCCAAACCAAGATGAATATGATCCGATCAATACAACACCCTATGAAAACGAAATTCCATCATTCTTTTACACCAATAACTATAGCAATAAGACTGAAGAATCACAAGTTATCAACCATTTCAATAATGATGACAAGATCAGGCAACACCTACAAATAATAGAAAATGACTTAATACACAAAGCTAATAGCATTGTGCAATCCATGGGACCAATTCGTGAACATGAAAAGGTACATCCAGAGGCTACTTTCAGAAGTCAGGAGATGTGAGACCGGCATAATCATGGCTAGTAAAAGAGCAAGTGGAAAACAAAGTATAATAGTGAGCCAAGATCAAGAAGGATCTGACACCAAGGGCCATCAACATGAAACACCCAACTAGATGTTCCATGACACGTTTACATCCTTTCAATGTAGGGTTTAAGATAGTGTTGGCCACTTTGACTCCCTTACCTTTTTTCTTCCCTTCCCCTTTCAAAACCTTTTGTTATGAAATTATCACAATGGTAACAGAAATTGAAGGAAGAAGAAAGAGAATTCAATTTGACAAATTGCAGAAATTAGAGGATACTTATCATGCTTCCGAGTGGCCTGATTCACTCCCAAGTGCTAAACAAAGCTCAAATGACTCTTCAATATTTCTGGATGCCTTTATATATGCCAACTCTACCTTATTTATTGTGAAATTAAATCTCCTCTACCTCTAACAAGCCAACTATCTCCCTTTTCAAGATACAACTATCATAATTACATTGGACTACCTAAAATGTTCCACCCTTGGGTTGATAATTGATATAGTGTTCGCAACTTTGATTACCTTTCCTTTCTCCCTCTTCCCCTTCCCCTAACCAATTCCCCCTTTGTGATTTCAGTCGGAATGCTTTGATTTGTGGTCTTTCCACCAAACCTAAAGTGAGTACAATTTCCTCTACACTCCCAATCTGTTTCCTTCTCCTTATTCCTACTTAACTACTACAGTAGGTTTTACTGAAAGGTGATAGATAAATGGTGGTGATGGTAGCCAATATCCCTTCAAAGAAGCAAAACTAAGGAATTATTTCCCTTCCTAGGCAACCCTAGCCACTAACAATTACATAATTATTTCAACTATAAATTCCTCTTAGAAGCTGGTTTTTTATGGCGGTGAGTCCAACCATTTTTGTCAGGTTCATGCAAGATGATAGACTGATGGTGGTGGTGGTTTTTCTTTGCTTTTCTCAAATAAATCAAATGTAAAGAAACTTTTTAAAGCCATCTTTTTAAAAAAAAAAACATACAACACTAGCATGAACCCAGTTATTGTATACAATGTGTTGTATTATTTAACCAATTCTCTTATCTTAATTGGATGGTGTTGAAAAATATAAATTATTATCATATGGGATCTTGTAAGATTTGTAATCTTGTATATTTTCAAAATGTAACTTTTCAACAAACAAAGCTAAAGTTAATAATGGTCAAAGGTACCCATTAGAAACCACCAAAAAAAATGTTCCAACTAAAATAAGAGAACTACAGAAGTATGTTCTATTGGGAGGTACAGGTATCTAACTCATACATACAACGAGGGACAATGAAGTAATAACAGACTGACTTTTATTAAATAAAATAAAAAATAATAACAATTAAAAAAAATAAAAATAAAAATAAAAAAGTGAGGCAGAGGAAGGCAGAAGAACAGAATGGAAGATAAAGATTAGAGAGAGATAAATGTGGTCCATCGGAAAGGCAGGGGCACTACCTATGTGCCAATACCTTTAAAAAGTTTCTAATTTCAACCTCACTACAAACAATAAACCATTTATCTAATGGCAATTAGTCCCACAACCCGAAAACAGGATAACCCTTCAAAAGAATTTGTAAATCTCTAATCAAGAGAAACTCTACTGTCTCCACATTGCCACACAAGAAGTTAATAACTCACCGAGATTGCAGCAGAAGCAGGAAAGAATTATCTTGGGGTGAGAAAGAACTAAGCAGGTTTCTTTCAAAACATTAACAAATATCAACCCTCAAGTATCACATTTCATCATCAATCATTAAATTGCTAAAATGATTGGCAGCCTGGTATCCATTAAGAAGAAAGATCATGCATTACATTTCTCAAGAGTGTCAGAACCATTCTTCTAAAAGAAAAGGGGGAGACAAGATTAGTTCCTATTGTCCTGTAAAGTAATAATTAATCTATTTAAACACTTTGAACATAAATTTAGTATTAATACAACATAAAACATGTGTATTATTTTAAATTTATTGGATTTGTATTAATACATTTTTTTTTAACAAATATCAACTCTTTCTAGTGGTAGATGGTTAAAGATACTAACATTTAAAAAATATGTGTTGTCACACAAGGAAGTCAAAGAGGAACAATTATCAACAAACCGAGGAAGTCCCACAATTGAGTAAGCAACTAATCCTGTATACGATTATTTATAAGCCATCACTTTTAAACCAATAATTTCATTAACACCACCAAAATATAGGGAGGAAAAAAGATTTTCAGAAAGATCGTCCATTCTGTCCCTAATAGACATCATACAAACTAATTCCCAACATATATTGGCTGCATAGCACTGTAATATCAGCAGAAAAATCTATAAGTCTACTTGTTCCAAAAGTCAGCGACTTAACATTAGAGTTGGTCCTCTTGAATTATAGTCCATGAAAAAAGGAATCAACTGTTACAGCCCTTACAGGACCATTGATTTCCAAATAAGGTAATAAACCAGGGAAGCATTCTGATTGGACACTTTCAAGGAAGATAGGAAGTCCGAGACGGTATTAAAAACTGAAATAATAAATAAAATAAGTTATCCTGCTTACTTTGAACACGTGTTGATCCACAATCTGACTCATGCATTTTAAACTCATCCCGCACTTTTTTCAACTCAAGCTTTAATTTCTCCTCGGCAGACATGTTATCTGGATGGAAATACTGCAAAAAAAAAACAATGAATTTAAACCATTAAAATCAAAAAAATTAAATTGTATAATGTCTATTAAGAGTAAAAGAAAATAGGCAGTATGATTTCAACATGTTTTGCAATATTTCCATCCCTGACTATTGGTTCATGGTCAAATGTCAAGATTATAATAAACTCGAGTAAATATGAAGCTTTGAATAGAATGCTCTTAATGTTTGAGTACAAGTAAAGGAGTTCCCAGCCTAAGGTGTGACATCAGAAATGATTTGAAAGCTAAACAAGGAAACAAATAAAATTATAACATACTACATATAAATAAACAGTCTGTCCCTCAATCCTACTAATTTTATAAATCCAAAATATTAAGCAGACAAAGTTTCGTCCTAGAGAGAAAAAAGTCAACCCCTCAGACTAATCAAATTGGATCTATAAATGAAGCTACGCCCCACAGGCGTTCACATTTGTTATATTGTGGGGACTGATGAACAAGTGTTGGCAGCCCCTCTCCCTAGCCTTGGTCAACTACATTCGCTGTATCAAGCTGATAGAATATGATACATAATTGAATAATAAGGCATGTTTGCAAGTTAAACTGACAAATAAACACACAAATATACTTCGTAATAATAACAGAAATTTCAGAGAGGAGACAACAGAGGAAAGTAAAAGGGGTCTCAGAAAGGAACCACTACCTTTTCAACTAAATGCTCTTGAGGAGGATACTCCGTGAAATTAGATGGAGACAACAAACCCAAACTCTGGACTACGAGAGAAAAAATGCATTCATCAGCACAGTAAATCAGAATAGCAAAATGAGCCACTCTAAAATTAAGTACAATAGCAAAATGAGCCACTCTAATTTTAAGTACAATACTTCAACCAATAATAATTGACAAAATACTTCATGTTTCAGACAATCCTCCTCTGAAGAGTATTAAATATTGCAAATTGTAACCATGCAGATTATAAATATAACGAGACCCTTCACAACCAGGTCATATACAGCCAAGAGAGCTTCAAGGTAGCCATTCATGCAGGCATGCAGCATCCACTACACCGTCCAAGTGTATGATAAATACTCTAAATGGCGTAATTTGTTGGATATTATTACTTTAAGTGGTGTAAATTGACAGATATTATTACACCAATGGAATCTTTCTGAAAATAAAACAAGATGAGATTATATGATATTACCTAGCAGCAGAAAGCACCAAACAAGGTGTATAAACACTACTCTTACTTTGCTATGTCTAAAACAATAACATTAATATGGAGTTTCCCACCTAGGATAACAAAGAAAACTAAGGGTTTGACAATAGACATTACAATAGAGTGTGACCAATGATGAATAAATGCACAGAAAACAACATCCTTAATCCATCACAATAAGACTTTTTCTTTCAAATGTTTATTCAAAAGCAAAAAAATCATACCTTCTACCCAAACTAAACATCATCCCCTCCAAGTCGTATATTCATGCTTTTAACAAAGAAGTCTGCTAAAAGCATGAACATAGATCCTAAAGTCCCCATTTCAAGAAGAGAGCTGTAACCCCAAACATCAAACAGATCAAATATGTTCACTGCCTTCCATGTCCACAAAAGGATTTCACTTCCTCTAGCATTTCATACTTTTCTTTTCTATAACACATCTTAAGCCTGGAATTATCATGCGAGGCCTTCAAGGCTTCAATGCTCAAACCAAAAATAAACTAAAAATATATACAGCCTTGAATATAAATGAAACCATTTTCCACCCACGTACCCCAACTAAAACCCACACCCCAATATGATCATAAGAGATGAGTACAATGAAATGTTAAACTATAAGTACAATGAAATGTTAAACTTCCTTAAATACATTAATTGAGAACACGGATTAAGAATAAAACATCATTATAACTTAAAACGTGCTTGAGCTCAGCAAATTTGCTCAGAAACTAACAAAACACTAGGGTATTAAGTCATTTCTTCAAGCTCAAACAAAAACTATGAAATCATCCTTCCATACACAACACTTCAAAATAACAATCCCAAAACCAAGCAAAGTTCATTATCAATTCTGTTTCATATCAACGTTACAGATTAACCCCTTTTAGGATAAGAATTTTGGGAGTTACTAAACTACTATGTAAAATAATAGACAAAACAGTCAACACTAAATCACAATCACATTACAAAAAACACAATTCTTCAAAGAATAAAAACATTATCAATGTAAGAAAGTCACTCACTGGGAGCATTCTTGAGCCTATTATCCTTGCTACTATTGTGGAGAGACGAAAGACTCTCCCTCAACTCTCTAAAATAAGTTGGACTCTGCTTCTCGGCCGCCTCCTCATCCTTCTTAAGCTTCTTCAACCTCTCACCCAACTCCGAAATCGAAAACCAACTCTCCTCCTCTCCATCCTTGTTCTTCCCCTTCACCTCAGGCCTCAGCTCCCTCAGCTTATTCCCCAACTCATCATGAGTGTACATCTTATATAACTCGAAACCCGACTCGTGGTCGCCTTTTTCATCCCCAGCTTCCCCTGAATTCATCTCCTTCTCCTTCATCTCCTTCCCAAACACCTCCATTGGCAAATTCTCACTCGACCCACCAATCACCTTTCCAAAACCACCAACTCCGCCGCTTCCGCCGCCACTTCCGGACATTATCGGCTGCAATTTAAGGCTTTGCTTATAGTTATTCAACGACATCTTAGCACTCGTATTACTCCCATCTACTCCAACTGTCCCCTTCATTTTTCGCAAACTCTCTCTAATTGAATCAAACGATAAATTCCCCCTATTTTTCCCAGCATTATCATTAGGGTTTCCAGCATTTCCGGTCTGAAACATCGTCTGCTTCTGCTGCTGCTCGAAACCCAGCGGCGGAACCGTCGATCGACGGCGAAACTCCGACAAATTCTTCTTGATTTCATCAAATGAAGCAGCATTTTTGGGATTCAAAGAACCTTGAGGATTTGCCCCAATATTCGAATACTTAAAACCCAAAGATTGCTGTTCTTGTTCTCGCTGTTGTTCATGGTGTTTTAACTTGGATTTGATACCATCAAAGTAAGATGAAAAGGGGTGCGGCTTGTCGGGGGGATTACCGCCGCCATTGTTGTTGTTGTCGGAGGAAGAAGATGAAGAAAAGAGGAGAGAGAAAGTGAGATTAGATGAAGTGGATTTGAGGAGGAATTGAGAGGGTTTATGGTGGTGGGATTTAAGATGAAGAGCTAAAGACGCCATTGATGAATGCTTGAGTAGTAGTAGCAGGAATAAACCCTGAGATTTTGGAGAAGAATGAAGGGTTAACCTTAGAAATTGGAAGCCATTGAAGAAGCTAAATAAAAGTGGTAAGTTGAAGTTGGGTGCATTTCGATTCAGGTGGGCTTGTGTTTGTGTTGGGTGTTTTTTGAGCCTATAATGTTTGAGTTGGGTTGCTTGAAGCTTGACCCAAATGTTTTGGTTGGACTAAAGCAAAAGTTAGCAAAATTGGTCCAAAAAAAAATTCTTCGTATTTGAGAATGGTGCATGAGTTGTAATTTTTCATCCTAGAACTAGAATGTAATGTAATTGTGCAAATATTCGTATTATTAATCATATTATAATAATTTGTATGAATAGAAAGTACATTAACAAAGTTATTGGTGCATGAATATCATGATTTTTATTTTTATAATTGAATTTTATCATATGTGGATTGGGGTTTTAGACCTTTCTGTTAAAAGTGACTCTTAAATTAAGTATATTGATTTGTTTATTAGGGTTAGTTGTTTGCTAATGCAAATTTTGAATTTTCAAGTGAGACCTTGTTGATTTTCTTAAAACGTATATTTTTGAAACATCAGTTTTACATCATTGTTTTAATAATAAATTGTCATAGATTTGTATTTGAAACCATGAAAGAATCAAATGTAAATAATTTTAAGAATAGATTTAGTATTTAACAATGTTGTACATGACTATTAATGTTCTATTATATTTTAATATGGTCAATGTTGTCAATTTATGCCATAAATAAAAATTAGAAAAGAAAAAAAAATAGTGCACTACTATTATAGCAATATGACATATAGGTTAATTAAACCTTGTAACTTCGTAAGTTATATCACGTATATCCAACCTAAAAGAATGAAGGCGCTTAACTACTTTTTTATCCAAATAAAGTGTTAAAGAGGAGGAAATCTACTCATTTTAAACTTACTAGATTAAGTCTCGTGCATCGCACGGTTATTAATAAATTTTTACGGAGTATATTGTAACAAATTGCAATATTAATTCAACAATAATGGTACGTACACCATTATTTTTTATACTTATTATACCAATGACAAGGTTATCGAAACATTAGACTTTATTTAAAAATAAATAAAAAAAGGTCTATGAGATTTTATATTAAAAAAATACAAATCAAGTTTAATACCCAGGCAGTGGCCATGCTATTATTAATACCACTTATAAAAAATAAAATGAAAGATATACTTGTACATATATATTTTACCTAAATGATTTATTAAAAATTGAAATAAACTTTATTGCAAAAATAGTAAAGTTGAAACAAAGGAAAAATTATAATATTATAGGAATAATTTAATTAAAGTATTAATTTAATAATTACATAATCTTTGTTCATTTTTTTTAAATACATGCAAAATATAAAATAATTGAAAGATATGAAAAAGTATTCCAATTGAGTGTGTATATATATAGAAAAAATTTGATTGTCAAACTGGAAAATATATATTATATATCTAATTCTAAATTGTTTTCTTGAAATATTGAAAAAAAAAAGGAAAAATGGAGAGAAAATTTTTAACCATAAAATGACATGTATCATGCCTAATTTCATTTTAGTATATATATATATATAAATTATTGATTTGGATGTATTTGAAGATTTAATTTGGAAATATATATTAGCGATATATAGAATATTATTTTGATGACAATTTTAGATATTTGCTATAATATAAATGGCGTGAATCTTTTTTAGTGTTTTTAAAACATATGGTAGTCAAATAGGAAGGTTATATATTATAATAATATAGTAAATATATTTGAGAAAGATTTGATGAAAAAAAATGTGTTTTGGAGGGAAAAAACAGCACCAAGAAGTGACACGTGTCATTTCTGATGTCTGTTTTAGTATTATGTTATTATTGATTGTTTTACTCATTTTCATTTAATTATTAAGAGGATATGTTACAATACAATATATATGATATATAATTTATGTAGGCACCTTTAGGCAAGGAGAACAATATCAATTTATGTATGCCATAATTTAGTTACTTAACAAGTTACCTACATGCATGGTATGATGGAGGTAATTATATTTTGTTAATCAATGATTCATTATCCCCTGGTTAACATGGTCGCGAGTTTGACTTTGCAAAACAAACTACTCCCTCCGTTAAATGTTATGTGTAACTTTTGTCAAAACGGGATGATTAGGGTTATGTGCAACTCTCTGTTTTCTTTGTATTTTTAGTAAACAAAAACCCTGGAAATTACATATTTACCCTTACTTAAAAATTCTGATTTTCTTAATTTTGCCCTTAACTTAATTTAATCACATTAACCTAAAACTAATCAGATTTCCCTAATTTAATTAATCCCTCCATTTACTCACAATCCCAACCACCAACAATTACTGTGATGGCTGGTCTTCCTTATAAGTTCTTCAGATTTTTCCAGATGAACCCTAGTTCATCTTCATCTTCTTTGTCATTCTCTCTCCTCTTCGTCTTCATGAGTTTTTGGAACCACCAACTCTCTGTTCATTTTCACGAGGCGTACATGGCCATTGACGACGACAGTGAGGGGAAGTTGATAATCTCGCTCATTCAATTTTTTGAGATCGGACCTTCTTTTGTTCGATTTTCTGGATTTTTGTTTCGATTTTTTTGGCTTTGATTTTCAAGGTTTTGATTTCGATTTTTTGGGTTTTGATTGCGATTTTCTGAGTTTTGATTTTGTGGGTTTTGATTTCAATTGAAGGTGATGATGATGGTCGGATTTCTGGGTTAGGGTTCTAGGGCGTGGGTTTTAGGTGACAATTTCTGGGTTTTTTAGGTTTGGGATTTATGGGTTTTTAGGTTTGGGATTTATGGGCTGCCGGAAAAAGGAGGGAAAGACGGGGGAGGGGGCTGTCGAAAAAGGGAGGGGATGACGAATGAGGGGTTGTTTCGTGGGGATGGTGGGTTTTCGTAAGGGTGGTGGTGGTTTCGTGGGGTTGGTAGTGGTGGTGGTTTTGTGGGGGTGGTAGTGGTGATGGTGAAGGCGGCGGTGGTGTTGGTGAAGGCGGTGTGGGTGGTGTTGGCTGGTCTTGATGGCGACAGTGGGTGGTTGATTAATTATCAAAACATTCTCTCTCCACCTTAATTACATACCACAAGTTCCTTAAACTTTCTCTAATCTTTGCCCCTTAACTTTTGCATTGACAACCACGAACTCTCATTTTGTTGCACATGACATTTAACAGAGGGAGTAATTTAGATAGTTTGGCCAAACCTAAACTTCATCTTAATATAATTTTTCTTAACTTATTGCACCTAAGCTTAGATTATCTTATCTTTTTTTTTTTTTTTTAATTTTTTTTTTGTTGAAGGGATTATCTTATCTTATCTTATTAACCTTGAACATATATTGTACTTCATATGACTTATTTCTTGTAAATTGATAAGTGAAAATATAAGACAAGAAGAACAAACATAACCTTTAAACATAGATGTGTTTCGTTTATATGCCAATTGCGTCATTTCAATTTCTTCCAAGAACGAAATCCATAAGGTTATTATACTCACTAAGACTATAGATTTATGGATTAATCCCATAATTAGCTTCCCTCGAGATTGCGAGTTTAACTAACACATAAAATTACCAAAACAATACAATAAAATCATTGTCCATAAACCATTGGTTCTTATAATGACAGTATGACACCAAGGATGAAATTTCTGATCTTGCATATTTTTTGTGTAATAAAATTAAAATTAAGATAACGTATAGAGAAGTACTCCGTAGTAAAATCCAGGAAAATCAGCATCCCTTCAAACTTCAAAATCCATCAAACTCCCAATTTAATCTCTGTGCACTTGCAGTAATTTCAATCAATAAGTAAAGGAGGTATCTTCAACTGTTACTTTGCAGGGGGGGGGGGGGGGCCACTTTCACAACTTATATCCAGGTTTTCATGCCAGATTTTTTGTACCAAAATCCCTGCTTCCACCCCTTTCTTTTTTTTTTTTTTGGTAATATTATAAAAATACAATACTGTAGTAATTTGTTTTAATAAGTAGATACAGATTGAAAACATGAAGTAAAAAAAAAAAAAGAGAAAAAAGTACATTTGGGAAGATATATTGGCAGAGATCAGGGGATTTATTTGAAACCCAAGGGATCTATGAATCTATTATTCCAGTTAGCTGAAGTTTCCTGTTGGACCATACTGTATACTTTATGTCCATAGTATTTTGATAATTCATGTAACCAAAATTACAGGAGTAAAGGAGAATTTAAATATGAAGTATTTTTATGTGATTGCATGATTATCATGTTTGGAAATGCCATTACCATAGGCTTATCATTAAAGTTAAACTATTCTTCATAATTTCGGATCGGAAAATCAATTACACCATCAAACATGTTACTCCGTATCTTGAAATTGACTATTTGTCATTTTCACTAATGTAGCTAGAATAAACAAGTATTTTAGTGATTAACAAAAAACATGATTTACATTTCAAAGTATAGATCAATTGAGAGTACTGAGTATTAAGCTAAGGATACATAGTAAAAGGATGTCAAGAAGTATAACGTATAACATCTTAAATATTTAGGGTCCTTGTTTGATGATTTAAATAACCCTAAAATCGAAGGACCTCATGATAAATTTATAATCAACAATAATATGGAGTAATTTGTAACTATTTTACCATCATTTTCTAGGTTTACTCTGAATTCTAATTTATTTTGGTTAAAATTTGTGAAATCTCATTTTTTAGGTCACATGTGGTAGAATATTGTCTAAGAGCTAAGAAGCACTTCCATTAAGACATGCATCACAATTCACACAACAAATAAAACTTGAACATTTTGCTGTCCAATATATTAGTAAATTTTCTGATTATTTCTAGTTGCACGTGAGTATAATATTCACGTACAAGTGTACATCGTGTATGTATCAAATAATCAATTTCACTAATTAATCTAATGCTCAATATTTGAAATTTTCAGTTTTTTTTTTTTTTTTTTTTTTTTTTTTTTTTAAAAAGGGCGTAGTAGCCCATATTTAAATCTAATTTAATCAACAATTACTCGGTACAAGTTTACAACAGATAATCAACCCTTGATTTGAAACATTTCCACCCATGTAAAAGATAATGAAGATGTGCAAGAAAAAAATTAAATTGCGTCGTACACGAGTGGTAAACTTGGTAAACTGCATTAGAGTATTATCATTGCTCAATACCAAAATCATAAGGAAATTAATGACAAAAAATGTTGGGCCAAGATTCCATTCAAAATCACAAGAAATGATTCCATCTTAACCTACGTGACTTTATAATTTTATAACTTCACAACTTTCAACACATAATATCTTTTTTCGTACTCTTAACCCTTCTACCAACAAAATTAGTAAAATATTAAATAATTAGGTTAAAGATACATATACTTCGTACTTGTATTATGTAAATTCTCCATCTAAATAACCATGCACTAACAATATATAGTCTAATATAATTTCCTTACCTAAACACTTCTAAACTAGCACCTTAATACTAATTAGAGAAAAAAGGGAGTAGTTTCTATTTATGTACTCCCAATTGTAAGTCAAGCTCCATAAAACTATTTTTAGTAACAAGCTGAGACATAGATGTTACCACTTGACACTTTTTCTTGTACATTGTTGTTGTTGCGTTGTTATTCTTCATAAAGTCGTACGAGGAAGACGAGGATGATGATGTCGGAGACAATGTCGTTGAGGTTGAGGTGGGGACCACCGACGGTACTTGGAAGTTTGTCTTGGCCTTGGATCCTCGGAGTCGCCGAGCAGCCGCGTCATACGCACGCGCCGCTTCTTCGGGTGTGTCGAACGTGCCAAGCCAATGCCGGCATCGCCCAACTCGGTCTCTTATCTCGGCTGACCACCTTCCCCATGGCCTTTTTCTTACTCCCCTATACTTCTTCTCCACCCCTGTACTCGTTTCGAAACGTTTTCCCTTAGAGTTTGACTGTTTTTCCGAAACGTTTCTTCTATCATTTTCATTTTCGAAACGTTTCAGTGTGTTAGGGTTAGGATTCGAAACTTCAACCTTCTTGTCATCTTTGCATGTTGTTGGTTTGGTGGTTGGGGTGGTGCCAAAGAGTACATGTTGGCCTACAACAGCGGCAATACCTTCAAGGACCTGAGACGATGGCGGCGAAGGAGGAAGAGGTGGAGGAGGAGTCTTCCTCTTCTGTCTATCAATTGTAGTAGGAAAGCTTGAAGAAACGTTTTGTGAGAAAGGTGATGAAAGTGCATCATATTGATAAAGGGTGTTGAAAATAGGGTCATTGCAAATGAAAAAGGGTAGATTTCGAAACGTTTCTTGCTCAAATATGAAGGAAGAAACGTATTCTAAGGTACTAAGATCATTCATGGTGGCTTAACTTTAGTGTGAGAGGAGTGAAGAGAAGAAAGGGATGAGAAATGATGAAAAGCCACTCTACTTCTATATATAGTGGTCAATTAATAATTGATAAAAATAATTATTCTACTCTTTCTGTCCCATATTATAGTTCCTGTTTTAATGGTGTTCCTATTTTTGGATAGTTTTTAAAGACTATTATACCCTTATTTTTTTAAATTTATCAATTGTACTTTTAAAATTATCCTTAAAATTTTCACTTGCTTTGAACTTTTTTTCCACTTTCTCTCTCTAACTTTTGTCTATAATTGTACTTTTAACCTTTTTTGTATGTAGTTCATTTATTTTCTCCTTTCATTTCTTAAATACCGCGAAAAAACACAAATAAAAACTATATATTGGGACAGAGGGAGTATTATTTAATTTATAGACGTGTGTTAATTGTTCAAATAACCGATGAATATATAGTGGTCAATTAATACTTTTTTTTTTTATTACAAAGAGATCAATTAATGCTAATTATTTAAAAGTAATACAGTAGAAATTAATGGGAAAAATAAAGTTTATAATAATGAAAATAATTATTACGGAGTATAATAATAGTAGGTAGATATGAATGAAATTAAATTTATGCAAAGTATATAAATGTGAGGAAGAGGAAGTAAGGTTATGCAAAAGTCATAAAGTGTAACAGCTAGTAGTAGTAGCCAAAGGCAAGTAGTGTAGTGAGTGTGAGTGAGTCCAAATATACTCCAGAAACAGTATTTTGTTGCACTTTGGAAAAGAACGTAAAATCTGTTTACAGTTCTACTTTTAGTATTTCTTGTCTCTCCTTCATTTGGTCAATATATACATCTTACCACAATTATTCAAAAATAAAAAAATAAAAAATAAAAAAAATTGGGTATGTATACTCCCAATTGAGATCGATTAGGGCTTTGAAGTAAATAAGATTTGATCCTAATTAAATTAACATCTACAATATAATTATACTTTCTTATATAGGTTCTCTGTATTTAAGTTATTTTAGTTGAATTATTCGTTTAGTACATCTTATATGTAATACTTTTCTTAAAACGCTTGCTAACACATTGAAGAAAAACAATAAATAAAGGAAGTATATATAGCTTATGCATCAATGCATGCGCTTACATAGGTGAGATAATCAGATAAACATAGAGAAATGTTATTTATATACTCATAGTTATTTTAAAATAACAAGTTTAAAATTATTTGATGGAAACTTAACAAATTACACAAATGGTTATTATAAAGCTAATATTTGTTCATAGAGAGCTATGTAATACTAATATGTCCAATGTCAATCTCACATGTTCACCAAGCTAGATTACCAACAGTATATGGTTAAGCAAACATTTTTTGAAGATCAAATGACTCCAACATGAACCTCAATTCCCGTAGTCCTTCTGCCCTCTTTTGTGTGGGGGACGAGTTTAAGTCTTTTTTATTAGGTATAGTAGCATATAAAATATGAGACACTAAAAGCCTTAGCAACCTTTACCTTTAAAATTTATATTTATATGGTTATATGTGAACACTTATTATATCATAATATTTTAAAATAATGAGCCAGTATAAACCCATAACATAATGTATTGCAATTACGAGCAACTAAATTATACGTGACACATAAAGGGGTCATAATAAGAAGTTGAGTGGATGATGTGGCTTGATAAAGGGGTCTACGTGACACATAAACTTTTTTAGGAACACCTTTTAATATATTAGTATAGATTATTATTAACTTTTTAAATTATATATATATAAAAAATTCTTGCATTTTGTTAATTCGTAATCAAACTTTAAACTCTTTAATTATGACAACTATAAATAATAGGTATGTCTTCAATTAAAAAATGAAGCCAGTACAATAAATAATTACATATGCAATATGCGCTATATTTTTTTAATTTTTTTTTTTTAATTTTTTTTTAAAGAGAACTTCAAATTTTAAAATTTTAAAGTAGTTAGGTTAGGTTTTTTTATTATTATTATTATTTGTTGAGTACTCGTACAACTTTGTAAAACGTCTAAATTATAGATGATGGTAAATTAATGATAAATGTAAGTACAAACAACATTACAATCTCGAGATGAGTTAAAAAAAAAAATTAGGTAAAAAAGGAGAACCGTTGATAATGTAAAACAAAGATATAATTTTTTTTGTAAGAAAATGGTACTGTAAATAATTAATGGGTGGAAGAGTAGCTTAGGTTGAGGATATATACCGTAATAATTAACGTCAGATAATCGTCATAAGAAAAGAAAAGATAGTATAGCTCTAGTTTGACTGCTTGAAATGATTGATATATAAATATGGTACAGTAGCAGAATTTATTTGACAATAATTCTGAGTATTTTATAGATTCACATCTTTATTATCTTGCACCTGTTGCATGGCGTAATGCTCACGATGTACCATAGGATATTCTCTAGTAGTTTCTCACTGTACTCCACTATCATAACATTATTTATCGTCTTGATTTTTAATTAGGTACATATAACTATATAAGGTGTATTGGTGTAACATGTAACATAAATAGATAATTGGTTGATGATTTTCGATTGATCATGAAACCCAATAGTTGTGTAACGGTTAGTGTTATTTTGGTATTGAATTCAAAATTTGCACAATAGTTAGTACAACTGAGTATCAAATCAATTTCAAATACTTAATACATAAAGATTAATTTGATTCGCAAATATTGGATCAGGAAATGCATTTAATTTAGATGAACTCTACTCATAATTCAGTTTTGTGGAACCGGGTTGAATACGTTGCCTCTATCTTAGTTAAATTATGTTCAGAAAGTTAGACTATGAATAATTGTATTAGTTGAAATTACATTTATTTTAAAGTATTTAAAAATGTTTCATAACTTGAATATAAATAAATAAAACGTTTAATTTTATGCACATAAAAAGGATGAAGAGAGTAATTTGCATATTACAAACCAACTTATGCCTCTACATTAAGGAAGTCCCCAATAACTCAACAAGATATAGCAAGTGTGTAAACTACTAACTACGGAGTAAATTGTAACCCAACTTATGCCTCTAAATTTTCCAAAAAAAAAAAAAAAAAAAAAAAAACCTTATGCCTCTAAATTAAGGAAGTCCCCAACAAGAAATAGCAAGTGTGTAACTCTTCATTAGCTAATTAAAGAAACACCTCCCAACAAACCAAAGAGAATGTCGGTCCATTACCCACTAAAACACACAATACATGACAATATATAGATATACTTGTATTAAATCTATAAATTTGGGAAAACAAAATATGCATGTAGTAGCAATATTTTATTTTTTTACCTCAAATAAAATTACACCCTCCCAAAAAAAAAGAGAAAACAAAGGGAACATACTTTGGACTGACATATAAAATTGGTTTCCTCTTGTTTTTTTTTTTTTTACTGTGTCATGCAAAAAGGTAAAATCTTTGGGATTAAAAAGAGAAACTGAAGCAAAATCGGAAGTAAAAGTAAGGTATGATTATAACTTTATGAAATTATTGATGTTAAGAAAGTGCAAATACGTGTAACTGATAATCTGTGTTGTTTACATGCTTTCTTGTTTGTGTTGTTTTAAGTGTTGCCATAAGAAACATGCAACTAACATCACTTGAAAGTAGGGGTGAGCATGGGTCGGATATCCGTACCGTTAGCATTATTGGTTTGGGTATCCGATAACCGATAACACTAATAATATTACTAATCGTTTAAATTATAAAGTGATTATGAAGTAAAGTAAGAGTTTAGATTTTGGATAAATAGATTTAAGTAGGAAAAAAAAGAAAAAATTGCTTATCGGATCGGATCGGATAACCGTTAATATTAAAATGATACCCAATAATCGTAGCTAATAACAAATTATCGGATCGGGTACCCGAACCGTTATGGTTATCGGAACCGGTACCCTAATTTTCGATTAGCGTTACGGTTCAGATTTTCGGGTTTTCGGATTATTTTGCTCGGCCCTACTTGAAAGTGTAAACAGTGAAAAAAGTATTACAAAATCGTTTATTTATGTACTAACTGGTTAGAAATAATTATGGTTTGATTGGTAAAGTCCTAGGTAATTATTTACTATTGTATTGCTATAATTAGAATTGCTTAGGTTAAAGAAAATGAAGGTATTACTATGACTTTTCCATGGTTTAAGGAACTTATTGTGAATAAGAATGTTAGATCAGAGTAAGGTTTACTTGGGGATATATACACGGATGTGCAGAAAAAAAATGTAATACCTATGTTTCGTTTTAATTGACGGAAATCATTTTGGCAATAATAGATAGATTAGATACTAATAAAGAGAGAAAATGAGTGATTTTCACTTAGGAAGATAAGTTTAAAAGGAAAAACTATTGACAATGGTAACGTTATAGTTGAATTGAAAAATTTAATACGGAGTAAAGAATAAACCATAAGGTGACATATAATTTGAGATTTGAGGTGAAGAGAGTAAAATTATGTTAGGTAGAATTATAAGGAGTAGTCATAATTTCCAAACTCTACTACAGCTTACAAATACTCCACAGTATGCACATGAGTATAGCAGTGAAACATGCACAATATACAGTATCTGACTTGACTTTGGAAAAGAACAAAAAATCTATTTCCAGTGCTTCATTCTTAGAGTTTTCTTTGTCTCACTTTCATCTTGTCGATCAACTGATAGTCTTACAACATTACTCTTTTGTTTTATTCTTTATTTTTTTGATAAATGGCCAAAGTAATTTAAGCATATCAGTTTTTCTGAGCTCAAAAGAATTATACTGCAGAATTTTTGGATGGATTATTAGAAGGGGAAAAAAAAAAAAAAAACTTTAAATGTTGGATGTATAAAAATAATTACTATACGAATACATGAATTTTTTTTGGATGAACATAAGAAAAAAATATGAATGTATATGAATTTTAAAGTGGATGTATACAAAATTACAAAGGAAGTAATTCCATATGAATAGGCAACTTTCACTCTGTTTCATTTACTCATGCTCTTGGTATACATTGACCACATTTTCTACATGAGAAAATTAGGAAGATCTTACAATCTACTCGTAGTATAATAAATTCCCATCATTATAAGCTTATAAAAGGCGGGACAGTAAAAGCATTCCTTACTATTTTTCCATTTAAAAAAAACTCGTCGACAATTCGTAGTTCAATTATAAAACAACGTTATTCTTGTTTGTAACTATTGCAAAAACAGCATATCACATGTTAATTTACACAGGCACTCAGGTTCTTGTGATACACAGTGAGCAATTGAGCATCGTGTATATTTGTTCAAGTTCTATTTTGCCGAGCTCAAATTTTTTCCGTGTGAAGCATATCGCTGCAATTTAGAAAATTTGAAGTTAACTAAAATTGCTTTAAGATTGTTGGTCAAAATATTGTTCTTGATTCCAGTAGTTAGTAGCCTTGCAAATGTCAGCGGAATTTATATTCTTGAACAGGAAATCAAATTCCCTGGTAATAAACAGCATAACAGAAGTATTGAGCTGGAAGTATGTGTTTGATCAAACCACATCTACTAATCAAGAGACGTACATCATACTTGGCTACTCTTGGCCAATGTAAAAAATAAAAAATAAAAATCTAAATAAATAAAAGACTCACAGGACATACAAAATTGTTGCGCTTCATTGTAAAGCAGACAGGGTCACTGGTTTCAGCTTGTTACAATTGGACAGCCTAAGATTTTTCAGCCCTCATCACTATAACAATAGGGAAAGATCAGGTTTCTGCATAGACATAGCACTAAGGGAATCTAAAGTCTGTATCCGTGGATGATATCGACAGTTCTTTGTGGCTTCCGACTCATTGATTTAATTCTCTAACCTCCTTTTAAATACTTCTGTTGCTTTGTGATTAAAAGGAAACAATCAGTAAGGTTTAAACTTCCTTGCAGCTCGTATCTGTTGTATCCGTTTCTTGTCCTCCTCAAATTTACTTTGTAGCTTCATAATATCTGCAAACAGATAGGATATGTTGAGCATAGAGAAATGAGGTGAAATTAACTTGCATCTACAAATTGTCTATGTGATCCAACAGGTGATCATCTACAGGGAATATTGGAGCTAGGACTGTAACATCAACAGTAGCGATACACAAATTATAGACTAAGAAAATATTTGTCCAAACCAGTTGAGCTAGAGATATTAAGTCAATCAAAGCATTACTCAATTATTATCCCATAATTAGGTGAAATGGGCATGCATAGTTGCAATTGCTCCGTGCTTGGAAGGAGGATGTAACAGTGCCAGTAGAAAAAGGTTGTGGCAATTAGGGGGTGAGCAAAAAAAACAAATATCTAACTTCATTAATGTAAATGAGTGAGTCTACTATGTTTCACAAGTTACACCAAGGATGGAGCTTAAAAGTCGTAACATATCCCTAGGTGAGTATGAGGGAAGGAGAAGCCACGAGATTTCTAAAACAAAATGAAAATTTGAAATGCATTGTTGACAACACATCACATGATAATGCAACACCTCATTTGTCTATCAAGAATGCCAAGGCTCAGGATACATGAAGAACCAAAATCAGCATTCAATTAAATAGTAACCAACTAACCATACGAGACATGCATCAACATAATCCACACAAGTGGATGCCTAAAATAAAGAGGATTTCAATGCCATCCCACTTAGCAAGTAAAAAGTAAATCTGAGAGCATAAATATAATGTAATCATACCACTCCTGTGTGCTTCTTTCCTCTGGAATCGGTAGAAATCTAGCCCAACATCCTTACTCTTTTTCTTGGCCATTTTATCGCGCACAGCAGCCTCAGCTACAGATCCAACAGCAACACCACTATCAGGATCAGTTGTTCTTTTCCCACCCTTGCGATGTACAACAACAGTCCATCCTTCCTCAGCAAGCTTGGCTTCTCTTTCTCTTTTTGCCTGTGATACAAAACCATGACAGTTATATACATATCAAGGAAGTAGTTAAGGACTTGAGGGTAGCCACACACCAAACTGGAAAACAGAATTCAGACATGATCACCAACTGATTACCAAGGGCAAAACCATTTAAGAAGTAGACTTGAATTTGTTAATTAATACTTAACACATAACGATATACAGGGAATATCTAAACAATGACAAGGCAACTGTTCCACATCAAAGGATGATGCCAACGGCAATGTGTCCAGAACAATAACAAGGAAATTAAGAAAATTGTAACCATCTGCCCTTAGTCCTGGACTTCCAATGATTACAGTTAAGCAAGTCTGCAAGAGCATGCACATTACAACAGTAACCTTGTACTTCTTGTTTGTATGTGCTTCAGCAACAAATGTATAAATCTATAATGAGAAGCAATTATGTCTATAAAGGCAGAGACATGAGCATGGAAAGGATGGCAAACAGGTTGAAAGTATAAACGCCTGAACCACATTTATATGTAAATGTAATGACGACTTGACGAGGGAAAGAAGAAAAATCACCTGCTCCTCCTGCTCCTCATGTGCAGTTATAAAGTTGTCAATTTGTTCTTGCAGCACCTTCAATCCAGGTCTCCTAACGTGAAACTCCTTAATCCACTCTATAATTGACATATTTTAACCAAAAAGGTCATGCTAAATGTTGCACTTAAAGTTCAAATAACTTAAACATGAACTCTGCTGAGTAAATCAAGAAACAATGAGGTGCTGACATAAAAGGCACAGAGCAAAAATCCCCAGAACATAAAATGTGACCTCACAGAAAGAATTGAAAATAAAAATCCCAACAACTCCAGATTTGTAAGCTGAGAGGATGAAGGGGTGTTCTATTCACCTGATTTTTACTCGTTTGAAATTATCTTATATGAGCTTAACTTATTTAATTTTTCTTGAACTTATCTTGTCTATAAACTTAATTTTCCTAAAATAAGCGAAAATAAGGTAATAGAATGGGGCCTAAAAAGCAAAATATTATATTACCGTTTTCTAACAGAATTTAAATGACTACCAAAAAAAAAAAATCACACGCCCATTTGAGAACACTTTAAGATAACAGAAATAGAAATTTATTTGCATACTTTTCATCCCTTTGGAGTCATCTTCATCTACTGAAGAGATTTCATATACATCATCCATTGCAACTTCTTGCACCTCCTTCACTGACTTGATTTTTTTATTTGTTGACTGACCATCCATCTTCTTTTTATGAGCATTTTTTGACTTTCCTAAACAAAAAGAAATTGCATTTATGTTAACATATTACCAAAATCTCTCAACAGCCCAGTGAGATAATAAACATGCAAATAACTAGTGTCAATTATCCTTTCACCTAAAGTAGCAGGTCTGCATCTTAAGAAAACAGATAAAGAAGAGAGAAACCATTCATAGAGCAACAAACCTTTTACTTTTTTTAAGGAAACCTCTGTATCTGGTTTCTCATTCACCACTATGCTTGGTTCACTTGGATGATTATCCTTAATTTTGCTTTTGCGAGCTTTCTTTGGCTTATCTACAGCATAGAGAAAGCTTGCTAAGAGAATAACAAATCACCATTATATCTCTGATTTCCGTTTAATGTAGACTTGCATTGATAGCAATCATAGCATGCCTAGTACTTTTATCTACTTCAGACACTCCCTTTATCAGGAGAACATTCTAAAAGTCCAGTCAATCATTCAATTCTTTTAAACAACATGACATGTACCCCTCAATTCCATTTTAACAGTCCCATTTCAATTTTAAGTGATCAAACTAATTAGTATATGACTAACTTGCTATTGTTTTAAAAAACTTTTAAGTGGAAAATATGGCTGGTGTGCTTGAGTTTCAAACCACCATCCCAGAATAAAATTACACTCTAATTACTCAGTACGAAAATTTTGAAAAAAAAAAAAAAGTTCAAAACATGCCTTGAGGACTACAAAAAGTCGCGTTGAATATGAGAAAAGAGAAATAGTATATGACGATCCTTATAAAAAAAATTTCTTTGGGGAATAAGTACCACAGCTTTATATAGAGGGAAGAAATATACACTACTGTCGATTTAAATCATATCAGAGTAGAAAATAAATGAGCAGGCAATATGGAATTACAAGCTTTTCGATCTACTCCAGCCACATTATCCTCGTTCTTCTTGACAATAGGATACTTGCCATCATGTTCAAGAGTACATGCATTCGCTGCACCTTCACCTGAAAAGAGGTTCCATAAGATAACAATTTATAACAGCAGCAATAGCCCATCACCTGGAGAGCAGCATTTAGAAATTGATACAGGGCAAGAGCAATCCTATGTATATATGAACCCCAAATTTGAAATGTTAGCATGAAGGAATAGCTTGAATAGGGAACACAAAAGACATTAACATTAAGTTTACATTTAAATTTTTTATGCATAGAGTTCTAGCAGGCTTTGGAATCAAAACATACAATGTTCCATCCCTCACACCTTGCATCCAGAAGTTACTGTTATAAAATCAAGTATAATAAAATCATCAAAGATTTGACCTTTATTGAGCTGCCAATGACTCACTAAAGCCTGCAACTTCCAAGAATGATGAGTACTAACCTAAATTCAGCTAGCTTTTCGGGTCAGGAAATAAACAAATCAATTTCAGTACAGGACTATTTGCTCAGAATTGCCTCTTTTTTATTACCAGTCCTTGCAACAAAGCATCATATCATAAATGGCTTTTACAACATCATACCCAATAATCTAGAAATAACACCTAAAACCATAGACAGGATACATTAGCATATATTTCCAATTACCGGAAATTCTACATACTCTAAACATCAACACGTTTTCCCCATCCTACTTACTGCAGCGAGTACAGTAGCACCATTTCCCATCTCCCCTTCTTCCCATGAAAAATAAGCAGAGCACGGACAATTTCAATTATTAGTCATTCTTCCCTTAGTTTCCTTTGAGAAATCAAATTGACACCATAATGCACACATGAAGCCAAACACATTCAAAATTCTAGCTACTTTGCATATCTATTTGCACAAATGTCGAGTCCAATCAAATATTATGCTCACAGAACAGAATTATAATAACTCGAAGATGGTCATCGACACATAGAATCAAAGTGTTACACTTATAACTAACAAGATCAAATTGCAACACCCCAAATTGCAATTTATGAAAAAATAAAAAGAGCACATAGTTGTAAGAAGGCTAGCAATCTGTGCTACGAACCCTTTTCAAGGAGCTCCCGACTACGTTTTTTTATCTTCATCTTATTCATCTTCTTTTCTGGTTTGTTGCTTCCCATGTTTGGCTACAAACCCAGCAACAAGAACCCTGCAAAATCAGATTAAAATCTTCAAGAACCCTAAATTGAATAAAATAACGAGTCATTAGAATGTGAAACTGATATTCGATAGTTATGGAAAAACATCTTACCTATGCTTCAATGGAGGAGAGAAAGCTCAAAAGCAGCTTTAATGGGGAACTCAGAGCTCGCTTCAATGGAGGAGAGAGAGAGAGAGAGTGAGGTGCAGCGGCGCAGCCGTACAGTTAAAAGGGAGATTTTTTTTTTTTTTTTTCACAAGAATAGGAAGAAATTACATGTTGATAAGTCTGAGATACATTTTGTGTGTATCAGGGGTAAGGTCGTAATTTCCTGGATTTATGTGGGGGTAAGATCGACATTTTGGCTGTTCAAGAACAGAGCTGTTGTATTATGGTCTATGGACTCCGTTTTGTAGAATAATCGTTTAATTGATCGGGCTACGTTTGTATCCAAAATTGTATAATGGCATCGATTGTATTATGGACTCCGTTTTGCAGAATTGTTTATATCCGAAATTGTATAATGGCATCGATTTTGAAATGCTTAGACGATGAACTTCATCTCTCTCGGTAGTAACAGCCGTCACTTACCATTTTATAATTATACTAGGCAGGTTTACGCTAATTTTTATTGTAAGACGGTCATGTCGGTCAATTTGAGAATAGTTTTAGCAATTTTAAAAATAACTTTAATTCCTTTAAGGATAACTTTTAATTTGTAATTTGTGTCTATTCTTTTTAACATTGATATCACTAGGTATGGTTTTTTTGCTGCTGCTATAAGTCACATACTAGTATCAAAATTTAACAAGCAAAATTACTTAAGTGTTCCTATTGAACGAGTAGTATACTTGGCAAAAAAAACAATTTCTACATTATTCCATGGCACACTTCAAAGAGAGGCTTAGTAGAAACAACTTCTCTGATTTACAGCTAATCAGCTACTATGCCCTAATATGTGCTTCGGATCTATTGATGTCACAGGAAAATTTTACATTTATCGTACACTAATCCAACGTAGACTGCTTCAATCCAAGGCAGGGAAACACTTAAGGAGAATCTCTGCACTCTTTTCAAGTTCCTGCTCTGATATGATGAGTGGAGGAACCAATCTCACTATGTTTCCTTTCCCAGCAGTTAAAATTAACAGTCCTGAATTTCGACAAGCATCAACCAGAGGACCAGCTGGTACATCCAATTCTATACCAAGAATAAGACCCTGCCCTCGGACTTCTTTGACATGTCGATTTCCTCCCAATTTCTTTGTCAAGAGTTCTTTGAAGTACTGGCCTTTCTTTGACACACCAGCCAAAAAACTAGGACTCAAGATTTTATCTAGGACAGTAAGTGCAGCTTGACACACAAGTGGTCCACCAGCAAAGGTGCTTCCGTGGTCTCCAGGGTTTATAGCCAATGAAACTCTTTCTGTAACCAGCACAGCTCCAATAGGCAAGCCTCCGGCAAGAGGCTTTGCAAGTGTCATTATATCAGGGTATACACCATAGGCTTCATGTGCCCAGAGGTAACCTGTTCTGCCCAAACCACATTGCACCTAGTAGACATATACATAAGAGTTCAGTGAGTCAAATTGGTAGTTAAAAAACAACTTTGTGGTTAAGAGTTAGTAGGCAAGGGGGATGGAGTGATCGTGAAGACATGAAGGATTACTTCAATATCACTCTCTTCCCCAGGCTCATTCCAACTCTTTCCAATTCAGCAAGGAAAAAGTGGAGTCCATGCTATCCTGAGTCAAACCTTCACAAGTCACAACATATATAGGTTTTGTTAAAAGTATTTTTCACAATCATCTTTATGCCTTAAATAAATACAAATACATGAGCAAAGGAACACTAGTTACATGACCACCTCTATTAATCCTCTATATTGAGATATCAGATTAACCCTATTCAGGATGCACCATTAAGCTTACTAACTCGTCATAAATATACGGGTGCTTAGGGTTAGGGACTCGGCATGTGGATTTGCTCTCCAAGTTGGAATATATCAGGGAAGGATCAGAATGAACTTTTCATCAAATGCAGGAAGTATTACAGGGTATTTGTTTGGGAGAAGTCTAGACTAGCATTCAATTCTACAATACAGCCACGCCTTTTCATTCAACCCAGATACCAAGCTGGCGCAGGGCATACTTTGCTATAGAAGAGGTTGCGGATGTCACAGTGCAACTCATACAAGGACAGGGGCCCTCTTCAAAATAATAAAACACCCATAGTAATATCCTGCTCAAACCTTTTACTAGAACCATCATTTCCATTTCCCTTATTCAAACTTAGAGAATATCATCCACAGGCCATGAATAGCCAGGCTAACACACACTGTTTCAGCTTGCCACAAAGTAAAATTTGGATAATTTAATCCAACCCACTTTACCAATAAAAGGAAAAAAAAAAACATCAGTATAGGTCATGGGAAAAAGCTAGTGGTCAGATAAGAAATTGTAAATATATACCATGCCGAAACACATCTAGCTTAACTGCCATAGAGGTTTAACCATAATAAAGAGTATGAACCAGAACACATAACTTCTTACCTCATCATAAACCAAGAGCGATCCAGCTTCATCACAAGCTGCACGTAATGACTGTAAGAATTCCTTGGTGGCACTGTATATTCCCCCTTCGCCTTGAATGGGTTCAACAAAAACAGCAGCTACTTTCCCACTCAATATAAGTTTTCTTGCTGCCTCAGAATTACCATATTCAAGAAAAGTGACTCCAGGCATGAGTGGCTCAAAAGGAGATCTGTAATTTTCTTTACTAGTCAAAGAGAGAGTACCAATTGTTCTTCCATGGAAACAATTACTAAACGCAATAAACTCTGTTGGTGGGTCTTTTGCATCAGGATGTGTATGTCTCTGGAACTTTCTAGCAAATTTAATGGCAGCTTCATTTGCTTCTGTTCCAGAATTTGTAAAGAATACGCGATCAGCAAATGAAGATGAAACTAGACGCTTTGCAAGCTCCACCTGAAATTAATTTATAACAGATTTCTCATCACATTCCACTTAAAAGGTGAAAGAATGAGAGCAGCACACATCAATAAAGCCACTGAAACCTCTACATCTACATCATCCATCACATAGCAGTCCAGCAATTACAAAACCTGACACAAATTGATGCCATATATAATTTTACACTTGTATTTCATGTGCAAATCATCAATCAGCCAAAATTTCAAAACTACTAAACAACTACTAGCTCAAATGACATTCCATACTCTCCCTCAAACTAATCAAACGAGTGAAGAAGCTAACAAGATGATCATATGCATACTCAAAGAGCCAAAACCACCTATTTCTAACATGAGACAAAACTCTACCTATATTTCATTACCCAACAAATATAACATCCAACTTTAACAAGGTACAAAATTGATGCACAAAGCAGCTTCTCCTACATAAACCCCGGCCCCACTCCGAGGACTTAGGCGTATAGCTAATTGACCCGTGTGAGATTCCGGTCCAATACAATACTTCTTCTATACCATAAATTATCTAAAACAGACACAAACCTCAACATCATGTATTTTCCCATTAGCAAATAACACACCAAAATCAAAACCCATTTCTCCAATTACAATCAAATTAATAATAATAACAACAACAACAACAACATAATCAAGAAATCAGAGAGAAAATCATACCATAGGAACGGAGTAATAAATGTTGCTAACATGGGCCAAAGAATGGGCCTGATCAGAAACAGCCCGAACCCAATCAGGGTCAGAATGACCAAGAGCATTAACAGCAATCCCAGAAGTAAGATCCAAATATTCTTGCCCTTCAACATCGAACAATTTACAACCTTTTCCATGGGAGAAAACCACCGGAGCTCTAGCATACGTTCCCACAATCACCTTTGCATCATCCTCCATTATCTCCTTTGTTTTGGCGCCAATTTGGGGAGCATTCTTCTGGTCCAAAACGTCGACGTATAGGCATGTTGAAGGTGTGAATGAGGGTATGTTTGCGCGTTTATGGTGGCCGAAGTTGAGGGGTGGGAGGTTGAATTGACGGCGGAGATTGGTGGAAGAGGCGGCGGTGTTGCCGAAGATGCATTGTAGGGAAGAAGTCATTGCTGGTTTAAAGAAGAAAAAATGAGGTTGTAGACTTGTAGTTTAGGGTTTTGGAAAGAAAATGGGTTTTATTGGATTTGTTCTCTTTGTCTTCCTCGATTTTAGAAAAAATAACATTCCTTCCGTATTAACAATAATTTATAATGAAATAGATTGTTGGATTAGTTTTAATGTATATTTTTAAATACATTCTCTTTTTGAAATTCTGTTTTCTCATATACATGGACACAGATGACATATAATTTGTTGAATTGGTGTGAGTTTTATAAAACAGAGTAGCCAAAATTGAGTATTAAAAAGAGTATTTTGTCAAAGTATTACCGACAATGTTATAAATTCCGTAGAGAGTAGAAGTATACTCTAGCTAGTTAACTATGGAGTATGAAGTAATTTTTTTTTGTGTCTTTACAGTTATTATTGTGATTAAAAAACAATGAGCGAGAAATTGTATTAGATATAAAAAATGTGATTATTAAGATGGTTAGCACTAAGCGTCAACCACTATATAATCACGAATTACTTCTTACAAGCAACTACAATTATTCGTGCATACATGGCTAACATGAGCATCTACTGTAATACGAAGTACTAATGTACTTATTGTTATGCCCAACACTGAGTTCCCCATGCTGTTTGGCACTCAACTTAAAAACAACTTAAAACTCATAATGCTACCAACAAGAAAACAACCATAAATATATGAGCTTTAGTTATTCAACAATACACCAATATTACAGTAAATTCTGACCAACGTGAAGCTACTAGTCAACAACAGATACATAACTTCCTGTGATGCAGCGACAACATGAATTTTCCTCTCTACCAACTCAAGTTCACTGAATCTTGTGGAGCGAGCAAACAACAGATCAGTACATCCAAGACAAATCTTGCTTAAATGACACATTTCTGGCCACCCCATGAATGCCTCTCTCAGAAACCTGAGGGCAGTCTTCCACTACCAATAAATCCAATTTGTTTGATCCCACCAGTGGCTTGAATCCATCATCAGTGACACCCAAGCACTTATTAAGCCGCAAAACAGACAATCGTGAAAACTGAGCTACAAGTTGTAGGCCCTCGTCACTTATCTCCTGACATCTCACGAGTTCCAAGGATTCAAGGCAGCAAGCTGAACATAAAGCCTCCATTCCATCATCGCTGAACGAATAAACATGGTCCAGTGAAAGTTCACGAAGAGGGCAACTTCTAATTAAATACAGAATTCCACCTAAAGTAAATGACGAAAGTGAAGGGAATTCACCATCTGCAAACGATATTCTGACAGACTCCAACGTAGGACAGTTTTCTGCCAGTGCCTTTAAGCTTTCATCTGTTAGTGTTAAGCGATTGCTAATTAGAAGAGGTACTGAGAAATCTGACGGAACTCGGAGAGAAATTGACCGCAGACCTCTTGAGCTTTGGGATAAGCCCACAATGTCAGTGTCCCTAAGTCCAACACACATGTCCAAGTGAATTTTCTCCAAGTTATTGCACTTGTCCAAAACACAAGCAAGACCTCTTCCAGGCATGATGATGCAGTTTATCAAGCTCAGTTCCTTCATATTAACACATGGGATCAATTGCTTTTGCCATCTGTCTATTGCTATGCGGTCGTATAACTTCATGTATCGATAATTGGCATCCACTTCAAATTGCAAAATTTTAAGATTCCGCCAACTATATCCAAGCTTTACCAAGTCACCTTCTCCAATAGCCCGACAATTCTTGATAACAAGGTATTGAATTTTTTCGAGTTTCCCAAGATATTCAAGCCACTCAGCACTACTTATGTTTAAGCATCGAATAAGATGCAGCGCACTCAGATTCTTACAGCCAACAACAACAGAGAGAATTCCACAGCCAGTTATTCTAGGAGTAAAAATCAATTTCAAGGATGAGAGTACTGAACATGATCCCAAGTAACCAATACCAGCGTCTGTAATGAAGGTGCAGTGGCTTAAGGTCAGATCTGCAAGAGAAGGGCAACTGTTTGAAAGAGCAAGAAGCCCTTGATCATCCAACTGTTTACCCAATTTGGACATCCACCCAGAGTAAACAATTTCCACTTTCATCAGGTTAGGAAACCTGTTGCATAGTGTGTTTAAAGCTTTATTTGCTGGGTTCAGACCACAACCAACACGAAGATATAGTCTCTGCTCATTTTCAAGCTCAAGGAGGCGCTTGCAAGCTAAAGATAAAGAGTTTCTATCTTCAGTTCGGGTAATCCTACTTAAAATGTCCCATATCAATGCATCTGGCAAAGTGTCCATTAAAACTGAACTTCCTTGCGTAGTGTGTAGTCTGCACGCTGCACACTCCTACAGCAAGCTGGACATGAAAAAGAAAAATGGCCTTTAGCACAATTACAAGAAGTATAGACAAGGTGCACAATTATGAGTCACATTTAAACCTATGCTAAAGGATGGGATGTTAAAATTCCTGTCTGGATAAATAATTCAACTCAAGCAAGAACCTTTTTCAGACAGTGATGGAACATAATGCACTTGCTTAAGAAAATAATTATACAAAGTATATTGAAAGGGTCCAGCTTTAAGTACATATCTTCATATATCCCCAGGATTTACAAGGACCATAACTACTTTTTCTTAATTACAAGCACACAGGAATCTATGAGGGTGATACATCATATCAAATCTGAAGGTACTCTTAACTGAAAATTAGAAAGGAACACATTTGGCTTGGATAATTTCCAAGGCAGTAGAGCCATTTTATATAATCTCAAAACATCTCTTTCCCTCATTGAAATCACATAGATGAATTAGAAAGCAATTCCATAAAAGTACAGTGCCATTCATTGCCAAAGACACAATCCTGCGGCAAGATTCCTTCCTATAGTTGTTCACCAAAAAGAAAAGACATAATTCTTTCTGAAAAGAGAGCCATACGTCAGCGTTTAAAGACTAAAAACATATTCGTATCTTTGATTTATTTGGATGCCCACAAAACACCACCACAATGCCCTAATTAAATTACCTAAATACACATACTGAAAGCTAAAGAATCAAAAACAAATACTAAGATTCCAGGGTAAATACCAAAAGAAAAAAAATTATATTCTTCAATTCAATATTGATGAATGCCGCACAATGGCACAACCCATCAGGGGCACCACCGATACCCTAATATTAATTCACTGAAGCCACAAACTGAGCAATCATGTTGTAATCCCACTATCCCAGTACAACGTAAAAAATTTCAGTCTTAGTGGGGCCAAGAGTAGTGGTGCATCTCCCCCTATAGGAAATTGTATATAATCCTATTGAATTGGCTCTCGCAAGGAGAGACACCAAACTTCCTTAGCTACTTTGCTTGAAAAATGCTAAATAAAGAAAAATAGGTGTAGTACATAGTATGTGATAGATAAGGTCAAGGAAGTTAAAACCATTGTAACAAAGATGGTAAACATTACCTTCTCCCTCAAAAATCAATAGCTAGCAAAGTGATGCATAAGATGATCATAAAATACATGTGCATCATAAGGCCGCCATATGAAGTTACTTTAACTATGAAATAAGTCCATTGTTTCCTTTAAGCAAAGAATCCATTCAATCATAGCCATTAACATAAAAGATTTATGTCCTCATAATATAGTGGGCATGCAAATTAGCAATCCATAAGTTAACAACCACCTTTTAACATCATTAGTACACTAATCAACCATTGATGTAAACACTAGACGAAACGAAACCACATTAATTTCTTTTCCCTCCTACTAGCAACTTAAACTCCACCTGAATCACAGATTATAAACTTAAAGCTGGCCCCTTTAATTCCTTAAAAACCTATTAATTAATAAGACCATTAAATTATAGCAATAATATAATAGAAAAACACACAAAAATTACAAAATCTGTTAAAAAGAACTTTAAGAACAAAGTAGACAATTCTGGTAATGGTGCTTATTCGTTATTACTCAACAGACAAATTGATAAAGCAATACCAAAATCAACGAACACCCTCTCTAATTCAAATGTGTAGCAGATTGAATTAAGATGATGTTTAACAAATAAGCCCCGATTACTAATTTACAGAACAACCAATTTTTCCCCAATTATTGAATCTGAAATGCGAACTTAAATGAATTGAACAATATTTCAAGAATTAATCCAAATAATAAAATATGTGATTAAGGTTTTACCTGATTAAATGGGAGTTTTGTACAGTGAGATTTGCCAAGATAGGACAGAGGACTACGAAATGTGATTGAAGAACCCTAAAGAGGAAAGATGATTTTTCAGTTTGGGGATTTTTTTTATTATTTTTTTTATATTTTATATTTTTTTATTTTACACTGTATTTGAGATTGGAAACGATTTTTCTTTATCAAGAAATTTATTTAATGAAAAACATTCGTACAACCTAAAAACTACGGGTTTTTGTAAAAAAAAAAAAAAAAAACACTACGGGTAACATATACTACATATATAAAAACGAAACAGCCACGTAAAAACTAAGTACCCCGTAACAGGAGAACCAAATAAATAAAATGCGGCACGTCTTCTTTCACAATAAATTGCATGAGTTATCATTTATAGACGAAGCTAGTCTACCCTTGTAAGTTGCAACCCACCTTGCGAACCTTTCTCTCAAAAAAAAAGTTGCAACCCACCTTAACCTTGCAAAATACGAAGCACCTAGGAAAGCGAAAGCGCTGTAACCCAATTTCTAAGAGCCTAGAGATGGACGACGATAGAACAAAGACGATTGATAGGAACGTCTGTAAAACTAGAGGAACAACTTCAAACGCTAAATGGTTGAAAAAACATTAATAAAGTAATAATAACCATAATAATGTAAAATAAGATTGGTTTTCCATTATTTTTTATTTATTTTTTTACAACAGGCAAACAAGCAAGGGAGAAGCTATCTAAGTTTTCTTTTCTAGCCCTATAAGTTAGAGAATGGGTTATAGATACGACCTCTCATAATAATGTAAAATAAGATTGGTTTTTTTTTTTTTTTTTTTTTTTTTTTTTTTTTTTTTTTTTTTTATAACAGGCAAACAAGCAAAGGAGAAGTTATCTAGTTTTTCTTTTCTAGCCCTATGAGTTAGAGAATGGGCTATAAATACGACCTCTCTGGATACCTTATTACAACAAAAGTAAACTAGATTATTACAAAGGATATGAATTTCTTAAGGTGCAGCGTAAGGATTCTTATTACAACAAATAAGATTGGTTATGGGCTCATATTTTGAGGATTAGCATGAGTTTGACACGACATAATTATTTCTTAGCTCATTCTAAACCCGACTCGCTTAAGCATGAGATATGCGAACACTGCATGTGTGCCAACATACATACATAACCTATAAGCATTTCTTGAATCACGCATACGGATTAATGTATAACAATTCTGATTATTTTTTAAATCTTTAAGGCTGTGATTTTGATCCCAAATAAAAAAGGCAAAAAAAAAAAAAAAAAAAAAAAAAAAAAAATTCACACCATAAGTTAACGCCAATTCGTATTTTTTCCTTACTGTCCTCCTTTTCTTTCTAACTGAGTATTATCCTCCTATTCCCTCAATAAAAGGCCACAATCTATCTCAAGTCTCAACTCATTTGTTTGTTCAGTTTCTTTTCTTGTTCCTCTGTGCTTTTGCTCTGTTTCTTCAATTCAAACCCATATTCCAATAAATACCCAATAACAGTAGTTATTCACTGGTTTAATTAAAGATTACCCAGCTAAATTGCAGTTGAATTAAACCCGAATTACGTCAATTTGGAGCTACTCATTTGTTGCCAACACTGAAGTCACAACCATTTTTATTGTTCAAACTTTCCCATTTGAAAAAATTGGAACTTGAGTGAAGAATAAGGAGGTATGATTTTAAGCTTATGTTATTTATTGAAATAAGTTGGAATTTTTTGTACGTCGCATTAAGTTTTGTTTATATTTTGTGGATATGATTGTGAATTATGATATACTTGTACTTCGTATTTGATTTTGTTCTGGAAAAGCATCTACTTTATGTTTACTGATAATAACAATTATGAATTGAGTGGAATAGTTTTTTTGATTTTTTTATGGAGGTTGTTAGTTGATTGCTGTTGTTCTTTCTTCCAATTTATAACACACTACCGGACGCATATCATTTCCTCTATCCGGGGTATCCGGGGTTAATATTCACGTTGATAATGTAATTTGAATATGTAATGTGACAACTATATCCGGACAGAAAGAGTAGATTTACGAGGATGCCAATAAGAATGGGAATTTCGTAGAAAAAAATGAAAAAGAAGTAACGTATAGAGAAAAGGATTTATTGTTGTTTTGGAAGATTTAAGGGTCGAATTTGAAATATAATGCAATGGTTATCATCTTCCTGTCTCTAGTAAGGGCTTGAGGGGAAGTAAGTTCCATATTTCGGTTTTAAATGAGTGGTCGTGTGGGTGGATGTAGGGAGATAAAGTTGTAAGGAAATTGCCATTCCATTATTAAGGATTGAGGAGTGTGATACAATGATTGATCGACTTCTCTCAAAAATCTTCAGTTACCAGGCTTTATTTTATTATATAACCAGCTTTCGCATTCTATAGGAAGTAGAATTTCCTAAGAAGATGTACTTGATGTGTATTTGTGAATCTAGTAAAATTTCAATTGTCGACTCTTGCAAATTGCAACTTCATGAAGAGTTTCATGTGAAATTGGGAAATCAACAAAATATAAGAAGCTAGGACCATTCATGTGTTACTATTTGGGTTTATGATAAATTAAGAAAGGGTACGGCTCAAGTTTCTAACCTGATTGTCAGTAGAAACTCTTAAGTGCAGAGTTGATAGAGTCACATACAACATGTATGCTCTGTTGATGGATTTGATTCATTATTAAGATGAAGTCTCATAAAATACAACCTTCAGTTATTGTGTAGTTACAATTTAAGTTACAATACTAGAGATTTTGCTTTGAGTAATTATCTTTGTATGTTTGTTTATTGTTGTCTTGGAGTTTTCTTAGTATAAATCTTTGACAGAAAGTAGCAGAAGTGAGTTAACAAAGTTGAATTACTTCAAATTTTCATGCTGATGGAAATGATCCTTTTGTTCTTTACTCAGTCCATCCCCTGGTGATGCCATTGGTGGTTCTCCAGCCAAGTTCAGTGACTCCAGCATTAGGAGGTACACCTTTATCTTTTACTGTACTAGGACTTAGCTGAGTAGGATGCAGAACAACTAATGTTACATCATTTGCTATGTCTCACAAAATTTTCCCGAGAAGAGTTTACCAGTCACCTCTCTACCTGCATTTATGTGTTGTCTCTTTTGAGGCCTTTGGCATGTAGTGAACCTTCATTCTTCATTAGATCATGCTCCTCTATCTTTGCATACTTTATGCAGATATAATTTTTGTTCTATATCACTTTCACCCTCCTTTGTAACTCAAGAGCTGTGCAAAAGATCCTAGAAATATTTTGTGTTTTCCCTTTGCCATAACATCCTTGGAGTAGATAATTATCTACTTGTGCATGATGTGTATTCAAATCCAGTTGGTACCTCCTTTAAAAAAAATAAAAAAATCCAGGTGCTACCTTCATGTTAAAGTTGGCAAAAAGTGAAGCCCCTAAATTATTGGATGTTTTCTACATATAATTCCATCTTTTAATTCTTACAGGGACTTCATCTCATCTACAAGCATGCCCTATGAATTCAGGCTACCTTAATGAATGTGTCTTGCTTAGTCGTAATACGTTACCCAGTGTTTCCTACAGCAGAAAATCAGAGTTTGTGAAGCTCAATGGCTACTCTGATCTTGGTTTTAATAATCATTTGAAGGTATGATACACCTTTTGTCATTGTATGTGTTGTGATTCAGGACTTTAGGTACATAAATGAAGCTTCAATATTTGCTTCTGCATTGCCACTCTACAAATCCCTGTTACCTCTTTCATCTTCTTTGAAATTGTCATAGCTTGTTATCGTACCCTAACTGTGAGTGGCCATGATGAGGCCTCAGTTCTTCAGCTTTGTACCCTTTTGAAAATTATGAGATCCAGACTTCTATCTATTGCAAGAATCAGATTTGCATCACATTCTGTTAGCTGCGAAATTAAAATCTGTGATTTGGGAAAAGGAAGAGGGGCGGAAGATAAAATTTGATGGCACTGTATTTTGGCGAATCTTGCTGCCTGAATGTAGCCATTACGACTTTAAACACTGGTAATCAATGGCTGCCCTTGTGTTATAGACTGTTGATTGTTAAAAATTCTTAGGGAAATGAAACTCATGATTGGTATGATAGAATATATGTAGGAACACGCCCTTCTAAAAATATTTGTGCTTTTTTCTATGATATATATTTCTAAAGCTAGCACAAACAAGCTAAATGCTTAAACCAACAGTGTTGATAGTGGCCAACATACTTTTGAGTAATCACCTTTCATCCTTTTCTCTATTTCACTCTTTCCTTGAATCTAGTTGGTCCATCCTCACTGCAATCCAGATTTAGAATAGAAGGAGGCGAAATGGTTCATATGCAAGAGTAGAAGAAAACCAAGGGAATAAAACAAAAAAGACACTTAAAAAACTACAGAAACCTCTCTATCCACATGTTTCCCAACCTCCCTTGTATGTTATAGATTTTATAGAACAAATTTCAAAGTCTTTTTTGTGCTCTAAAACTGATGCCTAGTATGATAGTATGACGCTATTAAGTTTTGATTCTCATCTCTCAATCTATTGTAATTCAAAATTTAGCTGATTGCTGTTCTCATTAATATTTGGTCCTAGAAGAACCTGGAACAAATTTTTAAAAATGTAATTGTCATTATTTTGAGTTGTTTTAAATTTGTAATTTTCCTTTGCATTCTGTAAAATTTTTGAGCATTATATATGTTGAATACATACTCTATGTACCCTATCTATGTGTGCAACTAGCTTGCTCGGGTTTTTGGAGTAACTCTGTTGTTCTGATTTTTCTTCCTTTAGTGTGGCAATCTATCCAAACTGTTATTGAAGCATAGACTTCTGCCACAAAGTTCAAGCCATACTTCTTCTTTGGTCATTAAGAATGATTATCCTCAAAATGCTGATTTCCTAAATATTACTCAAAGAGGGAAAAGAAGCCTTTTCCAATTCCTATAGTAGAGCTGAGGCGAGCAGCCAGAGAGAGATTAAAGAATAGCAGAGGTCAGCCTAGGAAACCTGTGCCACCACCAAAGAATGGCCTGCTGGTGAAGAGCCTAGTACCAGTTGCTTATGATGTCCTGAATGCGAGGATTTTATTGATAAATAATTTGAAGAAGCTCTTGAAAGTTGTGAAAGTCCATGCATGCAAGTAATATTTCTTGTCAAACTCCTATTCTATAATTTGCTAGTTTCTACATGTACCTGCATATACCCATGTAAACACTGCTGAATTTGCCCAGTGGTTCCGTGCTGGAATGCAATTTGGTTGTAGTGAGCAATTTTTTATGAAGATATTATCGATGTTTGAACCAGTAATTTTGAGTAGTTAAGTATTGTAACACTTGACTTTGTTGACATCCTAAAGAGTTGAACTACATTATAGGTGAAGAGTACCATATTTCAATGTTGCATGCATCTGCACATTTTATTCTGGATAATGATTGTAATGCTCATATTTCATGATTGTTATGTATGGGGCTTCTTATTCTCGATGAATTTAATTGAAACACATGTTGCAACTAAAGGAAATTGTGGTCATACTTGAGATAACAACTAAGAAATATTAGAAAATCTTCTTTCTGATTACATGTGGTTTTTGTATTCATTTTTATTTAATTTATTGGCTGTGTAGAGGCTGCAATGAGATCCATGTTGGACCCGTCGGGCACCCTTTCAAGTCTTGTAGGGGTCCAGGAGCATCAAGTCGGTATGGTTGTCATGACTGGGGAGGTGTTGTGGTGGAAGACATTTTAGTCCCTGTGGATTCTTACCATCTGCATGACCGTCTCAGGAAGCGTATTGCTCATGATGAAAGATTTTCGATTCCTCGTGTCCCTGCTGTGGTAGAACTTTGCATCCAAGCTGGAGTTAATCTTCCAGAATACCCTGTGAAGCGGCGAAGGAAGGCTGTTATTCGAATTGGGAAAAATGAATTTATTGATGCAGATGAAAGTCATCTGCCAGATCCTGAACTAGAAACTCCCAGAGTTCCAATATTATCTGAAATTCCTGATGCAGAAATAGTACCCCCATCAAGTGCTGAGGAAACTGTCTTACTAGCTGAAGAAACACTTTTAGCATGGGAGAGGATGAAAAAAGGAGCCAATAAGTTGATGAAAATGTATCCAGTTAGGGTATGTGGGTATTGCCCCGAGGTGCATGTGGGTTCTTCAGGGCACAAGGCTCAAAACTGTGGAGCCTATAAGCACCAGCAACGGAATGGACAGCATGGTTGGCAAAGGGGAGTACTTGATGACCTGATACCCCCAAGATATGTGTGGCATGTGCCGGATGTCAATGGTCCTCCAATGAAGCGGGAACTTCGAAGCTTTTATGGTCAGGCACCTGCAGTGGTGGAATTGTGTGTTCAAGCTGGGGCTGCAGTTCCTGAGCAATATATGCCAACTATGAGATTAGGTATAGGAATTCCAATAAGTGTTGAGGAAGCTGAAAAGGTGGTTTGAGTTTCATGGACACTAATGGCCATGTCTATAGTTGTGATGTTCCTCACAAACCATGTCTAGAGTTGCACTTTTAGCAAAAGAATGATTCAGTATCATTAAGAACTAACCGTTCTATTGAGGCCTCACTGTAAGCTTAAGCAATTCTGTCAGGTCTTAATTGTGTTAATAAAATACAAAGTATTTATTAATTACAAACATTCTTCTGTGTGATCAGTTCATATTTTCTACAATGAGACCTTGGTTTTTTCAGGAAAAATAAATGTCATTTAACAGAACCTATGATCATTATATAGTATATAAACTGGCTTCTCATATTCTCAACATGCATAATATCTCCAGCCTTGGGCACACGCTCCTGCTATAGAGCTTGTATGATTAATCATAAAGTCAAACATTATTCCTTTTGTTTTTAGATTATGTTCTAGACAACAAGGCCACAAAACAAACATCTAGTTGAGTTTTTGTAAGAATAACAAAACCAGGAGCAAACTGCAATCATAAAAAGCACACAATTTGCAACTATATGGTAGTTCGCATCATTGTATGGATTAAAACCAGAAATTTTTTCCTAGAATGTACTTTGGGACCTCAACTCGGAAAACCGTCACCACCACGGTCTTCCTCAGCCCAAAATACGGTGGACCCCCAAATTTGAGCCCATTTGGACTTCGTTTGGGCCCCCAAATGACCCATTATTGTGTTACTGTTAATTGGGTGTTCACTAGGATTTCACTACCTGGGCCAAATAAAGCTACATAGGGGGAAGTGCTCAGCTGGGCACCAAGGGCAAGCCCCCTAGCTGCGATTATGCCATGTTGCCTGGTGACCCAAATGACGCCCATGGTTGGCAAGGGTGATGACCCGTGACGTTCTCCCCCACCCAAATTCTTGTCGACCTCGGCAAGATCGCCCGATGGAGCACGTGCCTGCGACCTGGTCTAGCGCACCACTCGACCCTTGGATGCTTCCGTGCGCCGCTGCCCTGTCCCTCCAATTGAATCCACACTCGAGCCCCATTGTTCCACCATGATGCCTAGTCCCTAGCATCGGAGTTGCCTTGGTCCTCCCTGGGCCTTGAGCAGGGTACTGAGGTGTATCCTTGGGCTTGAGCAAGGGCCGAGATTCCCCCAGCCTCTTTCTTCTTGCCATAGAGGTCTGCATCAGCTCCTTGCTGGCGAGTGTAGAAGGCAGCATCTGCTGATGCCTTTTCTGCCTCAGCTTGCTTTTGCTTCCTGTAGAGAATTGCATCTGCCTCTCTTTGGTTGTTGTATAGGTATTTATTTGCTTCTTGACCCTGGTAACCAAAAATTTGCAAGTTAATAAAAATCAGGAAGTAACTCAAGGAGATATAATAGAAAATTATTACTCACACACATTTATATCCGATATTAGTATCTTCTGTCATTTTGAGTATTTATGAAGATCAGTAAAAGGATTAAGCCTTAAAATCATTTCATTCGCACGACTTTTAAGCATAGGAAGTTGAGAATGAGGAAGCAACAAGATGTAGTAGCCAGATAGAAGCTTAAACAGAATGTGTCACAGGGTCAGAATTGTATGCATCTCACATTTCCATTACCAGATTTGGTTAGCATTTCAACTATAAGGTGCATTCAGCTCTGAAGATGATTACTTTATGCTAAAATTTGTACTACTTTATTCAGTTCTGGATGAATGCTATCATAATTACATTATCCTAACTTCATATGGCTCGTAATCAAGAATATGACACAAAATTTCCCAAATCCTTTATAAAAGATGGGCATACTCTCTTCACATTGCTCAAAGTATCATGTAAAACCAAATTACAAACTAACCAACAAAAACCTGGCCTATTTTACCTTCTTATTTTAAACTGCAAATTATGACCATTTCACCGTATTCAACTGGTACGAAAATGCAGAGATAAAGAGACTAACATAACATCAATAGCATACACGTTTTATCATCAATTATTCCACAGAGCTAGCAAACATGTAAAAATGAAAAAAAATAAAATAAAATTTATTAACAAAAGCTAAGCATAAACATCAACTAAATAGGATACTTACACAAGAGGATACAATCATTAACAGCTAATAATTTCAGTAAAGAAAACTGAACTAGATAAGAAAAGCAACATGTTAAACATATACTCTTAACAAGTTTAGCAAATACTCATTAGAATCAGTACCTTGATGTCACACTCAACAGAGGCTTTACTGAGGAGGTCAGCCTGAGTTTTTCAGTCCTAGTGAGAGCATTCTTCTTCCCCACCTTGACTTGCAACTTGGCCCCTCTAAGGGAAACAGCCTGCTCAGCCTCAACTTCTGCCAACTGAACCGACTTAGACCTACCGGCCTTCAAAGCAGCAAGCTCGGCATTTGCTTTTGCAACATCAGCCTCCTTCTGGTTAATAAACCAAATATAACGATTTTTAAAACACAAAAACCCCAAATCAACAAAACTCTAATCTAATCAAATTAAACCCTCACAATCTTCAAGAATTACCACCAAATTAAAGGAAAACCAAAAAAACCCATAAATTAAAATTCCAAGAATCAAGAAAATATTACCTTAGATCGAATAACAGCCTCCATTTGAATCTTCTGACCCAAGTAAGAAAAATACTCATGACCAGGAACACCAACAAGCTGTTTAATATTAGCATTATATATAAAAAGACCAAACTGATTTAACTCCATCTGAACTTTCTGAAACACTTCCTTCTTAAACTCTGTACCCTTAAAAACCTCTTCCATAGTCATAGCAGCAGCAAGAAGCCGAGTTTCGCCTTCGATAATACCCTGAACAAGTTCATGAACATGATCAGAATTCATGTTATGGGGTGCCATGAGCTTAGCATACAGAACAAGGCTGTGATGATCATCGGAGTTGATTCGAGGGCCGATAGTGAACGCTGCAGGGAGCACAAAAGGGAGCTTCTCGGAACTTATTGCTTGGACGTTGAAAGTGTAGTTGACAGGTGAAACATTGACCCGAACGTAACGTTGGCCGGGAAGAATCAGAGCTTTCTTGGCTAGTTTAATGTCTTGGATGTTCCATATTGTTATGGCTAAGTATTCTGAGGGTCTTGCTATTTTGAATAATGGAATTATCATGGTGGTTGTTTTTGGGAGAAATTTTTTTGAAGGTTTTTGATTTTTCGGGATCAATAAAGTTAAAAATTAATATAACCAAAAATAATTGGAGAGAACATTTTTTTAAATATTTCAACAATTTTTTTTTTTATTTTTAAAATAATTAAAAATTTTAACATAATAAAAGTAAAAGAATTAAAATTTAAGACATATTTTAAAGTTAAAACCCGTAAAAAGTCAAATGAAACAACCACAACATGAGTAAACGGAATTATACATACAAAGGTTAAAATTCCTAAAAGGAACCGACTACTAGTCTACTACAATGTTAATTAAGACTATTGATTGATTAAGCACTTCACCGGCTCATCGCGAGTTCTCCTGTCCATCTCCCAATCTACTTAGGTAAGCATTCGTCAGTTTAATATCTTTCCATTTTCAATCTATAATCTTAAATTTCATTGCTTTGCAATTTTTCTTGTGTTTGATTTTAATAATTTATGGTATGTTTATTATGTTAATGGTTTATTGATAAATTGAATTCGTATCATGAGAAGAGGAACTGGGTGCAAAACAATTTTCCACCTTGCTTTGTATATATTAGATAGTTTAATAAATCACCTCCAAAATATTCATTTAAAGTACTTTAAATTTTGCCCTTTCAATTTCAAGTGGTGGGTATTTATCAAATGTTTAGAGATGGTCTTATTTGGATGAACCAAGCTTATGTATAAGATCAGTTGGATGTTTAACCTGTAAATCTTGGCATATTAATTTTGCACAAATTCGTTTATGCGATTTGTAACACCATTAGTTGATAGTGTGACGCGTTCAAATGGGGTTACTGACAATGCATAACCGAGGCTATAATAATTTTAAAGGGCCAGGAGAGTTTTATGGTATTATTAAGGTGTAAAATTTGGAGGTGAATTGGCTTGCTTCGAATGCTGCTTTTTCGAACATTATTGTGTTTTGTGATTGCTGTTATTGGGGTTTTGGGGAAATAAAATGTTTGCCTTTTCAGTTATGTGCATGATTTGTGAGGTGTATTGAAGCTGTTTGTTATCATTTTGGATGCAGCTAGGTATGGAGATCACACCACTAGATATTCAAGCGTTTAAGAGTGAGCGACCACTAGGTAGGGTGGATGCGTTTGGCAAGACTTTCCTTGGTCACATTCCTGCTAACAATTCTTATGGACTTGGGGAGATGGATGTGGCGATCAGAGTGTCACACCCTCGAATAGAAGATCAGGAAGAGAATCTTCAAATACAGTTTAAAGTATGTTTAGTTTGTTAGCTGATGTGGTTTTTTCTATTTTCTAAATTCTTTGTTTGTTTTGCTGATTGCTGAATTTGTTAATTGATTAGTAAAATTTTAATCTAGAAGTGGTTTGTTTCAGCTGGCTATTAGTTGCACAGGCTAATATATGTTTCAGTTTTACAGTAGTTATAGAAGAGCTTAAAAAATGATTAGTGCACGCATTCCATGTGCGTGTTTTATTACAAAGAAAGGGAAAAGGGTTTGTTGGTTTAGATCCTATCTGCTCCTCATATCTGCTACTTTGACTTATAGCTTAACTGATTGAATTTCATTTTGGGTCTCAAATCTATTAATATCTGACAATTACTGCCGATTTGGTAGGCTGTAATAGAAGGGTAGGAATTGATAAGAAAAATGTCAGACCCCCTTTGCCCATTCCTTATATTTGTCCACCCTTTTCCCCCCTTTCTCCCCTTTTAGTCATTCCCTTCCGTCTGAAGAAGAAATTTTGACTGCTAGGTACTTATACTTGGCGGCTTATCTTATCAGCTTCTAGCACTGTACCCTTATCAAGAGGCATTTAGGTCTTCATAGGATTGCTATAAGTGACGGAGAGGTGTGGGGAAAGATTTGAGTGGGAGCACTGTTGTTGGAGACTTGGAGATGCTGGTTTTTGTCATCTTCTGGTAGTAAGCAATACGTTGTTGATAAATTATCAACTGCTAAGCTTGAAGGAGAGTGATGAAGAGCCAGTTATTCATCGTTACCTATCTTTAGAAGGCTCTTTTGTTTGTTACTTCAGATCATTTTTGTTATTTACGAATTATTTCCTAGTTCTGAGTAGATACTTTGGCTAATGGAAGCATGTTGAAGTTGAATGTGAATTATACTATACTTTCCGAAGATCCAGCAAATTGTACTTTTTTTTAATGAGGTTACACGGGTTTTTGTTTGCTAAAACCTCAAGAACTTTGGTAAGGTTACAAAGATGCCCTATCTCAGAGCAAACCTCACCCCGCTTAAGCTCATTATTTCTTGAATCCATATGCCGGGTATGGGAGTACAATTTTACCCTGCAATCTTACTTAACTCCATGCTGTGAGTTCAGGTATAAGACAGTGTCAAATGATGACCAAGATTTTTCTTACCCCTATTATGCAACGACTTGGGGAGAGATTAGCCAGTATGATAGCCACATTCTTTGATTGAATTTTGGATCAAAATAATTTTTCTGTGATTTTACTTGCAATATTTCAAAATAATTTTTATCTTCATATTATTACTTAATGCTTCTAAGATTACCCCTTTATAATTTTTGTTGTTGTTTTGATTGACCCTTTCTGCTTCATTTACTTGTCACTTTCAGTATGCTAATTGTCACTCCTATCTAATTTTAGAAAAGAAAGTATATTACCTCAACGTAATTCTGCATTTTGAACAACGAAAATCCATAACGCCACAAAAGCTTAAACGAATTAAGCCACGAAACAACCTTATTAACAATCGAAAATCCCCAATTCGAACTCCACGTCGTAAACACAAACTTCTCCCCATCCCAAATCCCTAAAGACTCGCTATCATCATCTTCGGAAACCTTCTTCTTCAACTGAAGAAACTCAGTAAATTTCAAGGCATGGTAATTCTTAGGGTGGAGAATTGAGGCACCAGCTTCGAAGGTATTGTTAGCAATTGTGATCGTAGCCATACGACCTCCGACGACGGAGTTTTTCTCGAAGACATGAATGGCGGCGATTGGCGAGGGTTCCGGCGAGTATTTGCGGAGGAAATGGGAGACTGATGCGCCGGAGATTCCGCTTCCGATGATGCAGACGGTGGCCGGAGGTGGCGCAGAGGAGAGAGAATGGGAGGGAAGAAGAACGAAGAGGAGAGAGAGAAGATATGGGAGAAGTTGTGGTGGTTCCATGGTGGACTAGAAAGTTCAAAGTTGGTTATTTTGGAGGGTGTAATAAATCATTAAGTGTTGATTATTATTGTATTGTGTACATCGTACTAAATGTTTGATTAATAATTGGAAGATAGATCTTAGATCTTGAGGTTAGATTAAATGTTAAATAATGATTGTGACTAGGTAGTGGAAGTCAAGTTATTAATTTGGGATGTTAGATAGTTTTTTTTAACGTTTTGACTTTCTAACATCTTAATTTCTATTGTGCGTATGCTTGATCGCTCGTGAAAAGCACGGACACGTCCCAATATGTATCAATGTATGATGCATGTTAAATGCGATGTGCATCAATGCATAGGACACACATGCACATAAGTGAATTTGCGGAGGTCGCAGAGAAAGTCGAGTCAATTTAAGGCAACTCTTTTGTATTATGTTTATGTGGTTATCACACATGCACATAAGTGAATTTGCGGAGGTCGCAGAGAAAGTCGAGTCAATTTAAGGCAACTCTTTTAATGAATGTTGATTTTAGACTTGTTAGAATAACAGTGCAAGTTTACATGCCTCTTTGAAAAAGTAATGCAATATTGTGTCATTTTAAAATGCAAATGCAATGGAGAGAAAATACTTAATACATGTGTTAAAATAGAATAGAGGGAACCTTTAGTTCTTACATATGTTGAATTCAATGAACATTCAAAGTTTGCAACTGTTTTTTTTTTTTTTTTTTTTTTTTCATTTCATAAAACTTCTGGGACTTATGCTTGTAATTTATTTGTTTGCATCGTGAACTGCAGAATGAGTTGAAGTTGTGTTCTCTGAAACATCGCAATATTATTGGTTTGATTGGATTTTCCGAGACAAAGGAGAACTTTTACCTTGTCTATGAAATGCTGCAAGCCAGGCCGTTATCAGAACTTGTCAAGGGTTAGTTGCCTGTTTGCTTTGTCTAAATCTTATAATTGTGACTTATTGAACTCTGTTAATGGTTTGTAGTGTGGCTCAGCTACACATTATCTTTTCATTTATGATCATTTTAGTGAAAATGGTATCTCCCTTTCTCTGAAAATTGTGATCAGTACCCCTTCCTCCTGCCTTTTGAAGCAAGAAGAGTACCTATTGTTTGTACGTGGATCACTTTGATTATGAGTATGGTCTGTTTGGACTTCTGAGTCATGTCTCTATAAATTCAAGCTTAGTAAATAATGGCAAAAATAGAAACCTAATGTAATTTTGATCTGCTTCTTCAATATTAAATTACTCTAGCTTTCCATATTTGTTTTAGTTACTGATCTAGTTAACCTATTGATAGAACACATGCATTCCCACCGGATACATACATACATATATATATATATATATATATATATATATATATATATATATATATATATATATATATATATATATATATATATATATATATATATATAACATTTGTTTAACTTCATTTTTTGCCAAACAGGCTTGACATGGGAACAAGCATTGAAGGTTCTAAAAGGAACTGTTTCCGGGTTGGCTTTTCTTCATAGCCATTCAGAAGGGCCATTTGTGCATTCCAACATCAGTACTAACAGCATTCTTATTACTAAGGTATAATCTATAGTAATATTGCTTTGTATTAGTTTATATGCCCCTAAATTTTTGCTTTGTTATTCTGCACAAATTTGCATCTCTATATTATGAAGATAATTGAAATTTACTATTTCAATTGCCAACTGACCAAAAATGTACTTATTGTACTGTTGTCTACTGATCTTCAGGACTTCATCCCTAAAGTCGTTGATTTTAGGCATTGTGTAGTGGAAGGGCAAAGAACCACCTATGATAATCCCAGATACTATCCTTCAACACAAGAAGGTATACGTTTTTAAGTTGATTGCAGAATGCAGTATAGAACTAGAACCCGTGTTCTCCAAAATCATGACCTCATCACTTTTTATATATTGACAAACAGGTGCTATTGTCAAGGAAGACATTTTTGCGTTTGGACTTCTTGCCCTGCAGCTGATTACCAAAGATGGAAGAACAGCTTATGCAGTGGAGGAAGGTCTAGACATCTCTCCTCGCCACATACTTGATTTATATGTCCCAATGTTCAGAGAGAAGGGAAATCTTGTGCATGCATCATATGGGCAAGAAAAGGAATCTGAGAAAGATTACAGAAATGATATTTAACTGTTTGAAGAAGGATTCTCCGCTTGATTTGACAAGTTTTCACAGAGATTTGGTTTTATTAAGCTTAGCTAAACAATGTTAATTGTCAGTTGGTTGTCCATATCATGTTCCAGTAGTTGTAATATTGTCACCAGGTATGAGCAGTGATATGTACAGAAAAAAATCATTTGCAGCAATAGTAATTCTTATTATACTGAGGTTATGTGACATCTTTCACTTTTCATACACACTTCTCTTAAGGAATTACCAGATCCTCTCACACCCCCCCTTACCTCTGTAGTAACTCCATGTAATGTGGTACGAAACAGGGGAAAAACCCAAAACCTGGATTCAAAACATGAATGCGCCTATTAAATTTAGCACCATATTATCTCAAAGTTGCGATATCCATTACCTAGCAGACTGCCCACCAAAGTGTTGAAATGTTTACCTGTTAATTTCACAGTGCTGGTTAGCTGCCGCTAAACCAGTGGAATACTTTCAGAAAAGTACAGTGCTTGAGAACCTTCGTTGTAGATTCCAAAAACCTCAGGTCAGTCATTTCAAATTAGATTGTAGTGATGAATCTGCTCTTGTAGCTATTTACAAATGTAACAAATTCAGTTAACCGGAAATTCAGTAATTACAAAGCTTCAGATGACAGTCATGTCCTTACCATCGTAACATTCAGCTTTACAAAGTAGAAATACAAAATTCAAGAGAAATTCTTTCCCTTGCTAAATTGAGTAAGCTAGTGATTAGATACAAGTACAAACCTAATCAAATGCAGAAGATCAAGAAAAATTAACCAAGAAAGGAATACAAACATTTGTTTGGGACGCTCCAATTAAAAGGTTGTGATAATTCAGACTGATTTGCAGAAATAAAGGTTTTCCAATCTTCTAATGCAGTCTTTAGATCAGCAATTTTGCTATAATGCATGGTACAAACCTTGTTGAAATCTCTGCTTGGTGAACAAAACCCACTAAAATAATCAGTATTCATGAACCTTACTTTCAACCCAAGTAGTGCAACAACTGGATCATGTTTTATTCTGTTAAAAGCATCTTGTTCATGTAAATGTGGATATGAGTGTCTTGATGATACCCAAAAGTCATAGAATTTGATGGTACGATTGTTAGACCTCACAAAAAGAAATCCCATGTTGGGGAAGTTGTTCAAGTCATACTGATCTCCATTAAATCGATCACATGAAGTTTGGAAGTCTGAATCATCAGTGATAAAATGTGGGAATGGATCTCGAAACCATACAACATCAGTATCCTGTAAAAACAAAAGTGTATAGTTTTGTTTAGATAAAGTAATTAATAATAATGTGTTATTGCTTAAGATAGATAAGATTACCGTGATAATGAAGTTATATTCCAAAGTCAAAATAGTTTGCAAGAAAGCAAGTCTTCTCCACAATATGTCCAAATACAGGGGTGTCATAAAGTTGGCTTGATGAGCAATTGCAGACGATTCATTTGTCTTCAGAAGATAACAATGGGAGACTAATGTCTGGCACCGAGTGTAGGCGTCATCATCGACTGCTATAACCAGCAAATGGTTGAGAAGGTAGGCTGTATTGTTACCAATTCTGAAACTCTCTAGGAAGATATCGAATATCGAGTTTGGTGCTGCCCATGCCTCGTTTAAGTATGTCAATATCACTGTTTTCTCCTTTGTTGAAGCTGCCTTTAGAAGCTTTCTTAGTTCATAATACTCATCATGGACCTTCAAGTGTCAAAATTTTTGATAAAATGTAAGAAATTATCACATTGCATTATAAGAGAGCAAATAACTTTTGGTGAAGGTTTTGCAAGAAAAAAAAAAAAAAGAACTCCTCCCTTTATAAGAAAGGGGAGATCCTTTGGTAAACTTAAAAACACTTGCAAGTCGAGAAAACCCGAATTTGAATCCCTTTTAAGATGACTGCTCAATACTTTGTTTTTTTTTTTCCTTTTTGTTTCCTCTAATGAATTCTTGCAACGGTATTAATGTGTAAAAACTCAATTCTAGCAATGTTATTAATTGACTAATATGGAGATGATGCCAAAATGTTATACGCTCTACATGTAACAAGTTATAATGAGACATGCATGATAAAAGTTTCAATCATTCAGAACAACTCATAATTTAGTAATAAATTATCAACTTGATGAAGACAATTTAAGAATTATATTTAATGCTTATCCGCAACCCTCAAATTTATCGAAAAAGCAAAAGAAAGGAAATCAATCTATTATAACAAGAAAATTGTAGACTCACTTGTTCATCAAGGGGGGAAAATCTATTGAAACGATTGAAAGGAGAAGAGAAGCTTAAGATGAGGAATGCAATTCCAAGAGTTGAGATCAACACCGCAATTTTACGCAATATTGCAAAATTACATGGCCTTGTTGTTGTTGATGATGATGAAGAAGGATTCATCAAATTCAGAATTGGACAACTCCAACCTTTAATCTCCACCATAAGTCCTCCAATTGTTTTGGGATCAAATGTGTTTATATTTCCACAGAAAAAATAGAAGGGTTACATTATGTTTTTTCGGATTGTAAGTTGAATTACATAGATTTTTATGTTGTTCAAGGGAACACAAATTACATTTCTATGACAAAATGTGGGAGAAATGCACCACATGCGTTGTCCGTATACGCAAAGTGATTTTTACACTATTTATATACTCCGTATTTTATATACCTTACATTATCATCCATGTATAAACAAAAATTGTAACAAACTCATAGTTACTAATAATACACTCGAGCTCTATCAAAAAATAAAATAAAAAATAATACACTTGAGCTTACATTCTTGATTTTACTATTGAAGTTTATATTCATCTACATACAAACTCAGTATATATGAATGAGGCCTTGGCTAGTGGTTAAGAGACGTAAAACTATGATTGATGTACGATTAATCACAAGCATGTAAATTCACCCACCCCCATTAGCAATGGCGTGTTCAGTGTCTTTGTGGTTCATTCATACAAAAATATTATAACAATAACAATAAAATACTAACCATTACGTGCGACATTTGTAAGGAACTCTCCAACGAAAGGGTCGTGACACGGCCGTGTGATTTGTAGATATATATGTCTTTAACGCGGTACTTAGGCCAGCAATTTTCTTATCTAACCCAACACAACAATTAGCATGCATGGTACAAAACTTGTTAATATCTCTACTTGGTGAACAAAACCCACCAAAATAATTTGTGTCTAAGAACCTTATTTTCACTCCAAGTTCTCTGAAAGAAGGTTCATGTTTTACTTGGTTTAATGCATCTTGTTCATGTAAATTTGGATACTTGTGTCTTAAGGATACCCATATTCGTAGAATTTGATTGTGCGATTGTTAGACCTTGCGAAAAGGAACCCAATGTTGGGAAAGTTGTTCAAATCAAATTGTCTGCCGTTAAATAGATCACATGATGTTTGAAAGTCAGAATCAGGAATGAAATGTGGGAATGGATCTCTAAACCATATTACATCTATATCCTGCAAGTTGAAATTCCAATTCAATATTAAAGATTTGTTAGATAAAAAAACGGAAATATTTAACTGTCAAACATCATGAAAAGCAAATATGACAGTTAATAATTAATTAATGTACATAGAATAATGAAGTAGAAGGTTAAGTAATGAAGAGAAATTTATTTTCAGTATGTATTTTGTACAAGAAATTTAATTATTTCGATTCTTTCTTATTAAGATGGACACGTCAATCCCTCCATATATCTTTTTAATATTCCATTTATATGAGTAACTTTGTACAAAGTAGATGACTTAATTTAATCAGTTCAAGAAATATATGAAGTATTAAAAAGATGGAGTGTTTATATTTATTTTTTGAGTATTAATTATGAAATCACTTACTCCATAGTCTTATCAAAGGTAGTACTATATCAAATAACACATTTGACTTTCTTAATCAAATCAAAATCTAGGATGGAGGAAAACTTAATTAATTAACCCTATTTTATCCTACTAAAAAGCTAGGGATACATGAAATATATAAGTAGTAGGGATTTGCTAGAATAAGAAATGAAAAGATGAGAAAGTTAGTTAAAAATTGTCACGTGTCCCTTATAAAGTACAAAGTATATAAGAAATGAATATTTGCTTTTTATTAGGAAGTGGGACATGTGCCAACTTTAAGTGGTTTTCTCATATTCTCATTCTCATTCTAGCAATTTCCATAAGTAGTATATTACTTCCTCCATTTCATATTAGATGACTCACACACATGGGATTTGGTTCTTAGACCTCATGATGTCTTTGGGTCTTTACACATAAGGAGAGGGCGGATGGGTCTTTTGAGCGTTATAAGGCGCGGCTTGTTGCAAATGGCAAAAGTCAGGAAATTGGTATTGATTGTGGTGAAACTTTTAGCCCGGTTGTTAAACCGACAACTATTCGTACTGTTTTGAGTTTGGCTTTTTCCCGAAACTGGTCTATTCATCAACTTGATGTCAAGAATGCTTTCCTTCATGGAAATCTTCAAGAAACTGTGTATATGCATCAGCCACCAGGTTTTGTTGATTATGCTAAACCCAATCATGTGTGTCTTCTTCGTCGTTCTATTTATGGCTTGAAATAGGCTCCGCGGGCTTTTGGTTTCAACGTTTTGCTACTTATATTTTGAGTATTGGATTTGTCAACAGCAAATGTGATAACTCTTTATTTGTTTTACGGCAAGGATCGGAAACGACTTTTCTTCTTTTGTATGTTGATGATATTATTCTGACATGCTCTTCAGTTAGTCTTCGGCAACGTATTATTTCTCTCCTTAGTGCAGAATTTGCAATGAAAGATTTGGGTCCCTTGTCATATTTTTTGGGTGTCTCAGTCACGCAACATAAGGGTAAATTGTTTCTTTGTCAGCGCAAGTATGCACAGGAAATTTTGGCCAGGGCTAATATGAGTGCTTGTAAGCCTGCAAACACTCTGGTGGATACTAAGTCTAAGCTTAGTGGTGATAACGGTGCTCCCTTTGATGATCCATCTTTATACCGTCAGTTAGCAGGGGCTCTGCAGTATCTTACCTTTACAAGACCAGATATATCATATGTTGTTCAACAGGTGTGTTTGTTCATGCATGATCCTCGTGTCTCGCACTACAATGCTTTGAAACGGGTACTTCGTTACTTACAAGGTACACTTGATTATGGTATGCATTTATCTGCCACTCCTTCTTCTGGTCTCATTTCTTATTCTGAT